TTTGGTAGTGTTAGCGTGTCGTTTGTTAGTGTTTTAGTGTTAGCCTGTCATTTGTTAGTGTTAGCGTGTCGTTTGTTAGTGTTTTAGTGTTAGTCTGTCGTTTGTTAGTGTTTGTGTTAGCGTGTCGTTTGTTAGTGTTTGTGTTAGCCTGTCGTTTGTTAGTGTTTTAGTGTTAGTGTGTCATTTGTTAGTGTTTTAGTGTTAGCCTGTCGTTTGTTAGTTTTGTGTTAGTGTGTCGTTTGCTAGTGTTTTATGTGTTAGCCTGTTGTTTGTTAGTGTTTTAGTGTTAGCCTGTCGTTTGTTAGTGTTTGTGTTAGCGTGTCGTTTGTTAGTGTTTTAGTGTTAGCCTGTTGTTTGTGTTTTAGCTGTTAGCGTGTTGTTTGTTAGTGCTTTAGCTGTTAGCATGTTTGTTAGTGTTTGTTAGCGGGTCGTGTTGGTTTTTCTATGTTAACATGTTCGCTGTTTGTCAGTGTGTTAGTGTTTTTAGTGTTAGTGTGTTGTTTGTTTTATTGAGAGTATGTTTATAGTACTGTTCTATGTTATCGTATTTTCGGTTGGTGTTTTTGTTAGTTAATTTGTTAGTTTTTTTTTGTGTTATTTTGTTGTGTTTGTAAGTCTTGCATGCTAGCTTGTTGTTTGTTTGTAATTTTCTTGTTAGCGTGTTATGTTGGTGTTTTGTTTGTTAGCATGTCGTTTGTTAGTGTTTTGTGTGTTAGCATGTCGTTTGTTGGTGTTTTGTTTGTTAGCATGTCGTTTGTTAGTGTTTTGTTTGTTAGCATGTCATTTGTTAGTGTTTTATGTGTACATGTGTTGTGTTGTGTTTTGTATGTTAACATGTTCGTCACTGTTGTGTGTCAGCATGTTAGCGCGTTGTTTATGTTTTATTCACATTATGTTTATAGTACAGTTCTATGATAGCGTGTTTTATGTTAGTGTTTTGTGTGTTGTTTCTTAGTGTTTTTGTGGTAAATTGTTAGTTTGTTAGTATTGAGTGTGTAAGTGTGGTGATAGTTTGGTGTTTTGTGTGATAACATGCTGTGTTTGTTGGTGTTTTTAGTGTTAGCGTGTTGTGTTTGTTAGTGTTTGTACTGTTGGCATGTTGCTGGCCTGTGTTGCTGGAGTGTGCTGGTGTTGTGCTGCTTGTGGAAATGGAGACAGACAGGTTAATCAGTCTAATCCTGAGCCTGTGGCGTAGCCCACTGCTCCGTACAGAGGGATTTCAGCCACAACCTGGGCAGGATAACACACAACACACACACACACACACACACACACACACACACACACAACTGTATGTCTCTCTCTCTCTCTCTCTCTCTCTCTCTCTCTCTCTCTCTCTCTCTCTCTCTCTCTCTCTGGGTCTGTTGGGATTAGTACGTTTCTCAGTAGTTGGAGCAGTAGTTGTCTGCAGTGATTCCTTTTGATCTGGCGTTAGGAATAGGTGCAGGATTGGTGGCAGGATTGTAGGTGGCTTAAAGCTACTCACTCTCTTCTAGGAGGGAGTTTCTCCAGAGCTTCTGCCAGGAAATAACTCCCTCCAACACACACACACAGGCTCTTAATCTCTTAATATGTGTTGGGTGTGTTTACAATTGTGAGGAAGGTCAGCGCTGTCCGACTTCACTCATGTCCTTCCATTGAATGACTTTAAATAAATTTGAAAAGCCTTTTGTGTGAAATTTAAATGTAATGAAGGGAAACACATACTTGGTGAAATACAGTACTGTGCAAATGTCAGAGACTTTTTCATTTATATAATTTTTATTCAAAATAGTCATTAATTCATTATTACTTCAAATACAAGTGTGTGTGTGTGTGTGTGTGTATATATATATATAATATATATATATATGTATACACACACCCTAAAATAAACAAAAGCCATAATGAAAACCAAATGATCTGATATTAGTGGACACTATTAGATTAGACACTAAATATTAGAAAATCTGGTATTATATATCCTTCATTATGGCTTCATTTTGGGAAAACGTGCTTTCAGTGTTTAAACTAAATCTGCAGGGATATTTTTTCCTCTACAGTTCAGTCTAAGAGGTTGGTTGCATTTTCTGTTTCTTACAATCTGAATCTGAGTAAATCCCAAACATCCCTATTATCCCTATTATAAATATGTTGAGTCAGCATGTTTTCTGTTCTTTTACTATGTTTACAAAGTTACTGTCATGTGCTACATATAAACAATACTTTTGTTGAATATAGTAGAGATTACATTAACAGACAGTTCCTTTAAAATGGACAGCATGTCTTGGGAAGGCATCAGAGTGATGGCCGTGTCCTCCGTGCCCTTTGCCCTCTTCTGCTTTCTGTGGGGTTTGTGATTTGTGAAAGTCTCTGTAAAAACTCGCCGTGGGCCGCTCGCTCAGATGTTGGTCTGGATGAAGGATGTTTCGGAATGTGCCGAATCATCCTCGCTCTGTCCCATGATGGCCGCCGGCCAGCAGGAACAATGGCTGCCCTTCATTGGACCACCCCTCCGCTCCAGGGGTGTCATCCCTGAGCCCGTGTCAATGGGGTCCATTGTAGATCTGTGTACACGTGTGTGAGAGAGAGGCAGACTGATCTCATCTTGTTTACAGTTTTCCTTTCTTCATCTTGCAAGAAAGTTGACTATCTCTTATAATTTGATTTCAGAGGGACAGCTTTGTTCATGTCACTCTAGCTGTCGCTGTGTTGACAGTGGCTTAGCAGTCATAACTGTTAAGTCAGCTGTCACAGTTGCACTGGATTACATTCGGCAGTGGCCATGTGTTTGTCCATTGATTTGCATTTTAGCACTTTTCATTAGGGCCTTGTGAGGAAGAATAAAGCCCCTCCGTATGTGGATTTCATAGTAAACTAACATAAGCACAACAGAAATATAGCAGCAGTACTACCTGCCAGTTTTAACCCTGGAAGTTGCTATTATTACTAGTGATGATAAGTGAGATTTCTCACCTGTAGTTTGTGAAACAAGAGGAGAGATACCGTCTAAACTACGAGTCTTTCCACTTTTGTGTTCATAAATAGAAGAGGAGATATTATAATTTCAATTTGATTGAACTTACAGTCCTGTGTATCATCTTGATATGCAGACAAAAGACATTTTTTCTTTTTTCTTTTGCTTTTTGCCATATTTTGTCATTTGTTTAAATCGACAAGAAATGGAAAACGTTTCAATGCAAATGTCCTTCTTTATGTAACTTCGTAATTAATGTAATTGTGTAAATACACGCAATTATTATAGCAAAATGACAATAAGAAAAATTATAATCAAATCATGCCATCATTTTTTCTGAATAAGGACCTTTTTCTCTGTCTTGTACTGTGGTCAGTGCACACTTGCAATTGAACTTATTTTAATTATATAAATATATTTACATATATATTTAGTGGTTTTTTTTTTTTTAGCTGTGCATGTTATGAATGTGTACTTCAGTATTTTAATGTAAATGTACTTAACTCCAGTTGCACATCCTTTAAATTACTCATAGACTGTGTGCGTACATACATTTCCTGTACAGTCGTATGCAAAATTCTTTTTTATGACTTCTGTGATTTTCTAAGTGAAAATGAGTATACATCCTCTAGAGAGAACACTCTTCTACATATTTTACTGTGTAATTACTATTCATTTGCATGCTATAAAAATGTATCCTGTGGAAAAGTTATGTTACATTTATGTTTTATTTTTTCCAAAATGTTAAAATAAATAGAAATCATGCGCTAAAATTATTTAAGTTTTTTTCCTTGTAGAGGATGTGTTAGCATTTTCATTTAGAAAAGCATAAAACATGCCATTTGTTGGGTGTTTTTTTTTACATATGGTAAAAAATATAGTGTATCTTTTGTCTGTATTTATTTTATTGAATTTAATTTTATGTTGGCACTTGATATGCAAATAAGAGAACAATAAGATGTAAACAAATGTGAAATGCTCCGTTACTAAGTCAGAATTTATCACATTGGTGATGATAGGAACCAGACATTTGAAGTGATTAATGCCCTAAAAAGCTACCTCACTGGAAGTTATTACATGAAATGGCTACAAATATGTTGCCTAATTCCTGAGACATTATTTTATGATAGTTTTGAGATAATTTTGGGTTCAATCAAAAGTTTTTAAACATATTCATGGGGGAGATGTACATGCATGGCATTGCAAGGCAAAATAGTACCAAAAGAAAACATATTTTTTCACTATTTTACCACTATTGACATTACTACTAAAACATCTGTAGATACACTGGCCATTTTGGACAGTAAATAAAATTTCAATTTGCATTAAAGGCATTCCAGCCCCTGACTCCTGTCACCAGCACAGTCTTAAAGACTGAATTATGTTTTTTAAAAATCTGTGAATTCCCCTTTAATGTAGTGCAATCTTCCTTTGCAACATGGAGCTCTATGAATTGGCAGTTTGACAATGGAACGTTATTTGAAAAAATCAGTCATACTTTATCTCTTAAATATCAGATGACCATCCCGTTTTCCCTTTTCTAACTGACTGAGCACATTCTAATTAGTCACCATATCTGCCTGGCAATCCCCTGGACTGTTGCCCATGCCACTACTTCCTACTAGGCTGTTTTGCGCCTCCCCTATTGGTTCTTTATCAGCCTATCGGCAACCAGCATCTTGCTCAAGAAAAAGGTGTTCTAGAACTTTAGTGAAGGCCTCCAACCACTAGAACCACAGAGGAAGTTGGAGACAGGAAGCTGGGGGTTAAGTGTTGGCACTTTCACTGGTCCAGGTTTCTTGTCAGAGAAAGGTACTCAGTTCATAGCACACGTGGCAGGAGGAATTACAACTTTCTTGTGTATTTTCCTCTGTAACACTTGGTATTTACTTTTAAAAGCGAATCGTTCTGAGCCTTCCTTACTGAGTGTAGGGTTTTTAATCAAATCCCACCCGACTTGCAGACTTTGATCATAGAGGCCCTTTATTTTGGCCTACCTTGAATTTTCAAGTGCTTTTAACTGCTTCTGTTTTTTGCCTTCTAGATCTGTGTGCTTTGGAAGCGGCTCTCGTGGCATGACGACCACTAACAAGGGAAACAAAGCCTTGAAGGTCTGTCACCTTTTCTCTTCTACTTTTCGTTTCTCCTTAAGCACCACCCTACTGTTCACTAGTTTCAGTTTCAGTAGATTTGAAAAAGGGTGGTTTAAGGGAAAACTGAACTTCTGAACTGAGCTTTCTTTTGAAATGTGAGTTTCATGTACTGTGTACACATTGAATTTTAAAATGTACCCCAGTCCATATAGTTTTTGTATGAAAGCTATGCTGCAAAAACAGCCTGATTTGAATTCATCATGGTTGTGATGTCACAACCATGACGTGACTGCCCAGTCAGCCTTCTGTGGTTTGCATGTTTACATATAGTGCGGGGAAACAAGCATTCATACATTTTTGCTTTTGTTATTTAATATACTTTCAGTGCATATATCCACTTAGAATCTACTTCTTTTATGTTTGTACAAAAGTATGTTAGTATGAACAAAAATGTGTACTTATAAGCACAAACTTAATTAAATTACAAATATATATAAAGGTTAAAAAAGAAATTAAGTTCTACTATTAGTGCTGCAAAGATTTAAATTTAAAAATGCGAGTTGCTGCTGTCAGGTTGTGCCATTACCATTGGTAGTGAAGAATTCATGCAACAAGTAGCAATCATGCTGAAAAAAGCTATGAAGCCCTAGCCCAAAGACCTTAAACACCCCTGTCAGTACATCACATTTGATAATATCCAAGTGGAAAGGTCATAGAACCACAACTGGTCATCCTCAGACAAAATTTCTTTCAGTGAAAGAAGGGTAAGTGATACCAAGGACACCAACAGCGAAGTATGAAGGTGGAAGCGTCATGATATGGGGCGGCTACTTTGCAAATGGCCCTGGGGCATCGAAGGAAACCAAAGGGAGCAATATTGCAGGAGATATTAGAGGAGAATTTTATCTCAAAAGCCAAAAAAGGGGAGAAGATGGATGTTTCAACAAGACAACGACTCCAAACATGCAGCCAAAAGACTGATTTCTAAAAAGGGTAAATGTGCTTGCATGGCCCAGCCAATAACCTGACTTGAATCCCATTGAAAATTTATGGATTTTGAAACTGGGTCCAACAGTGGGACCCTGGTAACTTTGGGAATTGAAGACAGTTTGCCAAGAAGAATGGGACAAAATTGAACCACAATGCTGTGAAGAGCTAAACACTTCTTTCCATAGACTTCTCAAAGCTGTAATTGCCCACAGCAGCTTTGCAACTAAGTGCTAATGTTATTAATTTGTGGTGTCTGAATACTTTTCCCTGTTAATTTGGTTTCCTTACCCTGTGTTTGCTTATGCTTACGATTACATACTTTTTTGTTCATATTTACAGGTACAGTCAATTTGTGTAAATTTGACATGGATATATGCAGTGGAAGTATATCTACTAACAAAAAGCTTGTTTGATTCTATTGCTTAAAATGAGGTTAAAAAATGATTGTGTGAAAAAAATTATGGTAGTTTTTAATATTAAAAAACTTCAACTTTGTAAGTGGTTTTTAGGAGGAACAGTACAGTAAAAATGTATAATATTTTTTTTTCTTAACTTCTTTATTCTTTCCTCTCTCCCGTTTCCTCAGGTGAAGCGGGAGCCGGGTGAGAATGGCACGAGCCTCACGGACGACGAACTGGTGTCCATGTCGGTGCGGGAGCTGAACCAGCATCTGCGTGGCCTGTCAAAGGAGCAGATCTTACAGCTGAAGCAGCGGCGGCGTACGCTGAAGAATCGCGGCTATGCCGCCAGCTGCCGCGTCAAGCGTGTCACGCAGAAGGAGGAGCTGGAGCGGCAGAAGGCCGAGCTGCAGCAGGAGGTGGAGAAGCTGGCTTCAGAGAACGCTAGCATGAAGGTAGAGTTGGACGCCCTGCGCTCCAAGTACGAGGCGCTACAGAGCTTTGCCAGGACTGTGGCTCGAGGGCCCGTGGCGCCAGTCACCAACGCAGCAGTGCCCGTCTCCGCCCGCGGCCCGCTGGCCTCCGTCATAGGGCCCCTCGTACCGGGAAAGGTGGGGGCCACCAGCGTCATCACGATAGTCAAGTCCAAAACAGACGCGAGGTCTTAGTACAGGCCAGGATTGGGAGAGCGCAAGAGGTTTGGTCAGTGCATCACAATTTAGGCACACCTCATTATGGTCAAAAGGTCAAAATTGGTACAAATATCACCCGACCAGATGGGAGATGGTGAAGGGCATCCAAAACAGGTTGTCCTCCCCACATCCTAATAATAGCATCCACTGATGTGGTCAGTCCAGCCTCTTTTCTGTACGCGGTTGCGAAAAGGAAGAGCCCACATCAAGAACACTTCAATTAAAACACCTGGGCTTCCAAAAACGTCTCCAAATTAAGAGAAATTTTGAAAAAGATGCAGCAAATCTGTATTAGTGGATGTCCATAGTGACTGCAGTGAGCGCTGTGTTTATATAGTGTTCTGTTTTTGTACTATTGTTTAGGGCCCAATGTTAATGGTATTTTCTGTGTTTTGTTTTTATGACGATTTGTGATTTTTATGCAACGTTTTGAGATTCGTTGTGTTTCCGATATGCTGTATTTTTGCTGTTTTCCGTCCTTTTTCGTATTTCAGAGGAGTTCGTCGCAAAACACTGATTGAAAAGTCTAGACTTTTCATACTGTTCCTTCCTCCACCTCGTGCTTGTAAAGCATCTGAACTGAACTATGGACAAGGAATGAAAAGAATGGCTATTTTTCATGAGAAATACTTTAAAGATGAGTCAGAGCTTGTTCAGGGGACCATCTCGGAGTATCGGTGCTGATGCAGCATCACCTTCCCCTCTTTATACTGGTCTTTAGTCACAAAATTAGATCTTGCATCACATCTGAGATGGATGTCCTGAACATGCTCTGCTATATACTTCAGCTCGAGTTTTTGCGCAAAAGATGGCGTCCCTTTATTTGTGCCTAATGTTGTGCACTGACCAGCCACTGCAGAAAAGGGAGACGAGGAGAGTGAGCTGATGTTGTTCGTATGGTAGCTATCAGGATAACTGAGACCAGTTTATGTGATTGGGTAGTCCTTTTTTCAGGAGAAATAAAAAAAAAAGGATTTGTTTCTTTTTGTAAAAGTTTATTGGCAAGGCAATAAGATATTTATGTTGTGAAAAGCTAAACTGATTTTGTTTCCTTCATGGAGCTAGTGAATATTTGTCATGTGTTTTACATAGTCTTATGCTGGTAAAACTACTATTTGTGTTATTTTGAATACGAAGTATTACTTTTCTGCTGATTGCTAGGTTAGTACGTTTCCCCTGTCTTTACCTTTCAGTAGCTCCAGAGAGGGATTTTGTCCCTCGTTCCTTTGTCCCCTTTAACAAAGTGGATAAAGGTTGCTCTTAGATTAGAAAAAAAGGAAAAAACACTTCTCTATTTGAAATAGGGACTGTCTGGTTGCATAAACCGGTGAACTCTCACAAGCTTTACCATAAATCTGTCGCTGTGACGTTGCGTAACGTATTCTAAGAATCTTTGTCTATATGGTGGAGTCTTGAATTTTATATAAAAACCACACACATAGAATATCTTGCATTATTTATAAAACATTTAAAAAAAAGAATCTAAAGTTGTTTGATATCTCTTTTTTGCAATTGTACCAAAAGTGGCTTAACTATTGAAGTTGATAGCTTTTTCTAGTGACTAGGCGCGTAAAACTGTGGACTAGCGCGTGTGGTGTGACGTGTAAGTGATAAGGTGATGGTACTGTTCACTATTTTTTGGATGTGACGCTCTTCTGTTCTTATTTTGGCCAAACCAAGGTGATGGAACCACGTTACCCACAATCCTCTAGTTCCCTCCATGCAGTTGTTTTGGCAAATAGCATTTAATAGATTTCAGAGGTCACTTAGGCTATGTTCACATTACAGGCCTTATTGCTCATTGTGCGTCACGACCATCAAAGAAACTCACTAGCAGCACAAGCCTTCATCAGAGTGATAATTTGCTCTGAATAGCCTTCAGCTGATCATTATTAGAATGAGACAAAGGTGAAGAAAGACGCATTGCTTTTGCAGCATTTACTGACACTAACTTCAAGTTCGGTGCTACTGCCATGTTAACGCACAGTGAGGATGCATGTGCAGTGTGGGGGGAAAAAACACATGAATGCTGATCTGACTGTTCTCATCAAGGTCACATGACCTCAAATCAGATATGTGTCCCTTCTAGGACTTACATGTAAAGGGGTTCCCATCTGATTTAAAAAATCAGATCTGTGTCACATTTAACGAATGGTTGGGCGATAAATCCACTTTTCCACTTGCCCCAGTTGTAGTCAATCAGTCAAGACGTGTTTGGAGTCCAAAGTAGTTTAGTGCTGAAGTTACCAGGTTAGTGTAGCTAACATTAGAAGTCAATAGTCACCCAAATCTTTTCATAAGTACATCCCCAAAGCTTATTTTATTACTTCATTTGTTATTTATAAATTGAAACAACAGAAATGACTGTGGAAAGTGGCTGCCCCTGGTGTTCAGCTGCATGGTGTTTTGTTAATCTTTATATTTCACAGTAATTTATACTGTGTCCTACAACACATTGACAAGTACAGCTAGAAGATTAATCATTATTATAAATTGCAATTGAAAGAATGCATTTTTTTAAATGAAGGCTGCAGTTTTGATTATAGCCTATATTACACTGTTTAAGTTTTCTGAAGGTTTAAGTTTTAATCTAATAATACAGAGATTGTGAGCTGCCTGTAAATTAGTTAGACCAGTCAAAACCAATTGAACTCTCATGTGCTGTGCACAGTATAACCACAACTGACTAGAAGTCTGTTCTTGGCCCAAAAAAAGCAGATCTGGGCCCTAAATTATAAAAAAAAATGCAATTTAATGTTGGTGAGAAAAATCATTCCACACATCATTCAGCCCTGAAGAGTCTGCATGACCTTAATAAAAACCTGGATGCTTTTTGAGTTGGTTGAGAGGTTTTAGGGATGTATTTGTAGATTTACAACTATTGACTTCTATTGTTTGCATCATTAGTGCTTGAGCTACAAGGCTAAACTAAAGAAGCAAAATTTGAACACCAAACATGTCATGGCTGAATAACTACATCTGGGATAAGTGGACAACTGTGTAAATTTGATTTTTCACCAAACCATTCCTTTAAAGCAAGAAAATTGGATTTGTGCCACTTTGGTAATGTGAACATAGCTTTACAGACACATTCTGCTCCTCCCCAGAATTGGCCTTTGGGGGTCAGTTAGTTCAAAAGCTGTATTCGCTTAATGAGCAATAGGTAGTAAATGAACTGAATGCTCTTAATCATAGCTCTTCCTTGTCTAAGGCATTTTGGAGTGGCCCTTGGTGGTTTAAACTCTACATCAAGGCTTAAAGGCTGCTGAGTAGCAGCGGTGAGTGCTTTTGTACTCTAATGCCAAAGGGACTGGACACAGTTTCCTTGACATCAGCAAGACTGGGTCTTTGTGCCCCATTTAGCAACAACTATTCTTACTAGATTTCTATTCTACTCCTCTTATAGAAAAAAAGCAAAGCTATTAGAGACAAATTCTCAGGAAAGTGGAACTTCGGCAAGGGTTTGTGGGATACGATTAAGGATCCTGCGGTCTCATCACCTCTGTTTGATAAAGTCCTTTTTTTTGTGATGTGATTTTTATATTTTTGGTGTAAAATGTTTATATGGTAGATTATATTTAATGTATTATGTTGTGTTTTTTTTTTTCTTTGGTTATTTGTCATTTTCTTTAAATGCCAGGGAAGTGACACTGCACTGATATCAACGTACAAAAAACAAAAGCAATGTGTTCTCTTTGCTCCTGTTGTCTTTCAAAAGGAGCCTTCTGCTTTATACTTGCGCTAAAGGATTCCAGCAGAAGGTTCTGTGTTGGAGTGCTGAGTGCCTCCCTGGTACTGCCACTGAATGCTCTTTGAACCGCAGGTTGAGGGAGTGCTACAGAAGTATTTTGTAGCGGATCTCGAAAAGAAATACCTTAAATGATTTGGTGGAAGGTCATGCCTTTTAGTCTATGCTAAGAAAATGTTATACAAGCACTGTACGCGGTAATGGTACTGAAATCTTTTGATTTTTTTTTTTTTTTGTGTTTTCATGTCATAAAAATGTTAAGCTGTTTAACGTTAAACCACCCTGATTAGCTCAATTAGGCCTTAGAAAGCCTCACACCAGCCAAAATCATAATTTTTTTCAGCCCTGACCAGCTCAAACTGTACATTTACATTATGAAATACTGTCTTCAGAGTTTGGATTCTTGGCTAAGCCAGCTCCAGCCTTGAGGGCCACAGTCTAGCACAGTTTCAGTGCTCTAACACAGCCGATTCACCTCATGAAGGGCTTCATAATGAGAAGATGAACTGAACCGGGTGTGTTACACTTTGAAACATGCAGTGGCTCTGCAGACTTGGGTTAAACCCCCCCCCCGCGGAGCATTTCACGAAGCAGGATTGCTCGGTAAGCTAGATAATGTAAGCCCAAAATTGAGGACTGTCTGATAGAAATGTCTCCTATCTTCTAGTACTGGACAGCCTTAACTTTGGGCTGAAGTTATACGGCTGCTTTGTGAAATCCACCCATTTTCTAGCAGGCACTGTAAGCAGAGCTGAGTGACAATCCAAACAGAACCACACAGCTACTGTCCTTAAATCTACAATCAGAAACCTGTTTATTTAATTTTTTTTTTATGTATTTGCATATCCACTGGGCAATATGATCATAACCTGAACTAAGATCTACTAACAATTTTTGGCAAACGTGAGTAAAGCTAGAAACATGGCAACTTGAAACAGCCCCAAAAGGATGCTATCGCTAAATGCACTGACTGTAACTTTAATACACAGAAACTCTGTTTGAATGGCTTTGGCTATATTATGGAAGTGTTTTCTTAACATTGATTTTTCGCAGTAAGAGCCAGGTCAGGCTTTGCTTGCATTGAAGTGGAAATCAGCACATGCTGTTGTGGGTGGGTGGGTGGGTGAGTGGGGTACTATCAGGCCTTATACATTTTGAGCTCCTCTCAAAGCTGCACTTATCTGGCATTTAGGTTTGGATACACATTGTAGGTATATTTATATGGATTTTTTTAATCAATGTAAATCAAGAAAATGAACTTCCTCTGACTGGTTAATCTGTGAAATTGTTCTGTAATGGAGTCTTTTTGGTCCATTTTGGCGTTGCTTTCGTAACCAATGGTAGCGTTCTCCTATTGGCTGTGGCAGTTCTGTGGCGTTGTCCGACATAATGTGAGCAGTGTGTTTTAAGGGTTAAAAATAATTCTACTAGCTTACTTAGTGAACAGTGGCGTGCTCCTCGTTGAAGTGCTTGTGTTCCAGGTAGCGCCACCGCGCCTAACTATTAACACTCCTCCTCTTCCTTTCTTCATCTTCTCTTCCCACTGCGGGAGAGGACGAGTGGCTTGGCTTGTTCACGTACGTCATTGTTGTCGTCGTCTTGGTGACTTGGTGTAGAAGTAAACGTATGAATTATATGCAAATATAGCGTGCAGTAGGGAGGGCCCATGGTAGGATGTATTTTTTTTAATCTTTATTTTGTCCTTGCAGTTCAGTTACCACAAAGATTTTCCTTTCAGATTTTCTGTATTAGTCTACTTTCACTGAAGATTAAACATGTCTCATCTAATATACATTAGAAAGTTAAACAATCATTAACATTTACCTCAACAGTTGAGTTTTCAGGAGCTATATCATATATTCATACATCTTACTACCGCTTTGATTATAGATATTACATTTACGATAGTGCTTTGTCCCAGTAACCAAAGGCAATAGTAATTAAAGGGGAATTCCACTGACTGTTCAAATTTTCTGCATAATTCAGGGCTTGAGATGTGAAGTCATTCAAAGTGGTTTGGTGATTTCTTTGAACTCTGATTTCTTTGCAGTGGTGGTGATGGGCACCAGGGGTCGGGATGTCTACAATGCAAATATTGTATTTACTTTCCAAAGTGACCAGTGAATCTTCATGAGTTGTTGATCAAGATAAAATAGTGATAAATCTGGAAAAAAAATTCTTTGGAAACTGTTATGCCTTGTGGTTTAAAAAAAAAAATCTCAAAACTTGCATAAAATAATGACTCGTGCATCAGGCAGCATGTGTGTAATCGTTTCATGTAGTCTTTCTGTGAGGGAGCTCTTTCAGACATCTGGTTCCTGTCACCAGCACTGTGAATAATTTTCACTTGGTGAGTTTCTCTAAAACAAAGCGTTTCACATCCAACCACCCTGAATGACACTGTACACATCTTAATGACTTGATTATGCAGAAAAATCATTGGAAATCCCCTTTAAAAGCAAAGTGAGACAATCCTGGGAACAGCAGGCAGAACTGGCTTGAATATTATGGTGAGAACAACCAGCAGCTTGTATTTAGATGACCCCCAGCCAAGCCATGGCCTGCTCTTTGTCAGCAGATCAATAGGAAGCGATGGGCTGAGCAAGCGCAGTCTAGTCTCAAGTGTCCAGTTTTGTTGCTGGGCGCACTGTGGGCACTACCCTAAAAATGCAAGACTTTGTCCTACTTCTTCCCGAGTGTGACTATTAGTGTGGTAACCACGCTGTGCTACACTGATACGTTGTATTGAATGACTTCTATTCGTTCTTGCCTCGCTGATAGCCCAGATGTGTTTCTGGTCTGCCACGATCCCCATAGAGTTTTACTTTAGGCCTCCTGGGACGAGCATTAAGAGGTTTCATTTCTGAGCAAAGACAAATGAGTCTGAAACCTTCAAAGAGGCTTTGCGTTCCTGTCTCTCGTTAAGGTTTAACCAAGAAACCCAGTTTTCTTCCCCCCTCGACTTCTGACTGCCACGCTTGTTTTCAGACGTTTAAATGATTAACTTCTTATCACACTGCTATTGCAACTGTTAACGTCTTTGCCGTTCCTGTTTTGGATGTGCTTATCACACCACATGACTTTTCTTCCAGTTGCATGACTCGTAAATCAATACAACAAGGACCCCCAAGTAAGATTTTTTTTTTTTTGTATCTTTTGTATTGATGGCACTGTTGTGCTTCTTTCGGCTTGTCAGCTTTCTAATAGACATGCATAATTTCAATGCAAGATCAGTTTGTATGCAGCACTTGGGAGAACTAAGTTTGTTTCTGTTTCATAGACCAATGTTTGTTTGTTTGTTTGCTTGTTTTTCTTTTTTTTTTTTTTTCTCCCCTCACTTGAACCACATTGTCCATATCTACCGGTGAGCTGAAGACTGCAAACGACTAACCTGATTATAGATCATAGGAGCAATGTTTTCGATGTTGTCCCAAAGTATACAGTGAGAAATTTCAAGCTATAAAATTGTGAGTTTATGACCATGGAAAGTAACACTTTTGTCTATATAAAAAAAGAATCTGTTCTGTTTTTTTTCTGTATGGGGTGTAATAAATTCTATCACAGTACTTTGTATGGGAAATATACATACAGTAAAAGTCCATTTAATTGTAAGTATTTATCAACTAAGTTATTGTACTTTTTGCAATTTGTAGATAAGTAATATAATGTATTGGTATATAACAATGAAATTAACTGTATCAGTCAGTCTGGGGCGTCTTTTAATTTATTGATGTATATACTGTATGTTTGTTGATATACAGCTTACTTTATTTTGTATATGACCAATAAATACATTTTGAAAAACACAGTGGTGGTCAGGCTGTTGCTTTAGGGGTGTTGGGCCGAGTCTTTGTCTCTGTGCCTTGTTTCTGTCATTGTGTGACCTAATTTGTCAAACAATAAGGATCTGGTGAATTGAGTGTCTTTTTCACAGTTGTTATTTTTCCGTGAACAGCTCAGCCACGTTTTATTTTATTTTCTAAGGAACCTATAAAAAGCCTAGAGATGTAGCAGAGGATGACCTAGTTGGAACAACCTCTCGGCGGACGTATTTTTGGCCTGACATTAGTAAAACATGACACAGTCAGTGGGGATTGGCTGGGCGCGCGCTCGCTGCTTCACGGGGACGCGCAGGCGGCTCGGCGCGCTCCCGGCTCCTCGGGGACGCGCCGCTCGCTATTCATCCGCTGACAGACCTGCTGTCCTCGCGGAGCTGCAGCGTGAGTGAATGAGGTGGACATTTATTACTCGGTCAGATAACGACCTTGCTGTTCGGATGAGACGTGTTTCTGGCACTTCAACAGGATTTACAGCGTCTTTGTGCTCAACGTGGAAACCCCGGGACTCACTCACCCTGTGTCTCTCAATCTCTCTCAATCTCTCTCTCTCTCTCTCTCTCTCTCTCTCTCTCTCTCTCTCTCTCTCTCTCTCTCTCTCTCTCTCTCGATATAAATGAGTGCATGTTTAGACACGAATGCTTTTCCTTCTTTCTTTCGTACAACATATACACGACATTGTCATAAATCTGTTGTAATGCTGCACTGACTCTTTCACTGTCCCTGTCTCTGTTTCTTACACATGCACAATTTTCAGAAATGGGTCAATTTGTAGAAAACTACAAAACTACTGCATGGAAGTGGTGCTAATATCCTTCTATCCCTTCTATTTTCCTCCAGATGTGTTTTTTTAAATGTTGTCTTTTCCAGTGTTATTCCAGATTACAGCAGGGGCATGGGAGTCCGTCCCCAGAAAAAAAGAGAAAATGAGGCATGAGGCAATCCAAATATATGTATGTATAAATATATATATGAATAATCATAATTTTCATGTCAGTTATTTGTGCTGTTATGGTTGAAAATGACACTTGTTCGCTCCTTTACTAGATGACACTGTTGACACTTTTTTTTAAACAAACCAAAAAAAAAACTCGTCTGCTTTACCTAAAAAGGGGCATAAATTAAGGTTCATACATCCAAATTAATTTAGACAACAGACAATAAAGCCACAGATAAAAGGGATCTGCCAACATGGTAACAGCTGTGTTTTCAAACACAATGCATAGGAAGCAGTATTAGTACAGATGACAGTAAAGGTGAGACTGCTCACTGCCATAAGACTCGCACAGCTCTCCTTCACCAATATTAAACAGGATGCAATCACAAGTCATGACTAGCTAGTGAAAAACCACAGGGGTAAACCTCACACAATATACTATGAATATATCCACCAATATATAAGTCTGCCAGAAAACCCTCTCAAAACCCTACACTGCGAACCCTGGTTTTCTCACCTCCCCTTTACAGCAAAGATCTATAGTAATACTATAAGGATAACATACAAAATAATAGAAACCGTTTAAAGTGCTGTATATTCTATAATACTTTTCCATCTAGATAATATTCCTGTAGTAATGTCATATAGTAATCTATTATTATAAGCTATTATTATGTAGTAAATTATAGTAATTGTCTTAATTTACAATAAGAAATAAGATTTGTATAGAAATCCTGTAAATGTATGTGTGTGTGGATGTATGTGCCTGTGTGTCTGCCCTGCGATGGACTGTTGCGTTGTCCTGCCTTCCACCCAGTGACTGCTGGGATAGGCTCCAGCTCTCCTCCCTGACCCAGAAGGATAAGCGGTTTCAGAAAATGTGTGTGAGTGTGTGTAGAAATCCTGTAGCAAATCCTGTACTATGACTATAGAGCTTTTTCAGAAAGGCCGGACCTGTAGTCCACCTGCCCTAAATGATTTCATGCTTTTCCTGCTCTGCTTCCGTTTCAGTGCATGAAGGACTTAATCACTAAGTATAATAGTAATAGGTTTTATTATATAGTGCCTTCTCAAGAACCAGAAACTTCCATTATATAAACAGCATGAACATAGACAACGGGGACAATAGGAAAAGTATAAAATCAAAATGACACATACTAACTGACCAAAACATACAAGGAGGATGGAGAGATTTGTTAAGAAATTAACTACAAATAGTTTATATGAAGTGTAGATAATCAGCTATATCTTATAGTATTGTGTAAAGAGGTGCTTTGAAAGGTGAGGCTTCTGCAGGCAGATAATGTTGGAGATGTGATCAGGTGCAGCATGTAGTGCTGATGGATTCCAGGGCTGAGGAGGGTCTGTCTACAGTAGGTGATTTTTACTGTCAGTCTAGTAGCAAAAGCTGAGATTCTAATGCATATAATATAATACAATACAACACAATATAATATAATATAATATAATATAATATAATATAATATAATATACACTTCTAAAAGATATGGTCCTTCAAGTGTTCTTTAGTACAGGCAATGGTTCTATTTAGCACTATCAGTTCTATACAGAACAGTTTCATGCTTAAATGGGTCTTCAGATTGATGGATAATGTGTTGTATATGGTTCTATGCAGAAAATGAAAATGGTTCACAAAAAAGGGTTCTTCTATTGTTGCAAGCTTGACATAGTAAGAATAGAAGAACCCTTTTTGGTGCTATTTAAAACCCTTTTCAAAAAGGTTCTATTACAGAACAATATGCAACACATTCTCCATCAACCTAAAAAAACTTTTGCACTGTGCAAAGAACCATTTAAGCATTAATTGGTTTTATATACAGCTCGTGGTTCTTAATAGAACCATTGCCTTTACTAAAGAACCCTTGAAGAACCATCTTTTTTTAAGAGTATAATATAATACAATATAATACAATACATCTGAATCACAAAGACATGTGGCTAATAAGTTTTTGTTACGAACTACGTTACGCTGACAGAATCTTTTGTTCTCCTACAGAACGCTTGGGGTCTTTCAGCACTCTAGGCGGCACTGTCGGCTGAAATACATACATATGGCGCCGTATGTTTGTTGTAAAACCCGTAACGGAACTGCTCTGTGGAGTTGTTGAACTTTATTTCTGTTCGGTCGAGTTTGTGGAAAGAACTCCAGAATGCCTGAGCCCACAGTGTGAGTGACAGTCTTACCGTCTTCTTTAAATGGCAAATCTCATAATTTCATTAAGCGACCTCAGGCTGTCTGTGTAATAGCATCTCATGTGCAATCCAGATCCGGGTGTTTTGCTGAAGTCCATAACGGTTCTTCCAAACAACCCAGGATGACAGTTGAAGCGGCTAAAGCGTAAACATTCAGTCTGTTGTCGTTAGCCAAGAAAAAAAAACTCTTGTTTCTCTGTTTATTAATTTATTTATTATATTTCATAATTACTTTAATAAAATTGACATGTTTTTTACTCTTAAGAAGTTTTAATTAAGTCGAGAAAATTTACAGTTTGGCCGTTTTTTTTTATCGCTTTAGCTAACGCTAACGTAGCACTTAGCTAACTACATAGCTACCCTCAGCTAAATTAGTTCAAGCGGTCTTTTGACAGAAGAACAAACGAAGGAAGTTTAAAGCAGACTTTTGGTTTGGAAAATATAATATTACTTATGTCACTTTGTGAAATTCTGTGGATATTTTAGCTACACGACTAGCTGGTGAGCTAAGGGATGTGCAACTAAGTTACCTTCCATCCGTTAACAGTCCAGTTGGATGTGGGTAACGTCGGGTTGCCAGGCAGTCGTTTGTTTTGCCGTGTTGGAGCTCAGGCGTTTTTGACTCTAAAGTAAGCAGTCCAAGCTATTGCAATTCCTCCAGTATGGAGAACTATGAGGAATTCATTCAAAGGCAAGTGAGGCAAATAAGGACTAATGACGACGAAGAGTCTGAACAAGCCATCTTCAGCCAGCGGTCATCAAATATAAGATTTTACGGTTTGCCTATTCTGCCTCCATTGGTAAGGGTTGCTTGGTATTTCTTCATATTCTCTGAATTCGTGCTGCTGAGCAGTGTTGATAAAACTGATTGAATGTCATTATATCTCCCAAATATGTCACAGTATCAGATAATATGTAAGCTTGCATTAATCAAGTTAATGAACCCATGCTTCCTAAGAACTGTTACTCTATACTGTTACTTACAAACCTGACCGCTTCTTTTGATTGTAGTATTTTGTTCTGGTTTCTTTCTAGTTCTTCAAATTACACCAGTGAAGTTTACACAATATTGTGAACATTTACTAGACAGAAACCACATTTCCAGACTGGAAACTTACTATTTATGTTTTCTAAATTCTTTAGTTTTTTTTTTTTGTCTTGGATACTAGGTGTAAAGTGGACAAAATAGAAACCGCTTGACAACAAGGTCTTTACTATATTTTGGCTAGTATATCATTATATCATGAATCAGTACTAGTCAAATATATCCCTAAAAATACTAAAGTTGTAAAGTAATCTTGCATGTATACCAGTACAGATATATCACCACCTTTACTTTGAGTGACTGAAAGATAAAATGCAATTATTCTTTGGTTTTCAGTTGAATAAGGACCAGAAAGAAGAAATGCAAAGGCTAAGAGAAGAAGCTGCTTGTTTGATGAGCAAGAGGAAAAGTTCTTCTCGAGTGTCTTATATACAGACCATTCTCGACAGCGTTCAGGTAATATATAAAACACAAACTGATAGTTTAGGCTTTACACGTTAGCTTGCTTACTTAACTACTGCGTTATTGTATAAGTTCAGTTGATTCATAATCATTTTTTTTCTCTGTTTTAGTTAAGAAAAGCTCCAACATTTGACGAATTTGAAGATGAGACAGAAACTGCTAATCCATCCAACACTAGAGCTATTACTTGCAACCCTGGAAGTAGAAACGAGTGTGGTGAAACCATAGAAAGCCACTGGACTTCATCCTCCTGCTCTGTTTTCCCATCTGCTCAGCAGACACCTGGTGAGAAGGTGCAAATTGCTCTCAGTCACCCTCTGACATCTACAGTTTGTGATGGTCATACAGCCCTAAATCTTAGACCTTTGGAAGGAGAAGATTCATTAGAGAACAGCCACACAACTGTTCTGTTTGAAGGATTTCCTTTGATCGGGCACAAGCCGGAGCCAGCTGTTGAGCTGAACACAGATTGTGGATTTGACACACATTTACTGTCCCAATCACTTAAACACCCTCAAACAGATGTAAGTCACCAGGGACTGTCATCTGGGTATGTGACCATTGAAACGTCAGACGTCAGCTCTAGTTGGATTGAGGGAGTAGGAATAGGCACTGAAGGAAGACGTTCAGATTTTGGTGGTCTTTTTTTAAATTCTTCAAACTCAACTGACAAAGCTATTGACATCATCAGCCATGCTCCAGTAGATGGAGAGGTTCTAGAGGAGGAATTTACAGTCTCTAACCAAGCTCACCCTGATGATATAATAGAGCCAGTAAACCCACCAGTGGAGACAGATCCAGCTGAGGGGCCTTACCACATGAGTCTTCAGAACCTTCTGAAGAAATCACAAGAGCATCGGCGTCGTCAGCGGATGTTGCGCAACCAGGCAAAGGCTTTGAAAATCAGTGAAGCTGAGCATGCAGACCAGCACAGCCTTTCTGACAAGGAGAACGAGGAATTTTTTCCAGGGGACACTGGGAAAAGTGATCTGAGGAGAATCAGGGAGAAGAGGAGTAACCAGGGAAAGGATCAGTTGCCTGAGTTGACGATACCCAGCCTTGAAATCCAGACACAAACTAAGAGGGCAGATAAAGAAAGTGTAGAGCCCTGTGAGCTGGCCAGCCATGTTGAAAACATAGATGCTATTAAATTTGAAGTTCCAGTTGGTTATTGCCTTAATAAAGCTTCAGCCTCGAATAATGCAGGTAGTATTACTGAAAAAGCATCACCACCTCTCTCAAGCCATCCAGAAATGACTACCAGTCCCACTCGGTCCACTTCAGCAGCAGCTTCCCCCTCAGCAAAATCCCTTTACCAGTCCAAGGGTAAGAAAACAGGCACTGTGCTGTCAAGGCCATGCCAAACAGCAGGTAAAAAATTTAAGAACGTGCCTACCCCCAAGTTCTGCTTAAGTCCAGTTCGCAGTAAAAAAGGCAGTGCTATGTCTGGCTCATTCAGGAAGCCCCTGGTCAAGACACCTATTTGTGTGGATGATGAAGCAAGACCAGATCCATGTAGCCAAAGCAAAAAGGCTGTGAGCATGCTGGCAGGGACCGAGGGAGACCTGCCTGTCTATAGGAGCACAGATCAGGCTGAACAGATCGCTCAGCTGGAGCTCAACTTATCAAGCCTTAAAGTCCTGATCTCAGACCTAGAGTCTACATTGTCAAAGTCGCAGGCAAATTTTGATCCCACAGAGGCAACCACAGTTTACAGCAGCACCCAGCAGACCCTGCCTGCAGAAAATGAAAGCATCATCTTGCCAGCTGGTGATGTGAAGTCTCCATGTGTGGTTACCTTTAGCAAAACCACGCAGCAGGAAGCTGTTGCTAAAGATTGCAGGACACGACCAGGGAGTAAACAGCGTGAGCTGCCACACTGTGTCACCTCTTTGGTGCAGAAAATGAGGGTGCCAGAGGCGTTCCGTGCCATCAGTGACTCAAAGCGGCTCTCTCAGAGAACCACCGTCCTCTCAGATGCCAGTAACCAGCCTGAAGAGAGGAAGAACGCCTCAGGCGAGAAAAAGAAAGGATTTGAAAGCATAGAAAACTCCTTGAATGGGTCATCCCTTAATCGCTCGTATGATGTGGATACCCCTTCCAGACTCTGGTCCCAGCCTGGGCCCAAAGGGGTCCAGCTGACCCCCGAGCTGGGAGGGCAAGAGGGGGTGTCCCGTGCCAAACGGAGACTGCTCATGAACACTGTGGAGATCGCGTCAGGACAACAGGGGGATGAAGGACGACCTCAGTCCAGCACACCAAAAGGTGAGTGAAGTTGAGTTGAAATATGCCTGCTCATTAAATTGGCGATAAATGGGAAAATGTAATTGATCTGATATTGAGATTAAAATTGATATTTACAGCTAATTCCTGTTTTTAGCTTGAGTGCACACTGACATGTGTAGTCACTAAAGGTGGGAATTTCCCTTTTTTTGAACTTGCTCAAGTGAAGCACAGTAGATAACAGATAACTGCCCTACATATATAATCTCTAAGGTTTGATTCCCCATGCAGGCAGGGACCACCACTGCTACACTGAAAAGAGGGGGTTTCTAATGTTAGCTCAGTCTTACATTTATGGATGTTATACTGTGAATGGCTGTAGCAAAGGGTGTCTGCTAAATAATATAGAATATTTACTAGGGACACAACGATGTGGGATTTGTGGGCCAATGCTGATGTGTATGTGAAAAATTTCAGTTATTTTCCAATGCTGCTACAAAAACAATCATTTATAAAGTGCACATATTTTAGGAACTGTCCCAGCATCACCTAAATGCTGTCCTCTTCTAGATCATCATATATCGATTTGAAATATCAGTAGGATCTCTTGAATGATTATCTGCTGATATGGATATGATTTCAGTATTATTCATCCCTAATATTTACGTACAATAATATAAAAGATTCTTTATTTTCATGTCTGATTTAATGATAATCAGGGTTTCAGCTTTACAGGTTTTTAAACTGTTCTATTCTCACTGCACCCCATAGATCTGAAATGGATTTAAAGGAAAAAAAGTAAAATGATCAGTTACTGGTTGCCTGGATGTTCCATGTCTGTTCAAAGTAGAGATGGCACAATACTGCTTTCTTTTCCAGTATTGATATTGAAACCTTGAGTATTAACATATAAAAGTACTGATCCAATGTTCTTGCTTTAAAAATTACTTTGCTTTAAAATGAGCTATTTTTAATTGAAGCAATACACTTAAGATGAGCATCTAAAAGTTGTCTATCAAGCTCAAAGTACTCAAACACTCTACTGCCCCATAGGGGTTTAAAAATGAGAAAAAATCAGGAAAGCTCTCCAGCCCTATGATAGCTTTCTTAATAATGCACTGTCCTCCTTTGAAGCACACTGCAAAAGCAAATGAGACATATTTTGTCAAGTTGGGGTTATGATCCTTTTAAAATGATAAGTCTTGATAAATACCTTCTCTGTAATGATAATGGCCAGATAATAGTCTTGTCTCACTCATGATGCCTATTAAGTGTGCTGAGAAGCAGTGCCTCTGTGTAGCATAATGATTTTGCTTTAAGTGCTTCTGCAGCGATTAGTTAGTTGATCTGCCATGATTAGACTGAACCATAATTAAACAGAACGCATTCATGATGTGCTTATACTTTATATGTCAGCCGCATCACAGTGGCCTGAGCTGCAGCTGAAGCAGGAGCATGAAGCGCAGGTCAAAGCTCTGATGGAGGAGCAGTGCAGACAACAGCAGGAGCTGCTGCAGGTGAGAAATACAAAATAGATGCCATTTTTCCTCCCATATGTTTGTAAATGAGAATTGTGCAGAAGATCTGCTTAGTTATTTAGGAAAGCAAGGACATGCAGGAGTATTACCTTGGTCAAAACAGCTTTGCTTGGTTTCTTTTTTCTTTTCTTGCAAACTGCTAGTGCAGGGAAAAAAAGTGTTTTAGTACACTAGCCTGACTTACTGAACGTATACACTACCGTTCTAGAGTTTGAAATGATTTGTCATTTTAATTATTGTTATTCAGTGAGAACTTGTACAGTGAAAGATTGAACTGTTATAAACTAGGCACCAAGTTAAATCTACACAGCTTTCTCAATTGTTATGAAATAATCTACAGCTCTGTTCGTTATTGGAAATTTTTTATACGCCATGTACATACATATATATTTATGTGCATGGCGGTGGTGTGTTAGTGTGTGTTGCGCAGGTATGAGTGGATCAGACACAGCAGTGCTGCTGGAGTTTTTCAACACTGTGTCCATTCACTGTCCACTGTAATAGACCCTCCTACCTTGTTGGTCCACCTTGTAGATGTAAAGTCAGAGACAGTAGCTCATCTGCTGCTGCACAGTTTGTGTTGGTCATCCTCTAGTCCTTCATCAGCGGTCACAGGACGCTGCCCACAGGACGCTGTTGACTGGATTGACAACAGTGATTCCAAACATTCGAAGTATATATTTTAATAATGTTCCACTGTTTCAGTCTGAGCCACAAATCAGTCTGTGTAAAGCTGCGCAGCATGCACAGCAAAAAAATGCAAGTCATTCCTTGACTTACAATTTCTGAAAGTTTTACAACTTTAATGATATTTTTGGTTTTACTTTAATGCCCTGTAAAAAAGCTTTTCTGACAAGCAATCCCAGATATCACATTAACCTTTATTCCCCTTGGACTCTATTGGGTGCGTGGCAAACCTCCAACTTCCTTCTGTTTGAGTGGAACAGTATCTGACAATATGACTGTGTAAAAACTCTTAAAATCCAGTCTGAAAAGCCCAAAGAGCTTTGTGTTAAAGTTTAATACCATCTCTAGGATACACTATCTAGATCTGTGCTGGTATAATCCAAGGACACCCTTGTTGCCAGCTGTTTCTCCGTTTCTCCTTCAGTGTGCTCTGTAGGTTGTGTCCTTGTGCCATTAATTACACACTGTAATTTATGCATCGAACAGGTCTTTAATGAACACAGGCTGCTTTTATAATGGGCCTTGGCAAGCCCCCCTCTTTTCTCTTCGTTTCTCTGTCCCTCTCTTTCTATGTGGGCGTGTCAGGCCAGAGAGGAGAAAGCCCAGCCATGTTGTGGGAATTGACACAGAAAATGAGCAGATCATTTTGTTTAATTCATGAGTGTCTGAGCTTAAGTGCCTGATCCCTCGGTGTCCTGTTGCTCATGTCGGTCTTTTTCTTTGTCTCTCTTTGGTGGATGCGGGTGGTTATGCCATCCCTGTTCCCCCATTAACTTTTTGCTCATGCCTAATTTACTGTCCTTCAGTGACCCCATTCCCTCCCAATTCATTCGCCTATTTTCTCCCATTGCCCTCTCTCTCTCCTCTCTCTCCCTGCTTTCTCTAAATGTCCACTCTCCTCTATCTCTTCATCCATTATCTCTCTTTCAACTTCTATCCATCTATTCATCCATTTTCTCTCTCTCTCTCTCTCTCTCTCTCTCTCTCTCTCTCTCTCTCTCTCTCTCTCTCTCTCTCTCTCTCTCTCAGTCGCTGGCAACAAGATACCAGTTCCTCCGGAGCGTGTCCTTCCCATGTCCCGGCAAAGGCTCACGTCTGGAGGACGTGGCAACCTCGCCCCCCCCCTCCTCTGTCTACATGGGTCTGGGCTCCTCCTCACAGACCTCCGAGCTCACGCTGGCTGAGCTAAGCGTTCTCTCAGACTCCCTCCGCATCTCACAGGTGCCCAGATCCCCTTGCTAGTATTACCTCCAACCCAGAACTACACCACACCACACCACAGTGTATATACAGTATATATTCGCTCAAAACAGCATTGTAGTGCAAAGTAGAGGCAATGGGATTATTATTGTTATGATAAATTACATCACAGTATGCTAGTCGTCATGAGTATCGTCAATATTTCAATAAGACTGAACAACTGCATGCATCAAAAAAAATTGCAGTTGTAGAGAACCCGTAAGCATCAATAACCGGGATATAGTAACTGCATGTACTGCATAGTAGCAAGTAGCTGATTGGTTGCCGCCTATTATACCATTGTTTTAATTTGTTCATTTAATTTTTGTTTGATTTTACCCCTTTTCTTTTTTTCATTTACATTTATGTTTAGTTTTGCAAACATTTACACAACATGGTATAATTTTCATAGCCTCCTATAAAATGTAGCAAACTCGTTTGCTGGTGCAACTTGTCCATTTCAACCTTGTATACCTCAGAAAATCTAATTATTGATGCATATTGTGTATCATAAAAATGCATTTTAAGTATTTTGACGTTATATATTTTTATATGGCCCACTTTATGGCAAAGTTTGTTTAAGTCCAAGTGATCCTGATCTACATTGTTATGATCCTCATTTCTCTTTTCTCCTGGTTGACTCGTCTCCTGCCGTTACAGTCTTGTAGTGGTCTTCCGATCTGTCACCGCCCCCTAGTGGCGGCAGCAGTAAAAGGCTACCTAACCCGCAGGCTGCTCCGTACAGAGCGAGTGGCTCAGCTCATCAGAACTATCAAGGTGACTGTGTCTACTGCCACATATGATACTGCTTGCAATCAATCTTTTTTTAATCTGCTTGTGTCAGAAGTAGATGTAAAGGATTTAAAGGATAAAGTACACAGTAATTTGGAAAAAGCTTATCTGAAAATACTGCTGGTCAGTATGCATAGCCAGTGCCAATCTCTGCCATTTTTCATGTGTACACCACACCAATTTGTGTCAGTATTAAGACTGTGATTGGTTGATCTTCACTGTTGTACTCACAGGACACCCAGCTGTTTCTCAAGGACTTGCAGTCTCAGACACCAGGAAGAGAGTACAGCAGCAGACAGGACAGAGTTCTACAGGAGAGAGTCACACTACAAGTAAACCCTCTAATATGCTCAGAGAGATTACACTGTTATATTGCTGCTCATTGTGATTGTGATATGTAGTAAATATATTGCTGTTGTCAAAAGAAAACCTTGTATCTCCATTTTTGTCGTTTTTTAATTTTTGACATAATCTGAAAGTGCCTGTTGTCTTTTAAATTTTTTTGTAAATTTCATGAAGCATGGACCAAAAGAAACGGCCCAAAACGGTGTGAAAAAAGGTCTGATTCCATTGACATACATTAAAAGTAAAGTAGGTTTTTTCCTTCTCCTGTAAAGTTACCATTTTGGAGATACGAGGTTTTGTTCCGACAACAGCGATATACTAAAACACACTGGAGACCTCTTGGTGTGACATGGTTAAAAAGTGGCCTGCAATGTTTTTAACATAATGTTTCTTGGATCTTACAAAGGCCTCAATTTATCCTAACATCCACAGAACACCTGTGATAGGTCAGGATGCTCACAGCACATTTGCATATTGCAGATGTCTACGATATCAGGATTGTGAAAGCTGATATCTTGATAAAGGTTAACAGACAATATGTTGCGCAACCTTAAGACTAACAAAATAAAATGTCACCAAGAAGGGTAATACACTCACAAGTGCCACTCACTTGTCTTATTTTTTTAGCTTTTTATTTACTAAACTGCTGTTTCAAGTCATGTTTTGCCTGTTTGTTTGAAACACATAGTTTAGACTTTACAATATCTATTCTTCACATCTCTCTTTTGTGTGTTACAGCTGCGGTCAGCACGCTACGAGCTCCACGACCTCTTCTTTAGCCTGTGTCCTGCAGACCGGATGCAGCTGATTAGCTGGGACCGAGAACTGGCCAGAGAGAGAGAGCTCAAACACAAGGTAATGAAAGTATCATGACTCCAGCCTTTAAACAGGCAGTGATTTTACTTATTTAATTTTATTTTTTCATATAAAGGTTTTACCTGATCACTGGTGTTGTTCATATGTGTCTTTGATGTGTTGATTGAACATACTGAATTGTCTCAGGACAAATGAATGTATATTCAGTTTTAAACAGTTAGTGAATCTTTTTTTTTAAGGACTGGAAATGCATTGCACTGTGTGAGGTTATGTAGTAAGTAGACTGACAGGCTTTCTTTTGCAGAATAAGGAGCCTCAGGCTGGAGGGAAAAGCTCTATTTCTGCTGCCACCAGGAAAGCTCTGGAGAGGAAGAGGACAGTGATGTGAGTGATTTCTGTTGTCTGCCTTTTACCTTGTACACTGTATTCCAGTTGCAATAGGACAGGGGTGTCAAGCTTCGGTACTAAAGGGTCCAGGACAGTTTAGTAATTCTACTGCTCCACTGAGAACAAAGTTTCAACAACCTTCTCATCAGTTAGGAGCTACTAAGTATTGACAACCAGGAAGCAAAATGGCTAATTTTGGGTCACTTTGGGCTTGTAGTCCAGTAGTTGCATACAATGAAAAAATTACTTGTTAATTATAGTTATATGGAAATTAAACATTAACAAAATTTTCATGATCCAGTACTTGCTTTTAAAGCCTGGATAAAATAAGGTGTCTTTTCGCCCCAACATGACAGTTCAGCATTGCTGTCTTTTGAGAAATTTTACTGACCTAAAACAACTTGTCACATCTCCTTAATGTGTCCAGCCCTGTTGCTTGATTTCTTTGCTGGTGTCACTGCTGTCAGGTTGCAGAAGAAAGCAGCTGAAAGGACCAAGTTGACCTTAGGTGCAGAGGACGGCTGGACCTTTGTGCCAAACCCACGCAGGGTTCCAAAGAAGGCGATTCCTTTACGCCGTCCCAGATGAAAAGCTCAGGCCTCCCGAGGGGCTCATCTGGCTGTACCCGAGACAGGCGGTCTGTCAGTCTACTGCACATACATGTAGACGCCAACAGAGTGCCTTGATAGCATATCACCACCTTCCTGTCATTATTGTTTTGTTTACAGTGTTGTGTCAAAATTTGGAAATGTTTTTTACTAATTTATCTTAAGCTCACTTTGAGATGAGAAGCACGAAACCAAAAGCTCAGAAATGACATTATCTAAAGTCTTTCTCAGCTATATGGCCTTGTCTTGTTACTTCTTAACTTATTTTGTACCTGTATCTTTCTAATAAAGCAATGTTTTGCAACTTGTTGAATTTTTCCTGTGCTAATTTTAAAATGTTTAAAAAACAGAAACATACCACAAATGTTTTTTAAAACATATGTATATTTTTTCAATTGTATAATGCGTACATATTCTTTTAATTTAAATAATTAATCTAAATACAATCTGTGGTGCTCAACAGATGGAATAATTTACAAAGAGCCTGTGAAAATTATTTTGACATTGTTGGCTGACCCAGTGATTCACATGATGTAGCCCCAAAAGTCCATCTGCTGAAGTGTGAGTGAGCGACAACTGAAAGGCTACAGTCTCCCCTGATGGCCTCCCATATGTATCGAGCAGCTGAGCATCACATAAGAGTGCTGGGATCAGCTAGGATGACCCCCCCCCCCATATAATCATACATCAGGACTGGAGGGGGGGAAAACAACTGATCCTACATCATCACTCTTAATGAAGTTCAACACATGCGACCCCTGAATAATTCATGTGAGACAGAACAATTTATTCACAAAATAAATACTGTAGCTAGACATGAAAATCATAAGATCTGCAACAAAGCGCACACGTACAAGCAATAATGCGGCAAGTATTAATCATTCTTTACAGTTCTTACTTTCCAGACCAGTTCCCAGAAACCAACAGCACTAAATACAGCCAGAAAACATTTACCACAACCAGAACCCTCATCCGGATACATTTGCTTACATGTGTTTATCTCAAACAAGTGCTCAAAGTTCGCTCTCTCTCATTTTCCCCCTTTCCCATATTTAGGAGTGACAATAACCCAACCTAAACCAAGTTACTCATTTAGTGCACTACAAAGTAGGGAACTGGGTGCTTCCTGCTATTTGGAGCACAGCCTCAGGCCTTTAGCCTTCACAGGCCCTTCTCATCATTAGTGCACAAAAACCTCAAACCAAACACCTTGACGCTCAGCTGCAGCAAAGTCGCAATTACTGTCTCCCTCCTAACTCAGCCTCTGGCTGAAGTCTGTCACAATTAACCCACTTCCACAGCACTGTGGGACATGTGCCTCACTTTGTTTCACCCCCAAGTCCTCATTTGTCTTTTGCTAAATTACCCAACTCACTTAGCGTTGTACATTTACCCCACTCAAACACACAGAGCAAGCAGACGTAAACCTCACACTGACACCAGAGTACAAAAATAGACTCATTGACTGGCATTATGTGCTTAGCCATTTTCAGGAGTGCTGTCAAACAGGCGTAATTGGAATGTCACACAAAGTTAAAGTTCTGTTGGAGATGTAAAAGTGGCAAATAGTGAGCTCTAGCAATCAAATCTGGAACTGCATAGAGAATTCCTATATCGACTCCTGAAAAAGCTTAAAGCTGTCCAAGCTGGTAATCCACACCAGTGCTGTAAGACATGGTTCTGAGGTCACGTAGCTCAATTTGCCATGATTACTCACATAGCGATTAATTATGGGTTGCCATAGCAACACAACATCTGATGCACCAAAAAATACTTTTAAACTATTTCCAGACCTGTGTGCAAATCACTACAGAGGTGAAGCTACATCCTTCCTTTTTTAAACTGAATAAGGAGGATCTATCAGGACATAGCGGCACCTGATAGTGAAGTAAAGTTTGAGTCTGTTTTACCTGCAGCGTCTCATCCTCTTCCCTCCAAAATAAGCAGAGCTTTAAATGAAAAACATAAAAAATAAGGCAAAATATAGTTTGCTAGAAAGAATAATTAAGTTCTTCAGCTTCAGAGACTCATACTTGCATTAAGTCGACTTCTCCTCTAACCGTATTTGGTGCAGCCTATACAGTCATAACAGTGATTCATCATTCAGTAATATCTGGGTATTTAACACTATGTACACAGCGAGAGGCAGGACAGTGTGTGTGAACAGGAGGGCTGCTGTAGCTACTTTGCCCCCTTTCCCAGATGTACACACACTCTTAAAAATAAAGGTTCCTAAATGATTCTTGGTTTGGACATACAGTATTGAGAGAGTATTAATAGTATTAGTATTAGTATTATACAGTATTAACATCAGAGACCACCTTTTATTTATTTAACATCCTGTCAAAACAGCTATTCAGTACAAGTTAGTCATTTTTCAGGGGACATTTCTGAGGAAATTAGATTTAAGATATTCCACTTGCAGAATAAAGGGTGTTTCCAAAACTGGAGTTCAAAAAATAATTAAAAAGATACAGAGATGGGACTTCTAAGACCTGGTAGACCACCAAAACTGTCCATTTTAGATGACCAGAGGAGAAGATCAAGCTACAGGTGTTTCTGTCCATCCTTCCACTGTGAGAAGACAACTCAGCACAGTTTGAAAGGATGTGTAGCTGTCAAGAGGCCCTCACTGAGAAAAAAAAGGGTGAAAAAAAGCTGCTGGTGCTCTCAGAAAACTGGACTGGCCACCCTAGAGTCCAGACCTCAACATAATTAACTGAGTTTACTTGGATGGTGAGAAGCAGAAAATGCAACCAGCTTCTAAGACTGAACTTTGGAAGTGTGCAAAAACATCCCTGCAGTTTTCTTTGAAAAACTGAAAGCATGTCTCCTGAAAAGAATGGAAGTTGTAATAAAGTCAGAGGGGACACAATAAATAATGACTGATAATGTACTTAGTTGTTCAGGCCTCTGTGTAAAGTTCGGTTAAACATGCTTTTGCTTTTCCCCCTTAGATTGACGGAATGAATAACTTGTACCTAATGACAATTTTGACAGGAAATGAGAGAAATGAAAGGTGGTCTCTGACTTTACAGTTCTGTATGGTTCTAAGAAAAACCTTTAAATCTTATAGAAGTAGAATTTTTACATTATGTAGTTCTTTAAACCACACGCACCTCATTAACAAAACTTTAAAGAACCATCCTTGAAAGGTTCTTGAGGGACCCAAAGCTGGCACTGCATTGCTCCAAAGAACCCTTTTTGGCTCCTTTATTTTTAAGAGTGCACACATATATAGCAACACTGGAAAGCATGATGAAGCAGAATGAGCAAGCATGGCGATTCCTAAACGGCAAATAAGCCAGCAGGACTTGACCCCTCCTCTTCTTTTTCACCTTCTCCTAAGCCAATCGCAGGCCTCGATCTTGTTTTGGAGTGCATACATGCATGTGAGCCTGGGGTCAGACACAGTAAACCATATTCAACATCCCACAACGCATACGTACACTGTCACAATGTCTGCCAACTCTTCCACAGAAGTTGCTGTGAAGATCTGTATGTGTGTGTGTGTGAGTGAGAGAGAGAGAGAGAGAGAGAGAGACAGAGAGAGAGACAGAGAGTCTCAGTTAGCGTGACTCGGTCACAGTTGTAGTAATGAAGACTTCCTCCGGAGGAAGTTTGAAATGGGGAAAGCAAGAAGCAGCAAGGCATCATGGGAAGTCCAAGGCTGCTCACTGACTGGGGGGGAGGAGAGAGAGAGAGAGAGACAGAGAGACAGAGAGACAGAGAAAGAAAGAAAGAGAAAGAGAGAGAGAGAGAGAGCGCGAGAGAGAGAGCGAGAGAGAGAGAGAGAGAAAGAAAGAAAGAAAGAAAGAAAGAAAGAGAGAGAGAGAGAGAGAGAGAGAGAGAGAGACTGGGGGCTTTCAAGTCTGGTATTACCTCCCAGTATAGAGTGAGCAGAGAATAGAATAGACGAATAATAGAGAAACTATAAGACAGCAGATGGATTCTCAGGCTCCAGCGATGAGTTGTTTTTTTGTGTTTCCTTGTTCAGGCCGGGCCGACGTCCAACGTCCGCCCACCGAGTCCAGAGATGCCCCACTGCCCCACACCAGAGCCCCTCCCTTCCCCTGTCTCCTGTCCAATCAGATCACAGAAACCAGGGTCCAGGACCAGGCGGGGCGGGGCTTTCCATGGGTGTCATGTGACGTTGACCTCTAGCACGTGGTCGTCCGTGCTGGGCAGCACCAGGACCTGGCGCGCCAGACTGCAGTTAAACACCTGCCCTGGGCTGAAGGGCTCTAGCCTGGGCATGGGCACACTCCTCTGCTGCTGCTGTTGCTGCTCACCGCTGCCCAGGGAGTGGACGCTTCCTCGGCTTCGGAGGCTGGCTGTGTCTGCCTGGTCCTCAAGACCTTTGTCCAGCAGGGAGAGGTTGTCGTTCTCCAGGCAGGAGTCTGTGAGATGGAAGGGAAATAAATTTCAGTAGCTGTAGTTTGGCAGCTGTGGGTTTTGGACCCCATTCTAAAGCAATAGTTCTGAAAAAAAATCTAATTTACACAAGTGTCCTTTATCCAAAATGTAGTCACTCAGCCAAAACAGTTTGGTGTCTGGAGTGGACATAGCTAAAAACAATACCAGCAGCTCAAACTGAAGCCTGAATTTTATGGTCCATTTTTAGAGGTAACTGTTTGTCACATGGTGTCAGAAAAAAAAAAGTCTACTTAACAACCTGACACGGGTTTAGGAAAGTGTGAGATGATTTAAGCATGCAGTTACACAATGCTAACTGGTGTACATAAGTATTCATCACTTATTAGCTACATTAGCCTTACAGCTTCAGTGCAAAACTATTAAAACTAACATTAATTAACACACGTTACTATTCTACAATTATTCAGTCATTAACTACTATTAGATACGGATTAAGTTGTTTATTAGGGCCTGTTTTTATAAAACATTGTCATAAACCCAACCCAAACATGTTCTGGCTGATCAACTACATCTGCAGTGAGGGAGAAAGTGGGGAAATCACAGTATATACAGTGAGAGCAGGAACTGGACTGTGCAGTGAAACAGAAGAGAGGTGCTAGTAGACAGAAGGGACTTTAAGCATCAACAGCTGGAGGAAAAGCTACAGTGACCGGAAATCGGTGTTAAATACACAGCACACAAACATTAAATTAGCTAATAAACTTCATGTAAAGCCAACATTGCCAACTATTCCTAATGGAAAGTAGCTAAAGCCCTGTTCAAAAATCACTAAACGTCGCTAGATGATGTCACACGCTAATTAGCATATTCGTGATGTCATCACCTTATATTTGCATTATGCCTAGTGTCAGATGTTGGCAGCCCTTTGCATCTGGCTGCTTCTCTGTGCTCACATGGGCTGTATTCCACATATTTTTGTGTTTCTGTTGTCAGTCAGCAGGATGAATATGAAATAGTGACAAACACAGCGCATGAAGACTACATGTTAACCCGCAGACACTTCCAAGCCATTTCCAAGCTGCTGCTTTGCACTGTTTAAATTCTGATTTTATAACCATGACGTCATCTGATAAAATCACTACACACATAATTTAAAGACAACGGCTGTGCTGTGATTTCAGCTGTATTTACATGTAAAATGATCATTCAGAGAGAAAGTTAGAGGCAACAGAATATCCTTCTTATTTTTTCTCCCAAACAGCACACAGCCTCCGTCTGGGTAACAAACCACAAGAAGGATGCTCTGTTTTCAGTGTGATAGTGAGTGATTAGACAGTGATAGTCAAAACAATCAAATTAAATTGTTTAAATTAACACAAAAGTGGAGCGAACAGTACAGATTAGTAATTGGTCCTTGACAACACTGTCTGCACAAGCACAGCTCATTCACCTCTATGTCCGCTGTCATGTCACTGAACAGAGCAGACGCAGAGAGAAATAAGCCTCTTGCTAGGGGGGCAGTGCTGGCAACTCTCTTCTAAGGAGAGTAGCGTAGGTTTGTCCAAAAAGTCGCTAGATTCGTCGCTAGGCTACAGGAGCAGGAAGCCACAAGGAATTTGCATGTGTGCTGAACAGCACGGTTCTTTCTGGTCACCGTAGCCAAAGTGCTTAAAGTGCCTTGTGAGTAAGAGGAGGAGGGAGAATAAGAGACAGTGACTGAGAGAAACCGTGTGTGCCAACCTGTGTCAGGCTGGGTTGTGGGCAGTGCGCTGTGGGGCAGGTACTTGAACACTTTGATGCTGGGGAAGGGCAGTTTGCCCGCAAACAACGGCATGACCTCCATCTGAACTTTGTGCGTTGCCATGGCAGCCACTGGCATGGACACTAACCCTGAACTCTTTCCACACACTGCCCAGTTACTGCTGTTATCAACCACTGAAACACACAGACACAAAATCTGTTAAACACCGAGAAACACATCAGACCTCAAAGGAAGTGAACGAGTACTCTTGAGTTTACCCAGTTAATAGCTACAGCCTGTTCAGCATTACAGTGTAATTTAGTGAAACAATATCCTGTTACCCATAATAATTGCCAAGTACTTTAGAATCTGTACCTCTCACTTATTTTGCTAGAATCTACAGCCCAAAGGGGAATCCCACAATTTTTTCTACATTTTGCATAATTAAATAGTTGACATGTAAATAAAGTTATTCAGAGTGGTGTGATGTAAAATGCTCTGTTCTAGAGAAACTCATCAAATCAGAATTGTTCACAGTGGTGGTGAAAGGAAGCAGACATCTAAACTGTTCAATGCCTATAAAAGCTCCCTCACAGAATGTTTTTATATGTAACAGTTATGAACACTCTGCCTGATGACAGACACTGTTTTTTGCTAAAATGCTGACGTATTTGTTAAGGTACATTCTTGGTGGAGAGGTATATGCAGGGTGTTTTAAGGCAAAATAGTCCCCAAAGAAAACTTCTTTTTTTTCAGATTTACCACTATTTTACCATCATCAACATTACACATAAAAGACACTTGTAGACTTACACTGAGTCTGTAAGTTTTGCTGTGATAAATGAATATTCACATCTCAGCCACTGAATTATGTAGAAATTCTGAAAATTCCACTTTAAGGGACTGTAAAATCAAATGTTACCACTAGGGCTCAAACAACCTGAGGTATATTATATAGCAAAAAAACTAATGCATTAAACAGTTGATGTTTACAGCCACATCTTTGGTGTCTAAGATGTCTTACCCTCATACATGAGTTTGGTCGACCGGAGGCCCTCACTCTCTGTGGCCTCCTCATCCTCCCTCTCAGACTCACTGGGTTCTGTCAGACGTGTGATTGACACCTCAAGCCGACAGAGGGTGCCAGCACGACACTGCTGTTCCCCCACAGCAGGCTGGATCTCAGCTTTCATACTGTATAGTGTCTGTAGTATATGAGTGAGAGAGAGAAAGAGAGAGAGAGAGGAGAGAAAGAGAGAGAGGGAGAGAGAGACAGAGAGAGAAAGAGAGAGAGGGAGAGAGAGAAAAAGAGAGAGGAGAGAAAGAGAGAGAGACAGAGACAGAGAGAGAAAGAGAGAGAGAGAGAGGAGAGAAAGAGAGAGAGGGAGAGAGAGACAGAGAGAGAGAGAGAGAAAGAGAGAGGGAGAGAGAGAAAGAGAGAGAGGAGAGAAAGAGAGAGAGGGAGAGAGAGACAGAGACAGAGAGAGAGAGAGAGAGAGAGAGAGAGAGAGAGAGGGAGGAAGAGGGAGAGAGATTGCTTACTGACTTCATAAAATCCATACTTCGACAATCCTGGAATCTAACACTACAAATATCTAAAAATACCAGCAGCCTTTAACAATACCTATCATAGGATCAGCCGGTATATTGTTTATACAGTATATCATGACATTAAACTGTGATATATTCAGTAGGAATACATTTGATACGAATTGTATCCATGACATTATGCCCATAAACTAGCGGTGTCCCTATATCAAACAGGTTTTAGATTTTTTTTTTTGAAAGAACAGTTTAAAATACATAAATCATACTTTTCCTTTCTGATAATGTGCTTTCTGCCTGATCAATGTTTTAAGTACTGCAGAAGGTTCCATTTGGTGTGATTTTAAAAGAAGAAGACACACCAAAACAGGCCAATCAATTCAAGCTTTGTCATGTCTGTAGTAGCACGCAGTAACCATGGGTTCATTAACTTAATTCACGTTAATAATCTTATGATACATTGTTACAAAAAACTGCTATAAACTATAAGAATTGTAGTGTTTTGGCTACTATTTTTGTCCAAAACAGAAATTGCATGTTGTACGAACAGAACATCTTTTATATGATGATGCCGCTGTGATGGAGCAAAGTTAAAACTGGTTTGATTTGTTTAATTAATCAAACAGAAGTCTCTCACCGAGACTCTCTCCAGCTGGAACTCATAGCTGTACGGTTTGAGCGCCGAGTCTGGAGCTTCAGCAGGTGAGAAGCTGGCAGCAAAAACACACTGCAAACATGGCGGCGGCTCGCTGCTCCACTTCATCTCCCACAGACTGTACATGCACTGCTTACTGTACACCAGCTGTACACACAGGAAATGACATCACAGCAATTTCAGTGGCTAATACAGGGCAAAATTACTACATTACAACTTTGTGAGCATTTGAAAGAACTCTAACCTGGTGGGTTTTAGCGTTGAGAGAGAGCAGCTCAAGTGAAGGTGTGGGCTGACACTCCAAGAGTGTCTGATTGGCCAGCCGGAAGTTTGTATCTGATACATTTTGGAGGCACACTTGGATGTACTTCCTGTGAGGTCACAAGTAGACAGAAAAAACATTGCACTACTGTTATTATAAACAAGACAAAATACTTAAATCAATAAAAATCATGTATTGTGCAAACATGCAAAATATGTTCATATTTACGAACCTTTTCCCAGCAGACTGTAGCGAGTGCTTGGCTCTAAAGGGCGTGTAGAAGGTGAGGGATATGAGAATGGAGTATATAGACCAGGGACAGTCAATAGACACCTGGAAAAAACAAAATGAAGAATCTGTTTAAATGCCTAATTCAAGCCACATAAAAAGATTAAATTAAATTCAAAACAAAAATCAAATAAAGGTGGGTAAATAAACAAGAACCAAACATAAGACATAAATTTATAGAAATAAAAGTAAGATATAAAATGACACCAATTACCATAACTATGGCTAGATTTCAACCTGTAACAACCAGACTCAGAACTGATAAGAATTTGTTTAAAAAAAAAACAAAAAAAAACAAGGAGCCATGGGTTACAGTGATTTCATTTACCATGGTTTAAAATTGTAGACACAATGCATAGCAATTGTGCCCCAACTGTGGTGTAATCACTGCAATGGAAATATGCAAATAAGCGGCTTATTTATTTTATCAAACAAACAACAACATGCAATATGATAAAATACAACTTATGCTCAATAAATAATTCTATGTATTATTAATGGGCTCAACCAATAGGAACATTTTGTGGCCAATGCCGACATCAAAATTAAAGAGATAACAATTCTAACAACCAATAATATGGGCCAAAATATTTTAGATTGTCCTATGCCAAGGTTTGAGCACCTGTCAAATTATCTTTTGTTGATGTTTTAAGTGAAAACAAATAAACACATACACTACAGAGAACACAAATCATAATTTACAATTACTGTTTATTTCCTGAATTTAACATAATTAAAATCCTATTTTATGTTTTATTTTTTACAATATGTTAAACTCAGCAAATAAATAGATGCCCTAACATGTGCAGACAAATGCCTTATTTCCACTTAGAAAATCAAAACAATGTAATTTGACTAGGGGTGTTCAAACTTTTGCATATGACTGTGTTTATATTGTAGATTTTAATTTTATACTCCAAAAGTTTTTTAGTTTAACAGTGATTTACTAAACGACATAAGTGAGTTTTTAAAAGTCACACTTTTTGAACTCAAACAGAAAAAAACACATGCTATAAATATTTTGCATGTTTTCACCAGTTCAGCCTGTATTGCTGTCAAATAGTTAGACAGGGAAGGTTTCATATTGGGTTCCTCAGCTGCACATTTGTTTTGCATAGTTTGAATGTCGGTGATGCTGCAAGCAAAACATGCTAATTATTGGCATATTATCAGGAGCATTTTTGCTGATTCCATTAAAACAATTCAATTTTGGCCAATATCAGACACTGGTCGACTCTTATTTTTAATGCTGATTGTATCAAAATTCTTCCACCAAGCAAAGTAGTCTGTTAAATGTAAGGCTATAGTAGCTAAGCAACATAACAACTGTTTTAACAAAATGCCACATTAGTGCAGAATGTAGTCGATGCATGCAGCCATACATGTGTAGATCATGTATTATATTGTGGCTTTGAAAGTGGCTCAACTTTCAGACTTTGGAACTGGCCATTTAATAAATGCACTTTAACTATTCTCCAAAATGATAGTGAAGATAAAGCTTAACGTGCTTTGTCATATATGGCAGACATCCTGCATACCTTCTGGTCGATGGAGGCCATGCCGCTGTTGTAGCGCGTGCGGCTCTTAGGCCGATGGCGGATCTCTCCGTTGGTAAGGCGCTCGCTCTCGGCCCGCGCCGGGGATGATGGTATATGGCAAAGCACCTCCAGCTGGAACTCCAGGGTGTGGTAGGGCGGAGTCACAGGCAGAGAAATGCTCGTCACCTTCTCAGAGGCCTGGATGGACAGAGCAGCTTCACCCACCAGCTCTGCAGATAGAAAGAGAGAAAGAATCAGTGTAAGAATAAATATAGTAAACAGCTTTCTCGTTCAATCATACTTAAGAGAAAACTAACATGCATGTTTGCTTCCATATTAGGGATGTTTTCACACTAGGGAAAATAATCAATGCCACAAGGCTGGGTGATTATTTCTATGCTGACTTTTAATAAAGGTGCTTTTTTCACTATGGCAGTTTGAATTATTAACTTTGTTTTATTCACTTCTATTTGTACTTGTTTTCCTTGATTAGTTTTTTTATTTAACTGTTTTATTTACTACTACTGTTTTATTACTGTATTCATTTTATGCTTTACTTTTACTTACTAATACCATTAATTTTTATTTCAGACTCTTATTTGTGTTAATAATTGCTTATGGCTTGTTTTTTACTTATAATGATATACCTCAACATATTTCAGAGTTTAAATGAAGTTTGAATTAATTAATGTATACAGCCAAAAATCTTAAGTATAAAATTTTAAGTGTGAACAGCATTTTGAGCCCCCCAAAAACAAGCACTTGTTCTGGAGAAAAATTTGCTTGGGGAAAAAAAAAAATCAAACCAGTTCCACAGTGCATAATATGTGTGGTCTTTTTGTCAAACCTTCTCTTATTCAGACACGTTTTCCTCAAACTCTCAACCTTTTTTTTTTAAACTATCCCTAATAACACTGACTAGTGCAAACTTGCCAACTCTGCTAACTGCCTCACTGGTTTGCGCTCTTGTGAGTGAATTTCTACCTTTCTTTATCCTCATCCAGCAAGTGAAAGGCACACATCGCCACCTAGTGTGCCAAAGTCACAGCTGTTACAAGTTCAAGGCCTGTTGCAAAAAGCAGTTTAGGAAGCACAGTATCAAATAAACCCTTGTGATCATTAATATAAAAAAAAAAAGTTCAATTTTATCATTTTATTGCCCATGACCACAATTCCATACATAAATCTGTGACATTCATGACATCTGTGCAACCTACGTCTCCTCACCTCCAGTGCTGGAGAGGATGCGAGCAGAGCAAGAGGAAGAGTGCAGGATGGGCATGGAGGGAGAGTTACTCAGCTGCAGAGCATCACCCTTCTTCACCGCATAGTGTCCAGTTACGATTGTGAACTTCACCCGCTGAGGGAGCCCTGCCAGCAGGCTCTCTGCAAAACAAACCCAAGTTCAGGTCACAAATTATATTATTTTAGTTAGACTAGAATCTAGTTTAAAAGAGAGTGTCTAGATTAACTAGATTAAAATACCTTATAGTCTCTAGAAAACAGGCCTTTATCAGTTAGAGGGGAATTCCACAGACTTGCACTATGTAAGACTACTTTCCTTAAAATTATATTAAATTAAAAAAAGTGAAAACAAAAAACATTGGGCCTCATTTACTAAACGTTCTTAAGAAGAATTTTTTTCTTAAAACCCACTTATGCAGTTTTCACAAAGATTCTGACATTCACCAATGCTTTCTTATTTGGGATTTGTTCTTAGGTAAGAATGAATCTAAACACACTCAAGAGCACAAAGGTGTGAACAATTCCGTAGTTTATGAACACATAATGTATCTGACACAGACGTTTTCTTATGTTTTTCCTTTCTCAAGAACAAATTTAAGAAAAAAGGAAGATTACTGGTAAACGAGGCCCTAAAATTAAAAATTAAAAGATTAAAAGTTAGAGGTGTTGGGTCAGATTTCGTTGGACTGTTTCAGGTCATGTCATACATCTTTACATACTTAACCTCACAAGCACAAAAGATTCAAAAAGAAGGTCCGACTCGATCTTTAGGTCTCAAATGCATAATCAACGTCATACTGATAAAGATATGACGACAACAGTGCTCACATCCTACTCACATCCTCGGAAAACATGGCTTTCACCAAATTTTGACTGAGTTCTCTTTGAATACACTTTTAACACACTTGCAATCATCAGATTCTTCCATTCAAGGAAGGGGTCCGGAGCACAACCCACTTTACAAAATGTTCTTCCACATGCTCCACACAATTACATAGTTCCACCAGAGAGGTCTCCAAATTCCCATACGTACACAGTGTAGCTTTAAATAAGACAGGAACAGTCATTCAGAGTGGCGTTATGCAAAATGCTTCGTTCTAGAGACACGTACCAAGTCAGAACAGGTTCAGTGGTGGTGATGGGAACCAAGTATCTAACAAGTTTAATGTCTCTAAAAGCCACCTCACAGAAAGCTAGAACATCAAATGGATGCAAATTTGCTGCCCAATGAATAACACTTTATTTTCAAGGCAAAATAGTTCTCAAAGAATTTTTTTCCCCCATATTTGCCACTACGTTACCATCTTCAACATTACATATAAAACCTCAGAAGGGGCGTTTAGGTTCACTGATCATTTTCGATGGCAAAAATAAATGGTCTTTATTTATGCTGTAGACATCCTTACCTCTGGTTCCTATCACCACCACTGAAAAGAAAGTTGGCAAGTTTCTCTAAAATGAACCATTTCACATCAAACCAATTTGAATTAATTATTTTCAGCTCAATAACTGAATTATGAAAAAAATCAGTGGATCCCCTTTCATCTGAACATACTGCAGTGTTTACAAACTCAGTTTACAGACTTAAAAAGAATGGTTGACAGACAGACCAACCTGTAAATGGCTCAATGGTCAGCTGAGGCTCTTGAGAGTAGACGTCATACTGCACAATGGGATAAATATGAGGCAACACAAACTGCACTCGTCCCACTGTAGCACACAACTGCCGCAGAGTGTAGGTGCCTGGCTTCATACTCTGAGACAGCCGGAGGAAAAGAGACAGAGGAGGCAGGGTTGAGTGATGTGTAATGAAAGGAAATACAAGTCAGAGTGACTAAGAGACTGAGTAAGCGGGTGAGTAATTTGCTTATCATGTGAGTAATATACCCACACAGAGAATGACTGGGGGATAAAACTGCTCCTGCTATTGGGGTACGTTCTTTTATAGAATCACAAGTTGATTCATCAATAAGCTGTGCATCAAACGACTGAGGGCCAAATCTCTGAACATGCGGAGGCACACATGTTGCATATGCGTCTCCCAACTCAAACAGACAGAAATGTCTTTGCTGTTGTGGCGCATTAGCATACTTGCACATAATGTTAACATGTGCACTAGGGGGCAGTGTTGCCTTTACTAAAGTGCAATGTTTTGTGTTAGTATAGTACAGACAGAAAGAAGTTAAATATTGGATGAAATCAAGAATATATTTTATAATTGCAAGGTATTTTGTTTCAGTTCCTAGTTTGGGTTTTAGGGCTCTCAAAATAAAATCTGACATTCACATATTTATCGAATTCATTTAAAAAAAAAAAAGGACATTCAAATGTTTAAAGCTTCGGCTGCAGCTTATTATGTATTCCAGGCCAGTTAGTTACTAACATGATCATAAACAACCATGACAACTACCAAACGTAGGAAAGAACCTGCCACTGCTGACCATAAGCAAATTATCATCAGTTTGTTCTGGCGTTAATTAGAACTGTTTGGGTTTTAAAACTGATATTACAAACATCCAACACATTTTCTGCATCAGAATAGGCCTATGTTCCTTTTTTTTGATAACCAGGTTGAGAATCCCCGGGTTAAACCATGTGTGCTATTTAGTCGTTTATACTGAGCGTCCCTTTGTGGATTAAAAAGACATAATATTGACTTAGAAATCTCCAAATAACAGAATGACTTACTTTTGAAAAATGTATTAAGAATGCTAATATATTTGAATATTTGACAAACACACATAGGAAAATACAAATTTGATTTTCAAACCCATCTGACAGCCTTATTTGGACTCATCCCATCTCCAAAGCCCCTAAATATACATTTCTGCATGCTGGCTTCTCTGCAAGCTTCTGCAAGCTATGATAACCCAGAAACCCCTTCTTTGCATCTCAGTGCACATCATAGAAGTCAAGCCTAAGTGGCATTACTGTTACTGAAAAACTCTAAAGCAGAAAACATCCTCACCGGTGCAGTGAAGACGATGCTGTTGTTGCCAGGCAACAGCGTCACATCATTGGTCTTCAGCATCTGCGCTCCGTCTTCCATGGTGAGAGCCGAGGCTGAGGCGCTGGGTGTGTCCAGGGACAACGTGCTGTCATTTCCTCGCAGCAGCAGGTGAACGTTCTTGCACACCACACCAGTGGAGTTGAGGGCGTTGTCTGAGGGGCTGCGGTCCTGCATCTCATAGAGCTCCAGGGCAGGAGCAGCCGAGGCCTGCGGTGACCCATAAGAGGGACTCGTGGCAGGGAACGTGACGGTGCCGTCTGGGCTGACCCCCGGGCGCCGCTGTGAGCCTGCCGGGCCGGCCCGTGTGCCCGGCTGCTCTAGTGTGAAATGGACACTGGCCGCCAGCTGCTCCAGCCGCACGGGAACAGGCATCAGGCTGCAAAGGCGCAGTTCTAACTGCAGGGAGGCACCCACGTGCACTGTCGCTGTGGCCGGCCGGAAACGTAGCTCCCGCAGCTGAGCAAATGCACTCATGCTTAAAGCCATGCGCTGGTCTAGAGTCCAATGGAGAAAGAAGAACACAGACAGACATAAAGAATGTCATTTAGAATTATTCTATTAAGCCCCCCTACAGAATGTGTGCCAAAACAAAGGTGCAGTGCCCTCTTCAGGTGATGTGCTGTTAGCTGTGGGGTCAGAAACTCTGGGTACAATGATTTTTATTCAGCACTTTACATACTGCAATGCAACGAATCCCATTCAACAGGACTAATTACATTCTCTTTTTGTAACAAAACATGCAGTTGTTTGGTGTTCAGTGACTGACGATACCCACAGTATGGTCAAACAAGACGATATAACAAAATATCTTCATACTGCCCACCTCTGTTCGTAGGGGTATGCATTTCTAACCTCAAAACTATTCTTAAGGAAAAAAATTCAATTACGAAATATTACGAAATATCAAATTTCACCATGATTTGATTTTAAAAATTGCCAAGTTACATCACATTTACAGCAGCAATGCTAATCCAACCACTGATGACCAGCTAAAAAGTGCTGCGATGTTGATGAACGTCTGACCTTTGCCTTCAGATGCCTGGTTAGCGAAGGTGAGAATTTCCTGGCAGTAGTGCTTCCTCTCCTCGTCTGTCAGGTTGGCATCACTGGCCAGCAGGGCACTTGTTTGCAGGTAACTGGCACTACAAGTGAAGGAACTTCAAAAGCCCAACAACTCCATACAAACTGATGGAGGGGAATCTGAATATTTATCTGCTTTCAACCAGCGGTATTAGTTAGCTGAAACTACTAGAGATGAAGATCTGAATTATGAAGTAGGGACTATTACTAGCGGGTGGTGCACACCTTGAGAAGCAAACTGTCCTAAAGAGACAGAAGGGGAGTTGTAAGGTTCAATGACACTGTGATGAATTTTGAGGCATTAGATTAGTGAAGGATACTCTTCCGTCTGCTGGAGTTGTTTCTGACACTGAGCAATCTGCTTGCGTGTGTGTGTCACCGGCAAGCTCCAGCCTTCTGCCGTGTATGACTTCAGAGAGTCCAGCAGGAAAGTTTGTGCTGTCTGGGGGTCACCTTTCCTCCTATAAACACGCACACAGACAGACAACACAGGCTTTCAGTTGTATTTCTTTAGATTATATATCATTACGACTAAAGAGTTGGGCAATGCTCATAAAATATTTTCTAACTAATTTATAAAATGTTTTCAAACTAAATACAATTACTTTTACACAACCATTTTCCAACCTCTCTATCACTTCGAAATGACCTCTGTTTTGACTGGCTGCCCTGTGCTGTGCAACATTCGAAAAGCATTCCAGGATGAAACACTCTTTATAACTTCAGTGCGAATGGGCGGCGCTAAACTGCTGTAGGCTGAATAGATGGACATATTCAAATCTGTTGATTTTCATAACATCACAGAAACAGCTAACTCAGAAAGTGCCGTTTTAGCAGCGTAGTTCCCACATATGGACCATATGGGCTGTGGATTTAATGATTTAATGTTCTGAAACTTTCACAAAGTTTTGCAAATAAACTCATTTATTTAAAAACAGTGAGGATAAAATCAGTTTTCCATGATATAAGACCCATATGTTACTATTAATAAGATTAATAAGTTATCATTCTTCCTGATTACTGGTACTCTACACTAATAGAACACAGTACAAACCTGACATTGCTTGATTTTATTGGTCTGTTTTGTTCCAAAGCATATTTCCAGAAAGGACACTTTAAGAACTGTATTAAAAAATATGACAGTGTAAAAATACTTCATTTTAAAACATATTCATTAAATTTTTATCGGACAGTTCTTTCAAAATGATTTGACATTCCCAGCAAATTACATCCATTGCAGTTAACTGTCATGTCATGTTTAATAATAATAATAATTTTATTTATATAGCACTTTTCATGCTGGTGGCAGCTCATAGTGCTTTACAGACAGGTGATAAAACATAGTTATAGAAAAGATCATTAGTACTTAATTAGAATCAGTTTGGGTGACTAAAGCACAAAAAATTGCATTAAAAAGCTAAAAATAAACTGCTTGAAAACAGAAAAACACACTATTCTATTTGCATTAGAGCATGGATACAAGAAAAGCATTAACAAGTTAGACGACTGAATTGTCAGCAAGTGTTTTTTTTCTTTAAGGCGAACAAAAGTATATCATCTTTGTCTTATACCAGTCCTAATATGTAGTCCGTCATAAAAACAGACTAAGAACTTAGCATTCTACAGCAGCACAAGGCAGCACATCTTACTGTAGTCAGCCTGCAAAACATACAAGCCAGACAAGAGTACACTTCACACAAACTCAAAAGCCCACTCACATGTAGAACTCAGCTAGGCTTTTCCCTACCAGCCGAGCTGAACGCATTCTGCCTATGGCTCTGTACATCTCCAGAGCAGCATGAGACAGCTCCTGATCGACAGAAGAAGAAGAGAGGGAAAGAAGACTGATTAAGTGTGGGATGAGATCAAAAGTTGGAACAAAATGCATGTGAGTGTACATGAGCAAGTGAACAAGCAACCAAAAACCAAACAATGATACAGACTAGAAGGGAAAAGTTTGTGAATGAACTTTAAGTTGGCTTGAGAAAGCCATTGAAAGAAATCCCACGTGGTTGCTAAAGTGTTGCTATGCTATTTCTACCCTGTCCCAGGCACATGCTACAGTGTTTCAACGCCACTGCAATGGAATCCCAGGCGGTTGCTAAGGTGTTGCTAGGCCAATGCCATGTTATTGTTGGTGGCGGCTAAAGTGTTGCTAGGCTGTTGCAATGGCATCCCACATGGTTGCTAAGGTGTTGCCAAGCCGTTGCTATAGCATCCCAGGTAGTTGATAATGTGTGTATGTGTATGTATTTGTAGCAGTTAGATTTTAATTTTCTGTCATTAACTTTCTATGGGGAAAAAAATATAGTATTTTAACAAACACAGTATGAAAAACATAAGTGTAATTTGTCCCAAAGGCAAAAGCACACCATTTAAACCCTGCAAAGTTTTGTTGTTCTAGCTTAAAAACAGCAACCATAAAAACTGCCACCCAACTTGAGCCCAATGGGATCTAACAAAATACAGTTTCAAGCTGGGTTCGGGATGATTTTTTTATGTACAGGCTGGGGTCTGGCCCTGGTTTATTTTCAATGACTAATTCTTGAGGGAACACTGCGCTTATGTTTTCGCTGGTGGTGGTCACAGCTCCACTGAAAACAATGCAATATCTAGAATGCAGTAATAGTGACAAAGTAAAGCCCTGTAAAACCATATGTTGTAATCCATCTCTGTTAGTGGGTGTGAGCAGGTTTGGGTCTGGTTCAGGTTCGGGTTTTAAACTGAGCAGTACTTGTCCAGATTTGTCAGGTTTCAAAAGTTGCGGGCAAGGTTTGGTTGCAGGTTCAAGCACAAATTTCCTCTAATACAGATAAAGCAAAAATAATTAAACTGCAACAGAAAATGTTTTCAAATCTATTACATTTGGATATGATCGACATTTCAATGTAAGAATATTACAGCCGACACCAGACGTTCATCAGATCTTACCAGATAGTGTTTTTCAAATGCCTCCACCGATGACAAGGCTTCTTTGAGTTTTTTATATGGGCTTTGAAGACTGTTCGCTAAGAAAGATCACAAAAACATCATCTCATCATCTTCATGCAACATGTGGTGGTAGATACTCATTTCAGAACTGCTTATTATTCAAAGAAGTTCATTCTGCATACTCATTTTGGCAAAAACAAAGTGGCATTTCCCTATGATTGACAGAACAATTGCAATGGTTACCTGTCTCTGGTCTCTCTGCCCCAAGGCCTGCCAGCAGGTCCACAGTGCGGTTTAGTTCCTCAGAGTTGGGCCCATTCTCAGACACAAGACCACACATGTAGCCTAGAGACTTCAGCTGAGAGCAAAACACACACACATTTGATAACACACAAGCAACGAACTGAAAAAAAGATCATTCTTGAGCTGTTTATTTTTTAGAAATGGTTTGCCATGCAGCTTTAGAAAGGCCTGGTATAAAGATTTTCATTGGTGAAGACAATGAATTTACAGTTAACGCTGCACAATGTAATTTTTTAAAAGGAACCAAACATCTGATAAGTTTAAAGCCTCTAAAAGCTCCCTCACATTATGGAGTTATTACACACAAAAACACAAAAGTTCTCACACAAATAATTTCAAATTTCTTGCCTAATGTCTGAGACACTGTTCTACATTATAGTTGTAAGATTTTTTGAAATCCATTTATGGCAGAACAGTATATATAGGATATTGTAAGGCAAAATAGTACCGAACTATTCTATCATCAACGTTAAATATAAATCTCAGAAGACGTGTAGGTTCACAGATTATCTGGACAGTAAATTAAATGGTTCAAACTAGTCTGAATGACTGCTTACAGCTCAATGATCAATTAATGCAGAAATTTGGAAAAAAAATGCATGAATTTCTTCTGTAAGGTTAGGTTTAAGGTTTAGCCTTAGAAAACTCCAGTAAAGGTAGTTACATACATGCAACATATAGGTTATATTATCATTACATATAGCCACATGTAGGAAATGTTTTAGCTCAAGCAGATTACAATCATGTTTAAATTGCATTACAGTTTTGCTGCACTTTTTCTTTTTTCATGAAGATTGTATCTTGTTCTCATTTTAGAGGTGATCAGCTCTGTCTATGCAAGATCTAAAAGCACTTACTAACATGTGCATCACACCCTTTTGCACCTCCTATTTTAAAACCATGTTTTTCGCAAATCACCAGCAAACAGGAAACATATTGCTCCTGTGTGTTTTATCAGCTCAAGCAAATTCACAGCGGTTACTGGTGCTGCACATACTACACTATACACAGTTGCCAGTCAGCAGTTCACTGCACATGTTGAGCTCTGCAGTGTCGGTAATAGTGCCAGAGGTCCACAGCGTGAGTGTGAAAGAGACTGAAAGAGCCAAAGCACCCACGAAAGTAGCACAGATACAGTCTGCTTCTATGTGTACACGGGGCAGAAAAGGAGAGCACTACAATACCTTCTCAGTAGCATATGTCCAAAGGCCCACAGTGTGGGAGAAGTTTGCCTCTAGCTGGGAGCGATCGCAGCAGCCCTCGATCCTGTGCAGCACCTCCAAACAGCTGAGGAACACCCAGCAGTCCAGTGCCCCCTGAAGGACTGATACCTGCACAACAAAAACAGCAGCAGCAGTGTTCAGAACACAGGCCTGGGCAATAAACAATAACAATAAACATTTCTAGCCACTGATGATATACATTTGAGGTACTTTCTATAGAAAGATTATGCCATGCAGTTCCTTAATTCAGTTTTAGCAGCAAAAGCTTATACTTTGAACAACAGCTCCTTCAGTATACAAAGGTGGAAGGACTGCCATGATCATGAAATTTTAGCTGAGAAATGATTGTTATATACATAACTGTGAATAAATATTTATTTGCCTTTTTCCCCCACTACGCAACTGTTAAAGTACAAGTCTAAAGTGGCTACATTGGCTGTTTAGCTATCTTGCTTCCTAGCTGACAATACTTAGTCACTACAAACTGCAAACAGGCAGCTTGAGCTCAAGTAAATAAACAATAAACACAGCTGCTCTCTAAAGGTGTAAATAGTTCCAGTCAGAATTTAGAACCTTTTTTCTGTTTTCTTTTATGAATGTGTCTGAACCAAATAGATGAAAACTATTCAAATTCTGTTGCTGCAGCTTAAACACAGGATCATGAAAAATAACAATTGTGGAAAATAATTAAATAATTGTGATCAGACAATTATGCAATAATTGAGACAGGCCTACTAGGATAATAGAGCCTTTTATTCAGTGGACGTGAAGGATGAAGAATGAAGTATGATGAGCTGATGGATGAAATAGGAGATGTTTTGTGGGGTTTTTTTCCTTCCTGAGATCCCAAGTTGTTTTTTTCCCCTGGTGTCTTAAACCTGAACGCTGCAGTCTGAGCATTTCTTAAAATGTACACCATTACACAGGCAGCTTTTTGCATAGGCAAGATATCAGCCTGCTGCTCATTTAACCAGCACAGGCACATTTCTACAACAATCCTATCTACACTTGGTACAATAAATGTGGTATTAACAGAATGGTTAAGTAAAAAAAAAAAAAAAAAATCTAATTTGCCCAATTATACTCCTAGATGTAGTCAATCAGGCAAGACATGTCTAGAGTCCACATGTTGCTTCTTTATAGTTTAGAACTGTAGCTACGAGGTTAACACTGCTAAGATCTCTATAGTCTCAACAGTCACCCAAATACACAAAGGCAAGTCTGTGAAGACCTGGATGCAGTTTGAGCGGGTTGAGAGAAGCTTTGGTGATGTATTTTTACAGAAACAATTGGGGCTATTCGGCTGACTATTGTGTTTGTAAGCAATGTTAGCCTTGCCACTCCAGTTCTAAAGAAGTAAAGTAAACTAAAGAAGCAAAATTTGGACTCCAAACAGGTCGCAGCTTATTAACTACATCCAGAGCAAGTGGAAAACTGTAAATCATAAATTAGATTTTTTACTGAACCATTCCTTTAATGTGGGATATCACCACCCAACATGTTATAACATTCAGTCATGTTCATGTGTGGGAATACTATTGTCTTGTTTTGGTTTGAATCAATAAATGAACAAGGTACACAAGCTTTTACCATTACTGGGGATGGTTACCACTGTGTCTTTACCACCATCACTGGACACCAAACTGGCCCAAGTCATGCTTAAAGCAAGTCTCAGTGAAGCATCAGACAATGACTGCACAATTTCTACAGTACCTTATAGCACCTTACACCTGAACAAACACACCCACCTCCAGCAGGCGCAGCTCCTGGACACAGTTGTGCAGCAGCTCCAGCGCTCTCTGCGTAACTTCCCAAGGCCTCTGCAGGAAGATGAGCAGTGTGCACTGGCGGGAGAAGAGGTAGCTGCGTAGGTCAAGTAGGCTCGCCTCACCTCGCTGGATCAGCTCCCTTTTCTCCATGTCTATAGGCCTTCGCAGGAGCAGTCCATTCCAGCTGCGCACCGGCTGGCAGAATGAACCCAGCCAGTTGGCTCCATCTGCTCATCATGCAAAATAAAAATGAAGGTGCCACATTAACTTCTTTTCACCAAAATACTATAGACATCAAGACAAAATTAATCTGGAATGGAATAAATTTCTGTTCCATACTGAACTTAGGTAAGGACCGGATCAATATATTAAAAGGGACCTATTTTGTTTTTTGAGGTTTTCCTTTATGTTATATAGCTTTTTGTGCATGTAAATAGTCTGCAAACTTACCACAGAAACCACATTTCACAGCTGCCTGAAACACCTTGCTGGAATTCCAGCCCTTTTCTCTGTTACAAGGTGACATCATCACGTAACATAATCCTTATTACCCGCCTACCAGCAAGCTTGGCATGCCTTCACAGCAATTACCGGAAGCTGGGAAGAGTCGATCTGACCTTCAGGATCAGTCTCTGGCTTAAAATAATTTGGCAATACCAATGCTCTGGCGGTTAATCAATTAGAACAGAATGGGCGAGCTCTGGGCTCAAAAAGGGGTGTGGCCTAAAGACACAGGAGCTCTAACAGAGCGTTACAGACAGAGGGTGAATAAAGATGTACAGTATGAGAAAATTAATGTGTTTTCGGTATGCCGAAGCATGTAAATCCATTTTAATAGACCCCAAAAATAAAATTATGAACAGTGAAAATAGGCATGATAGGTCCCCTTTAATTGGCTGAAAATATTGTTTTCTTTTTTACTATATTAAATTATATTGGCCAATATTGGAATTTGTAGCTCCTCATAATCAGTACCAATCACAAAAAAATTCATACCCATTGGGCCTTAATAAAAATACAGCGGTTAAGCAATCTGTTTGAATTAACATCTCATTATTTGCCTTTATTTTTAGAGATTCCTCTCCGACCTGTAAAACGAGTCTTAAATATTGTGACAAGTAATGGCATGATGGAGACGTTTTCAGAAAATGGCTTCTTCTTGTCACACATTTTTTTTCCTCATTTACTACAAATGGACGTCACTTTATTATTAGTAAAAACCACCATGAACATGTTTTAGTAGGTGTTCAGAAGCCACTGTACCTCCAGCACCAAAGTTGAGCACATATTGGGTGAAGAGAGCATCCAGCTCATCATACTGGACCAGCGCATCTTCATACTGCTGCAGCATCTCAAACACAAATGCGAGCTCCTCCTGCACACAGCAGCCCATAAGTGTTAAGCATCATACAGCAGAAGGGACTCTGTAAAGTCAAGCTCATCTTTCTCTATGTAACTGTGTTTGTAATAAAATGAGAGGGCAAAACTGTTTCTGGATCAGCAGTCTTACTCTAAAGAGGCTGACAAAGGGAACCTCAGGGGTTTAATTAGCAGTTGCAGGCAGTGAGAGCAGCGAGAGTTTGGAAGTGTAGGAGGTATAAATATGTGCATCCACAGTAACACACTTACCAACAGAGTTTAAGTTAGACTGCTAGCAGGGGACCAGGATGATTTGATTATGATATTTTAGGAAAAGATTCATTCGTTTTGGGTTGACTTAATTATTTTGGTACAATTCAGAAATATATAAACATACAGTACCATGCAAGTCGCCCTTTTGTTTATTTCCATTTCCAGCCATTAAATACAAGACAAAAAAAGCAGGAAACATATTTAACCCAAAAAAATTGCACAAAAGCCTCAAAGAATAAATATAATATCACATACAGTTTGACAATATGTCAATGTTCATCGTTATCATGATAAACTATATCACAATGTCACAATAATCTTTTCTGAGCATATTTTGGATATTGTCAGTACTTAAAAACCACTTACCAACTGCAACTGCAATCTCTTTAACTTAAGAGATGCCAGATAAATAGCATGAAATATCATGTATCACAAAAAAATCTTAAAGTACTTTAATATAATATTTTGTAATATTACTCATCTCCAATATCAAGTATTTTAAGTATATCAACCGTATGTACACACTACTGCTACTTTAACTCAGCTTTGTCCTCCCAAAAATCTGCTCCCAAATGTCACTGACACAGTGTTTAAGTTCACCCTTAAAGAGACCCTGACATTCACACAAACCACAACTCAGTGCAAGATGTGCAACTGTCCAGAAGCTGTTACTGATAAAGGAAAACAGTAAAGAATATTTGCACTAGAATACCAAAGCTGAAAATCCAACATGAGCATTTTACGTACTGACAAGGCAAATTTGAGATCTTTAAATGTAACACAAGGTTTTACGCACACCACCAAAGCAATGAAAGATTCTTCAAACCATGTCTACAACCATCAGTCAAGCATGGTGGAGATTCAGTGCAAATTTGGGGATGTGCAACAACATTTAAAGTCAGTGATTCGTTTGATTGAAGGCATCATGAATGTATAAAGTACAAACAAACACATCATGTAGTACCAGCTGGAAGCTTTTGATTGGGGAAAAAATGAATTCTACAGCAAGATAACGATTCCAAGCACACTACTGAGAAGATCAAGACATATTTATCAAACAAAGAAGCTGCTGGTGTTCTCAGAACAATGAAGTGTCCAACCCAGAGGCCAGATCTCAACATTACTGAATGTAAGGAATTACTTGGATCATGAACTTAAAAGGAAATTGGAATCAACCCTGCAGATTTCTTTGAAAAACTAATAGTAAGGCCCAAACCCATTTCACCCCTTGCCCCTACCACTTAGCCCTTAGCACTGGGTTTTGCACGTTCACATCTAAGGTTAGGGTGTCACGATTTTTGTTGAGATAGAGAGGTAGATATGTAAGTGTGAGGGTTACATCGCCCTTTAAACTGAGGTTTAAAGGCACACTCCAAACAGAGTGTTATGAGAAAGAAAGAAAAACCGGCAAGATGGCGGCGCAAGAGACCAAAGAAACCCACAAATGTGAGAATTTTCTTCGTTAACAAATTATGATAACCATTGTTTTATCTTAGTTAAATGTTGTTTCAATGTATTACGGTCCTTTTCTTCATAACAAGCATAAAAAATTGCTAGTACTATGCTTCCGTCTCGGTAGCTAGCTAGCTAAGTTTCCCGTTCCACCTTAAATAGTCCAGCAGTTCCGATGCCTGAAGCGCCAGAATAGTACTGCTGCTTCATTTGAGGTGGAACGATAAATTTGGAAAAGAGGCTGGTGAAAAAAAACTGACTTCAGCTTTATATCAGCAAAGAATTAGGGGTGGGTGATAATGAATGATTTTCACATCCCCCCTCTTTGAAAGCATATGATGCCCTAAATTTACCTTGAGCCCAGCAGTGAGGTTGCTGAACTTTACCCTCCTCTGCTCTCACAGCAGACTGGCAAGGTTACCCTCAGAGCACTATTAGTAGCCTGTTAATGAAGTAATGTTGTTTTTATTTCAGGGTCCCATTTCGTAGGGGAAGATTTCAACCACTACTCATTGTGACTCCGAGAGGCAAGGTGACACTTGAAAACAAGGGGTAAGGATAAAAAGAAGCAATGGGATTGGGCCTAAGTCTCCTAAAAAGACGGAAAGCAGTAATAAAGATTGGAAATGGACAAAAATGGACACACTAAATACTGAAAATAACTAATATTATATCTAGCTGTTGTGGCTTCTGTTCTGTTATGTGTAACAAAAGGATGAAAAGGGTGATGTCAGGCTTTTGCAAAGTAGGAAACGTACGGGAAAAATATTCTGACTAATTATAATTAACATTCCAAAAACAATGCAGTTGAAACACCACCTTCAGGCTAATACATACCGACAAACTTAATTCTTAGTGCTATAAAATTTCTTCCTGCCTCTGGCTTTATATTCATTCCTAAAGGTGGTCGTCTCTGACTTATGACTGGTTGTTAAGTAAATATGTACCTGGACCATGAAGTAGTCGCAGAAGCTCCAGCCAGGCTCGGTGCGTTTCTCCCGCAATGTGCGCATGTCGTCCTCAAAGCGTCCCAGGTTTTTGGTGAAGGACATGAGGAGCAGAGTGCGCAGCTTCGTCAGGAAAGAGTTCCACGACTCCTGTGAGCGAGACGAGTCCCTCAGGGGGTCTGACAGAGCAACACACCTGAGAGGGGGGGGAGGTGGCGAGAATAATGAAACAGAACAAGGGAGAAAAGGACAAAGAAAATATGAAGAAAAAAACAAAACAGGATAAACAGTTTTACCAGTGTATTAGTAACACTTATTAAAAAAAAGCAAATCATTTAACTTAGATAGGCTACAGCCAACAAGCTTACACCACTATTGTCTGTTACTAAGCTACTAACAAATGCAACAGATATTAAAATTTGCACTGAATACAAACAAGCCAATGAATCTTGTTGGCAAAATTACAAATTTGTGGCCAGGATTGTAGAAATATATTTACTGTATAAACATCATACTTTCAGTTAAAAGCATGCTTCAGTACTAAAAAAAAGTCAGGTGCTGTTTTTTACAACATGTCCTTCATGTCGACACTGTTTTTTTCCATTATATCAGTCAAACCTGAGAACAACGTGAAGGGAGATGACCCACCACCATCTTCATCAGGCTTTAAACAGTCAGCCTGCTGGTTTTTTACTGGGATTGCCGAATACCACCGGTTGGATCAGCCCTCGTAGTTGAAAGTTGTGACCATGCTTTTGAACATTTTTTTTTTTAACAAGTTACTCCCAAAAAAGAACGCCATTATGGTGTCTGTGCACAGTACATCACATCCTTTCAAAATCATACTCTAGCCACACTTTCTCCACTCCACTGTGTTTCTTTTTTTTCGCACTGCCACTGACAGTAAAGTCATATTTTAAGAATGCAGTTATTATGTCAGGCGACAAAAAAAGAAGCTCTAGAAAGAAGCTAATCATGTTAGCCATCGCTGTTGGAGTGTTAAGTTACATTTTGCAAATACAGACAAAATCAGATTTAATGCAATTATATCAAACAGGGTCTGAATCTTGCATTGGTAAGTGTAAAGTAGTTGTTTTGTTATTAAGGATGATACCTGTGTACATGTGAAAACTCTACAAGTCTGGAAAAGGAAAAAACAATGGGTTTTTTTGCCACAGTTTCTGCATTATTAAAACGTGTGCAATGTTGTGTCCAGACGTACCAGGCAATACGCAGTGCTGACCCCTGACATTATATCCATTTAACTACGTACCTGACAAGTATTTACTATCATTTTCTGCCTGTATGAATACCACAACAGTAATAATGATATTTATATTTTTAATTAGTCACATTTGTCATTAACAACATACTTAGCTAAATTACTTATTATTTTTTACCATACAATATATATAATTTAGGGAATAACATATATACTTTTATGCATTAGTCTACACTGCTCCCTCAGAGTGTTCCTGCTGATAGCCACTGCCATAACTGTAAAGCTCCCACACGCATCAGACATGAGTCATGCCTTTACAGAGAGGCTCTGGGGAGGTGGGGCCTCAGGCCATAAATAGGGCCTGCCAGTTAAGTCCTCTCTAAATTAGCACAGCAGGAGCCATATAGACACAGCACGCAGTATATCTGATAGCACAACTCTCATCCAACCACACCGCCATGCATTCACGCCTAACTAAAAACGCAGAGGCAAGCAAATGACCTTCAGCTGGTGGGAGCAGGGGGTTTGTGGTGGGCTGCAGCTGCTGCTGGGCTGTCCTCACCTGTCGCTCTGCTTGTTGCAGAAGTCATTGCGGATCTTGTCCATGATGGAGGTGCGGGGCAGGATGTTGGTTTTGTTCTTTTTCTTGCCATCACTCTCCACCACCACGATGAGCCAGTCGGTAGAACCGTGCAGTCGCAGCACATTCTGCCATCGCTGCATGTCCTCCTTCACTGTCGCCTTATACGTCTCTGTGTCCTGATGCACGGACATATCAAGAGGTGGACAACAAACATCTTACTCATCTCAAATAATTTGCATTATTTTACTGTTCTATTTCTTTAAAGAATCCACAACAGTTATTACAGTGTTTTTTTTTTCTTCCAGTCAGACTGAACTGTGTTTATAATAGTAATAATAATAAACAATCAAAAGCATTCTATATCGCTCTATGACAACCCTGACTTTGAATCTAGTCTGGATTTTGGTTCTAGTAGTTAACTGAAAGCAGAAAACATAGTTAACAGAAAATCACACAGACGCCTCAAACACCAAATTTTATAGAATTTAGTCCACCTTTTGCCTTTATTGCAGTTTCCTTACTTACTTACTTACTTTCCTTACTTTTTGGAAGACCTGCTTTCAGTTTTTCAAAGAAATCACAAAGTTGCAATACGTCAGTTGCATTTCCTGCTTTTTACCCAAATACATTTCAACAGTGTTGAGGATGGAGCTTGATTGATGGCAGACATGGTTCAAAGAGACCAAAGCGGGGATATTGAGGGAGCCTGCAGGGTTTAGGGCACCTTTTGGGACTGGATGATGAGGATGTGAGAGCGCAAATGCCTCTTTTAGAAAGCTTTGGCGTTCTACTAGCTGTTTATTCAAATGCTAGTGAATATTAATTGCAACCTTTTATAATGACTTATTATAGAAGAATTATTATTAAAAGTAATGTACATTTTTAATGCCTTCCTCTACTGTCAAACAGAATGTGTTCTTGAGACACAACTGCATTTTGCATAACAATGGTTTTCTTTTCTGACTGCCAACTCTATACGAATTCTCTTAATTCTCCTGAAGCTGCACATTAGTAAATGACAGAAGCCGTGGCTGCCTGAGACTGAGACTTACGCAGCAGTCAGTCCAGTAAATGTGCAGAAAAGGGAATGTGAGAAGAGCTTTGTTCCCCTCTTTAGGAAGCAGGTCCTCTTTGAACTGCACAAAGTTGGCCTCTAGGTGGATCATCTTTGGAGCACGACCATAAGACCTGCAGGAAAGGATAAGGTATACAAAAGCTAGGGTCAGCCAAAATCCAGCAACGATCACTGTCGTCAATATTTTATTCTTTGGCAGAGATGCACCAGTATGGGCCGAAACTGTAGAAACTGGGACTAGATCAAGCTGGAATAGCATCACAAAGAAATATAAGATTTATTTTTTTAGGGTTACAAAAACTAAGATGAATGAAATGCAGATTTTGGCAGAGCTTCACTTATATATTCACTTATATATTCTGCTCTTCTGGAGTACAATAAAGCAGGCACCAAATATCGGTTTGAAGTATCGGCCAAATCGAAACATCTATCTGTAGCCAATAATTTTTTTAAAGCATTCGCCTGCTGATACTGACATAATTCTGATATTATTGTGCATCCCTAGTCCTAAGTGGTCTCATAAATAGACATAAATGGGTCTACTGCTTTAGCCTAGAGTGACTTTCCTGGCTGGTTCCTAGAAATACAATGGACGGGTCACTAGACTTTGTCAGAAAGTGTAGCCTGAACTCCACAGAGCTGAGAAAATGAAACCGTTTGCCCTAGTTTCTGCTATTCTCCTAAATAGACTGTTTCGAAATTGACAATGACTTTTGCCTTTCAGGCAAAACAGGAAGGTTATATAAGAAGGTCAAAGTTACTTTACCAAAAAAGGGAAAGATGATGCCATGACACTGTTTGTCTAAACTCATATGCTGAAACAGCTCCTATTCACGCCTTTTGTTCTCTTTTCAACGCTGATCTAACATCGATTTTGTTATTTTTAAAGAATTCTGTAGTACACTGTAAAGAGTAATTTCTACCCTGTAGCACACTTTCAGTGCTTTAAGCACAGATCTATAAACAGCTTGGATAAGTGAGTTTGAAGCATGAGTAGTGACCTTTCCTTTCAGCTAGATCAAGCTTCACTTACGATCTCCTTGCAAGAGAGAGAAAAAGCGAGCAACAGGAAAATACCTGGGCGTAATGTGCTTCGAAAGGTTATGGGACATTTCTGTCACAGAGAATAGACTCAGTGAGGGCATAACATTAAAACTTTATCACAGTGTAGTTGGGAAACCTTGCAAAACACTAAAAAAACGATCTAATTTAAAACCCTTTACAATATGAACTGGGTGGCAACATGAACCTTTATGTATCCCAATAGAAGTGTTTCTGAAAGTGTACTGATCAAGGATCAGCTACTGGTTATCTTGTGTGCATGTGATAATACTCACTGAAGCTTTTTTTTTGGACTTTTACCCAATTTACTATCTCCATCACAAAATGCTATCCAACTTCCTCCGAGATATTTGAAGGCTCCACATCTTTTTTTTGCTAGCTCAGCGCCACTGGACAGCTCAACATGCTTAGAGGAGAACACCAACAGCCAATTTTGTTTCCTCAGCTAACAGATGTCTATTTTGGCGTGCATCACATTCAGTGACTGCCATCCTACCCACCCAGAGAGTGAGGACAATTATGCTCTCTTGGACTCATGCCAGACAGCCTGCAGCATAACCAGGGATCGAACTCGCAATCTCCCAACAATAGGGCCAACACTTCAGAGCAGGGGTGTCAAACATACGGCCTGAGGGCCAGGATCGGTCTAATTATAGTTCTAATCCAGCAGGCTAGATTAATTTAGTTATGTTCCAAATTAAAATCATCTTGTGGACCATAACTGAACATTTGCAAATTAATAACTGACACAACGCTCAACCAATCACTGCTCTAAACGTTACTTCTTCTAAAAAATGAATGAAAACTCCAACAAAAGGTGATTTTACAATGGTGGCAGTAAATCAGTCAGAACTATTAGAGTATGTGTACTGTACAATGTCTGACGCATGCTATCCTGATCATCTGGACGTTGGAGCTGTTTTTATTTTATTCCTGATGCTGAAAAAGTTTCGGATGAATCTGTGCAGAAGACCAAACTCAGAGCTCAGTGTCAAAACTATGCACAAGCAGCTCTAAAGTAAGCTAAGCTTAGTATTTGCTCAATATAGTAACCTAAAATAATGTCTTATGAGAAATAATCTTGCAGATTAATTTTAAGATCAGTTAGTTAGCAAAGTTAGCTTTTCTTATCTTAGCTGCTGGAAGTCAGACTAAATGGACTGTACTATGCTCACACATGATTAAAGCTGGTAATTCTGTTTGAAAATAACTATTTATGTACTCATATGTATGCACTCTTTTGCATTCTTTGAGTTTAGCTTGTTTAAAGATGACACTTCCTCAGCATCTAACTGTAGTCTGACTGTCTAATCTGTTTTGTGGGTTATATCTGTTTGATCAGGTTGTTCAATCAGACTGTACCTTTTGGATAAACAATAATAGAGTAACCACAAGGGGTTGTACTGTTAAGGTCCTACTAAAGTGACTTTTGTTTTTGGTCTGGCCTGCTTGACATTGGACTGGGTGTCGTGTAGCACTTTAGGTGACTTTGACACCTACCCTAGATGGTATAGCGACTGAAGTTTAATGTGATGTGGTTAAAGACTATATTAACTCACAACAATGTTTTATGTTTGTTGATTTTTCAACACTCACAGAAACTCATCTGGAACATCATAGGTTTTGTCAGGATGCAAAAATGTATGATTTGTTAGAAGGTTACCCTGCATGCTTCTGTGATATCAGCACTGCAAAAGCCAACATCGTGCTACAATTTATTGTTGGGATGGACAACATTAGAATCATATCAGTATCGGCAGATAACTGTGCTGGCATCGGACCAAAATCTGGATCAGACTAACAGTACAAACCAATATTTATTATGTCCTGGAAGAACACCGTGTTTGGGCGATGCAGGTCTACTATACGAAAATGTCCGCATTTTATTTATTTTATTCATTTTACTGCATTTGTAGCGTTACACATAAACGCTCAATTCTTTTTAATCCTAATTTAGGAGGATCAGCTCCCAGATTCTACACCTTATATAGGGATGCACAATGATAATGGAGCAGGATATATCAGCAGATATAACTGCTGTCATTGGCCAATTTGTTTAATTTGACCAATATTTCAAACTGACATCTGATGCTGCCTTTATAGTAGCCCTGAAGAGCAGAATGTGTAGGTGACCCAGGGGTGACTGCCATAAATTCCCATACTACATCCCTAATATGCTGTGCAGCCCTAATACCAGACATTATATAAATCTTAATCTTCCTTGTCCTACAGACCTGACTGACTGAGTGTGATAGGCAGCCTCACCTTCTCCACTCCATCGGTTCTCGAGGCAGCTGCTGTGCCAGCATGCTGTAGAGAGCTGTGAAGAGTGTCTGGTCCCCGGCACCTGCACAACAAAACAGCAAGAATACAAGCACAACTGACATCACTTCTCTCTCTCCACACTGAAAGAATGCTCCAGCATTTTCCACCCTGCATGCATATGCAGAACAAGTATTTCCCTGTTAACTCAGAACACTTAAAATGGAAGCTAATATGCAGATGCTTCAGCAACTGCCCATTGGCTTCTACTGTAAATGTACTTGGGATAAACTGGTTCCCTGGTCTTTTGCAACATACAGAGAAACATGCTACAATTTCTCACTTTCTCAGTCCAACATGAAGCATGAACACTTGCAGAAACATGCATCAACATCAACCTGTCCACTCACACTGGCTCACATTCGTGCAGCTACTGAAAAAGCAACAGGAAAGACTGCCATTCTCTCTAAACCAGCCCAGTTTACTGAACGAGTGCAACTGCTCAACATGGCTTCATGTCTGAGAAATGGAAGCGAAAGAATCCATTTCCCTTTTCTATCATACCTCGAAAACACACACACTTTAGCCTGAAGGCAAACACAACTCCTTTAGTAAACAAGAACAAGATAACGCTACTGCATTTCACTCTACAAAGAGATACACTCTATAATGTTGTCTGTTTGACACGATACGGCAAAATTGTGCTGCTCAAGTTGGCTTCTTAGCCGACTTTTCCATTCCACCTTAAATGCTGCAGCTGTGGCATTCCTGAGCCTGAACAGTCGCCCTAATATAACGTTAACCGCTGTACCATTTAAGGTGGAACGGATAATTCGAATAAGAAGGAGCCAACTTCATTCTCGACCTTAACCTTCAACAACACACAGCCTCCTGGAGCATCATATCCTTACACTGTGTTCACAATAACAGAATTTATTGCTTTCCCCATTCAGATTCAGTCAGTCCGGCCTGTGCTGTCACTCATCAGCAGCTTGAGTAACGTTAACAGCCCGGAGATTTAAAGGCACTTGTCGCTCACTACCACATCGTTTTAAGGACACCGTGGAACTGTCTGTTACTTTTCAGCCTCACAGAATATTTGGCCACAATGCCACAAAGACATAACACAGTCTTTTTGTGTGTGTGCGTTTTTTTCTGAGGTGTCAGACAGGCTCTGCAGTACAGACTGCAACGATTAGCTTAGCTTAGCTTAGCTACAACTGCTAACAACAACCGAGCCGCGCACTCACACGTCACTATAGGTTTGTTCTCCATCGTGTAGATGATGGGCTTTTCCTCATGGGGCTCCATGGGCTCTGGCAAACTCGGCCTTAGTCCACCATGTAAACGTCGGTTCGGTAAACTGAGTTAAAATGTTGGAGCGCGAACACTCGCAGCGTCGAGAAGGCCGCTTCGCCTCCCCATTTCCTCTCTGCTGACAGAGTGACGACGTCCGGAGATCGCCAGAGTGGAAAGGCAGCCTGCGTTTCATTCGTGATCGTGCCCTACTCCCTACAGGACACACCCTACACCCTACTCCCTATATCTTACTCTTGACGTCCTGAGGAAATCTTAATTGTGTCCTTTTGTCTCTCAGACTTCACGCTTGTGTACCATGTTTCATGTGCTTTCAAGTAAATATTTGCTGTGTAAGTAACTGCGACCTGTTTCTCAAACAAAAACACAGTGTGAAAGAAGATATAGCCATCAAATCATATGACCATTAAAAGCCTTCTGGTCCTTGGTGGTGTCCAATAGTCACTAATGGTATTGTATGTTTTTCCTCATGGGTTGATATCACTTTGCAAAAAATTATGACAGTTCGACAGGTGTTCTGGGACTGATACCACAAGCCTCTGATTGTTTCCTAATGGGATCTAAAGGTGTCCTACAGGAAACCAGTGGTCTTTAGGAAACCATCAAATGCACCTAGAATCAGTCCCAGCCCAGCTAAAAAGTCCAGTCCTGCATTCCATGCTGGTCTAAGCTGGTTTACATTAGTTAGTGCTGGTCTAGAACTGGTTTAGGTGGTCACTCATCATGGTGATACTGGTTGACCAGCATTCAAAACACCACAAATGCTGGTTTTGCTGGTGACCAGCATGATAACTTCCATTGCTGCTGACCAGCATAACCAAAGCACAACATATGTTGGTTTTTCTAGCAGGGAGAAAACCTGGAGAAACATTAGAACCCTTTACACTGTGATATCAACCCATCAGCAAAACACAAATTACCATTAGTGACTACTGGACACCACCAGGAACCAACAAAACTTTTAATGGTTTCTATGATTTTTTTTTTCAGCAGGTCATCCCAGATCATATTTAAATTAGGTAGTCACTCAACAGAAGTGATCTATTACAAATGACTAATTTCTTATCCTATAAAAGTAATCAAATTATTCTTATTTTCACATTTCTTTACTTCTGCTTCACTCTTTAGACCCTATACACATGTTTTACCTGCTGGAAATTACAAGGGAAAACCCTGTAGTCATTTTTAGTCATTTATTTAGAAATAGTCAATCACAGTAGACATCAGTTAAAACACCTGTCATTATCAAAGCCTTTGAACAAATATAAATAATAAAGTAATTCAGAGTGGTTTGATCAGAAATATGCCATTCTAGAGAAACTTACCTAGTCAGAATTGTTTACAGCAGTGGTGATAGGAATGGCCAAAGCTTTAATGCCTCTAAAAGCTCACATTAAGTTATTGCATGAAAATAGTTACAAATACTCTGCCTGAAGGCTGAGACATTGCTGAGACATATAGCTTTGAGATTTTCTTAATATCCACACCAAAGAAACCTTTTGTTTTTTCAGATTAACCACTATTTTACCATCATCAATATTATATATAAAAATTCAGAAGACATGTTATTTTTTGGGAAGTAAATAAAATGGCTATATCTGTGCTGTAGACATTGGGACCCCTGGCTCCTATCACCACCACTCGGTCGGTAAGTTTCTCTAATGGACTGTTTCACATCAAAACACTCTGAATGACTTTGTATATATCGCAGGAATTGATTTAAACAGAAACAGAAATTCTGAAAAAAATTTTTTAATCAAATCTCCATAATATCAGTGGCAGTAAATCTCTACATAATTCATGAACTGCACAGTTATGTTCCCACATTTTCTGCGCTAGTGATGAGAGAAATAAGTCATTCTGAAGATTAATTAATTGAAGCAATCATTTCAAAAGATGATGCACTGTCCACTATCCACACACTGGAGCCACCTGCTGGCAAATTGGTGCAAATGCATCAGATCTATTAGTCTATTTCCGTGTATTTTATTTAATATATTAATAAATTTAAATTATTATTATTTCTATTAGCATCATATTATATTTGTCTACATGATGTAGCCCCTAATACATTATGGCTTTATATGTTTATATTTTATCATCATATTAATTTTGTATTTTTGTGAACAAAATAAAGTTTGTGTGACAGTGAGACACCCTTGCTAAAAAAAGACCAATATAACCATTGAGATTAAAACCTGATGGTTTTGCCTTCTAATGGGATTGGCTTAATGGTTACTATTAGAGACCACTAGTTCCCTGTAGGACACCTTTATATTCCATTAGGAAACCATCAGTGACATCTGGTGTCAGTCCCAGAACACCTGTTAAACAACTAGAATCCACTTACACTGTGATGTTAAACCATCAGGCAAGAGAGTATAAAGCCTCCAGCCCTGGGCTGTGAAGCAGTGGAACTGCATTTTTTGGACTGATGGAGCTCCATCCAGTACCTTTGGGATGAATTAGACTGACGTTTGTGATCAAGAACTAATCATCCTACATCAGTACCTGACCTCACTAATGCTCCTGTTGCTGAATGCAATCAAATCCTCACAGCAATGTTCCAACATCTATTGTAAAGCCTTCCCAGAAGAATAAAGGCTGTTGCAGCAATGAGGGACAAACTCCCTAATGTAGGATAAGCAGGTGTTATAGAGTATTTGGCATCATGATGAAAAGCTTTATCACTATTCTTGCTGAGAACGATCAGATGTCAGGATTCAGCGAGCCAATCAGAATGTAAGATTCAATCAACCAATCATATTGTAAGAATCAGGTGGCCAAACAGAGCACAGCATTCAGACAGCCAATCTGCCAGTCAGAGTGCAGCATTCAGCTGGCCAATCATAGCACAGGATTCAGTTGACTAATCAGATTGCATGATTCAGCTAGCCAAGCACGTGCTCCATCTACCTGTGCTGGCTTGCCACTTTTTGTGTAGCGGCGAGTGTGGAGAAATCCATTTAAATGGAGTGTCTGCAGCACTTACACCTTCTCTTACATAACCTGTTCTGTACTTTATCTAAATTAAAAAAAAATGTCACTATAGACTGTTGAAGATGTTTCACTGAAGACAAATTGCCACTTAAAAATCAGATACAGGGGTGTCAAATTAGCTTTAGCTAGGAGCCCTGTATACATTATGTGCTGCCTGTAATGTAGCACGGTTTATCTGTACTGTCCCTGTCAAATATATGAATAAATTAAATTAAATTGGAATGTACATTACAATTTCACCAGTCTTTGCCAGGGTTTGCCATGTTTTCCCACATGGTGTTAAATATAATATAATGCAACTTCAAAAATTGAGCCAGAGCTTTGGGACTGCAAAAGCAGCATATTATGTGCTGCTTATAAATAGAGCAGAACTCACACCCACATGCCACAACCAGCACATGTACTGGGTTGATACTGGAGCACACACACAATAAATGATCTTCACCTCAATTGGATATGGCTGCATTGGAGCTCATTGGCTAAAAGAGTCTTCAGCACAAAGCTATAGGTTAAAATAATGTATTGTGGCGTCCGCCATGGGCTCTATGCTGTGGAGTGAGGGGTTTTGGAGGGGTGGCCATGCAAAGTAACTCCCAGGAGCTGCCATGCTCCTGGCTAAAAAACAGACAGTTGTAGTTGTTGCCACTAGTGAAGTAGTTGTCCACAAAGTCCACAAAATTTGTCCACCCTCTATGTGGTTGTGTCCACATTTCATGTTGGGGTAGCGCTGGGCTGGACATTTCCTAATCTTTGTAAAGACTCTTTGCTGAAGTGCCTGTTCAATAAAGAGCATTTGTCCTAATGCACAATATTTTCTACGTCTTCTTCTGCACAGGTGTCAGAAGTGGGATGTGGCCACCAAGTTTGAAGAAATCAAGCAGCGCATCAGCAAACTCGAAGGTGGATAGAGAAGAACACATAGTCTGGAGGAAGGGGGTACTGAGCACTATGCCTGCCTTCTCCCTGGTGGGTCTGGCCAGCCAAGAGTGAAGTGGCAGACTGGTGAAGACAGCAAAGAAAACAGCGCAGCAAGGCTCAGCAGCAGAGCCTAACTGGAGCCCAGCGAGAGAGAGATACACTTCCGCTTACCACACTTCAATGACGAAGGTGCCTGGGAGTCTTACTCTGCACAGCTGCAAGTGATTGCCCAGCATCATGGCTGTGTCTGGCACTGGAGGTAAAAGCACTACAAGTGCTTGTGAATGTGCCACCAGAACAAAATGACCAACTAGTGGTGTTGCCACGGCCCTCCAGTGATGTGTTGGGCAGGTGCCAGAAGCATGGTTGGCTAGGCGGCTGCTCCCAGAGAGGCAGTGGCTAGATTTTGGGTCACGTGCAGCATATACGGGAAACATCTCACTGCCCTCATTGACACTGGCTCGTTGGTGTTGCTGCTACATCCAGGCGTGCTCTTTCATGCCGAGAGTGGCACACCTGCCAACTGGAAAGCAATGACCAACCAATTCAAGTGCGTCACCAGTGGCCAAGTCAACGTGAGAGGGAGAAGGCAGCTACCAGTTGTGCTGAGGGGCCTGTGCTGAGTGCATGAGTTATGGCTTGTGGCTATACAGGATGCATGTGTACTTGGCCTGGATTTCCTTGTGGCGGCTGGAGTTGTGCTTAACCTCAGGAGTAAATGCTGAGCCTGAAGGCGAGTAAAGCTGGTTGCAGTGGCTAGCTGCAGAGCTGAGCAGAGAGTCAGGTTCCTTGGCAGTGTGGGGGAAGCCGCCAATGCTGGAGGAGCTGAACAAGCAGGGCCAGCGCCAGTAGATGGATCCTCGAGGGCCGTGGACAGCGCACACAAGCAGCACCTTCACTGGCGTTAAAGGCACAGTGGACAATAACGAAAGTGGAAGGCAGCTGAGGTGTGCCAAGGAGCTCCAACACATTGTACACCAGGCCAGGGGGCACCGCTATGCCCCTGAGAAAGGACTAGGGGTATCCACTGCCAAGGAGTGGGCAGTCCGTATCATGTGTGCTGACTAGGATGGTGGACAGATCAGGACTCTAGCTCCAGAGAGGCTGCGGCACACATCTCAGACACTGGTTGGGCCATGTGGGTCTCTGGGATGTCTGACTCTTGAGGGCTTGGGGTACTGTGTGGCGTCTGCCATGGGCTCTGCGCTGCATGAGGAGCTTAGGGGGAGTGACCATGCAAAGTGGCTCCCGGGAGGTCGTAGTAATTGTTGTTGTAGTTGCTACTAGAGAAGTAGCTGTTGTTTTTTAAATTGTGTCCAAGTAGGGTGGGCTTTGTGTGTGAGTTTGTCAACCCTCCATGCGTGTCGTGTCCTACCCTGTTACCCCCACACCGTTTTTTAGGTCTTTGTATTTTTCAAGTCTTTGTAAAGACTCTCTGCTGAAGTGCCTGTTCAGTAAAGAGCATTTGCCTGTATGCGCAATGTCTTTTTTTGCGTCGACGCTACAGTATTTATTGGATATAGTTTAAATGTGGTATTTATTTATTCAAACAAAAAATTTTGCTAAATCATGGAGATTGTTAAAAGCCACTCGAGTCTAATGCTGCTGCTTGTTTTGCTGAGTGTTTTCCGTGAGGACGCTGAAGGCGCTCTTTTAAAGGCGGGCTTTTATTTTGAAAACAGGTTCGCTGCTGGGTCTCCATGCCCTGTGCTGGTGGGTCAAGTATTTCGTGTCTGTGTCTAGCATGAGAAGAGAGGATATATCAGTCTCTAATTCGGTAAGAAATGTATTTATTTCCATCATATTTTCACTGAGATATTCACTGAGAATTACATGATGTTACGTCATTAAATAAGATATATTCTCACTTTCAGTAGTCATGAATTTAAATCGTTTCGCATTGCTGAATAACCTCGTTGTGACTGGCCGTTACGAGCCTCCTTGGTTTTATTTTGCCGGATGAAGTGAACATGATCCATTTTATTGACTTTTGCCTGGTTCAGTAGTAGTGATAATAGTGAAATAACGTCTGCTTTAGTGTCGTATGTAAAACGTATTACTGAATGCTAGTTTAGGTCAATTTTTGATGAGATGCTAACGAGATTAGCTATCTCCTGTTCAGATTAATGGAGCATAATGCTAACGGTACCGAGAAGCCCACAGCTAACGTTAAATCACAGACCACAGTAAATGTAATTTACAGCGCTGATTTTGTTTGCTTGTGACCGTCACATCTTATCTGGTTGACCTGTTCGTGATTTGAAAAGTGCACTGGCCAGTTAGCTAACCTAATAACTTTGTACGGCCTTGTAGCTAACCTACGTTACATTAAGCTGAAGTTGTGAGCTGCTGGAGCTGCTGCACTTCTGTCATTTTTCTCCTCGGTTACATTTACATTTACATCATTTAGCAGACGCTCTTATCCAGAGCGACTTACAAAAAGTGCTCTGTCTATCCAGAGAAAGTATCTCCGCTACTTACCAAGTTAGAGAGAAAGCCAGTCCTGAGCTCAGATACTGCTAGAATCATAAAGTCATTGACCCCTTGAGAAAAAGGAACAGAGTTAAACACAGAGCAGTGCAATACCATACAATACATACGTGCTGTACAATACATTACAATCAAGTTGGTTCAAACTCTGTCAGGTCAGGAGCTGGAGGACACATTTCTGGACTAAAAGTATACAGATGTAAACATACTGTGGTTATTTTAATAAATTGGAGTTGTTGTTTAATGTTAAAGGGGAGTTACAAGGATTTTTTAAAAAACCTAGATAATTGCGTGGTTGAGATGTAAGCAAAGTCATTCAGAGTGGTTTGATGTGAGAAAGTCAGAATTCTTCACAGTGGTGGTGGTAGGAACCAGACGCCTGAAGAGTTTAATGAAATGACTAGATATTTGTTGCCTCACATCTGACACATTTGCTTTATTATATCTTTTTGAGAAAGGTTTGGCTTAAAATATATTTTAATCCATTTATTTTTATCCATTCATGGCGGAAGGGTACATGCAAGGTGTTGTGAGGCAAAATAGTCCCCAAAGAAAACCTATTTTTCAGATTTATGACTATTTTACCATCAACTTTACATACAAAAACTCAGAAGGCATGTGTAGGTTCATTTGAGGTTTTGGATAGTAAATAAAATGACTATATTTGTGTTTTGCACAAGGCGACACCTGGTTCCTTTCAGCACCGTTGTAAAGAAATAAGTCTAAGTTTCTCTACAATGAACCATTTCACATCAAACCACAATTTTGAAAAATTGGTGGAATTCCCCTTTAAGTCATATGATATACAGGTGGTTGTTTGAGTTTGTGTTGCTGAATAAAGCTGAAGAAACTGGCAAAAGTGCTCAGGAGTTTAAAGGGAAATGTCATGGATTTTTCAAAGTTTCAGTTGTTGAAATGTAAACAAAGTTGTTCAAAATCTAGGCCCAAACTATCATAAAACAGCATCTCAAGCACCAGGCAGTGTTTTCGTAAGCATGTCATGTAGTAGTTTTCATTAGAGGTGACTGTTAGAGGTCTGGTTCCTATCACCGCCACTGTGAACAATTCAGACTTGATAAGTTTCTCTACAGCAGAGCATTTCACATCAAACATCTCTGAATTATATTGTTGTATATTTTAGCTATTTCATTATGCAGAAAAACATTCCCCATTTTACAGCCCTAAATGTAATGAACTGTGGCGAAAGTGTGGTTAAGATGAAAATGAGTGTCTTGTTCTTACTTCTACAGGTTTGGCACGTCAGACTTGCTTGGGGACCGTGAAGGTCAGCTACTGTAAACAGAAAGGTTGAGCTACTAATTGCTGAACCACTCTGGAAAATACAGTTAGTGGTAAAATTGTCAGCTGATGTTTTGAGACTTGCAGGTGAAGAAATGGACCCCAGGGACCGCTCTCCGCTGAAGCACTTTGTAGTGGCCAAAAAGAAGATTAATGATGTTTTTGAGCAGCTGCTTGGCTACGTCCAGGAGGGCTCAGAGTTTGTGAAAGGTGAGATGAAAAGTTTCAAGTGCATGATTTGAGGACAGACATGTATTTTGCATGATTTTTGATTGTTTATCTGCTTCTGCACTGTGGTGTCACCAGAGACATGTCAGAATGATTCATTGGAGCAGATTGCAAAGAAGCCACAGCTGGAGGAGATCGAGGCATACACAGGCAAACTGGCAGTCATCAAAGAGGTGCTGGCTCGCCGGCATATGAAGGTGGCCTTTTTTGGCAGGTGAATTGATCTCTTCTTTCCTGTTCATACATAGCTGTAACAACATCAGACATGATAGTTTCTGATTATAATTTTGCTTTGTGAACTGTTCCCCGATCAGGACAAATTAGTTTTTCATCTGTGCTACCATATATTTTAATTATGTTGGGTTCTAGATAATGCTGAATTTGGATATTTTCCCCTCTCTTAACATGTTCACAGAACTAGCAATGGAAAGAGTACAGTTATTAATGCCATGCTGAGGGACCGAGTGCTGCCCAGCGGCATCGGGCACACAACAAACTGCTTTCTGAGCGTTGAAGGCACTGATGAAGATAAGGCTTATCTGAAGACTGAGGGATCTGAGGAAGAGAAAAGCATCAAGGTAAAATCAATTGTAGTAATTGCAGTGAGGCTATTATGTGATAATTGTTGCAGGCTTAATGTAATTTTGGACCATTTATATTTGTCCGTTGCGAAATACTCACACAAAGTGAATAATAGGCTACTGGCGGTTAATGTAAACAATTGGCCACAGGATATTCCTGTTCATTGATCTGGTTCTATTGTCACTGTTACAGCTGAGACTGTTATAGCCTGTGGTCTATGGCCTATGGCCTTCTGGACCAATTTTAGAAAGTTGAACATCAGTGTCTGCTGTCCTGTTGAATCTTTTCTGACAGCTGCATGTGTTCACTGGTTATAATGAAGAAAACTAGTAACGTTACACCACATTGTAAAATCGATTGTGATTCCCACAGACAGTCAATCAGCTGGCCCATGCACTGCATATGGACGAGAGCCTTGATGCTGGCTGTCTGGTCAAAGTTTTCTGGCCCAAGACAAAATGTGCCCTTCTTAGGGATGACCTGGTTCTCATGGACAGGTATGAACCAAGCTGAGTGTGATTTTGTGTGCATGAGTGTCTGTTTTGCATAGGTCACTTTATAACATATTTTATTACTCTACCTGCGTGCTGTTATTCATGCTCTCAGTTAGTGCCAGTCTGAATGGCTGTATGTGGACGAAAGGGTCAAAAAAAACTCAAATAATGAAGATGAACCCAGTCTGGCTCCCTGGTTCATGTGTAGGACATAACATATGAGTCATTTTGTACCAGGTGTAGCGCACTGTAGAAGCATAGCTTATGTTAAAAGATATGCTTTTGTAAGTGTTTTGTGGGCATCATCAGTTCCTATAGATCACTGTACAACTGCATATATCATAAAGACCGATTTCATCCAGAGAAGCTGAAAACATAAATTAGTTCATAGTAACCAGTAGCTGATTTGATGTCAGCTCATTATGTAATTATCTTTTTTTATTTATTTATTGTTTCATTTTTGCCTATAGTTCTTTATAATGAATTGTGCACCTAAACGTTTTAGTGTGGCTGTTTTGTTGGTGCTTTTTGTCTAATTTGATTTGTGTGTTACGTGTTGGTAATAATGTAGTGCCCTCAATAATAGTAATCCCAGATAAATAAAAACGCATCCCAAAATGCTTGACAAAGATATGAAATGTACTACAAAGTTATAGTGAAAGTGTTTTCTGCTGAACATCTTTAAAATTTTTAGTCAGGTGTAAGGTTAAGTCTTTAAGTATTGTGAAGTTGTTTTTTATGTTATTTGTCATATCACCCATCTTTAGTGATCTCGTGTCAAATAGTGAGCTAATTCAGAGTCTGGCAAGGACTGCTTTGGGCATCGTGACATTAATCCTCTTTTGCACCATTTTCAGTCCTGGGACGGACGTCACAACCCAGCTGGACAGCTGGATCGACAAGTTTTGTCTGGACGCTGATGTGTTTGTGCTGGTGGCCAACTCTGAATCTACACTAATGAACACGGTGAGGGGCTGTAATCTGCCTATGTGCATCAGCACGTACTGCTGACATCTCTGAATTATTATGTACAGTACTGTTAGATCATGTTTGTCTAAGCTTTTTACCTTATAACAGTTTATAAGAAAGAAAAAAAGTTGTCAGCTACGAAGAAAATATATTTCAGAAACAGATTTGCATGTTCTGCCAGAAGATGGTCACTAGAAATGTCAGTATTTACAAAAAATAAGGTTTGTAATTATAATAGTTCATGGACCTATGGTGACCTAAAAGTCACAGGTTTGGTTGTATGTATAGTGTGTCAATAAGGACTCCAGACTCAGTGGTGTGTATTATGTGTGTAGGGAAAGGGGAAGGTATGTGTTTCCACTCAGTGGTGTAAGGGGGAGGGACACATTACTGTGCTTGCTGATTGGTTGTGCAAGACTGGAGAGCACATGAGCACACACTCAGCTCTGTTTAGAGTCAGCTCTGTTTAGCTGAAGTATGTGTGGCATGCTTAGGCCACTGAAACAGAATGTTGTATCTCCTTCTCTATCTCTCTTTCTCTCTCTCTCTCTCTCTATCTCTCTCTATCTCTCTCTCTCTCTCTCTCTCTCTCTCTCTCTCTCTCTCGGGAACATGTGTATGTTTGAGAGTGTATTTATATTCTTGTTGTTGGCCACAACAAGGGAGTAGTTCAGGTTTGCTGTATATTTAGTTTTGAGCCGTTACGAATGTTTAATTAAAAACAATTAAACAATTAAAATACATTCTATGTATGTAACTATGAATAGACTTAGTGATTAATTCGCAGTGTGCACATTTTTCTTAACATTGCTCAAATTTTGGCATTAAAAATGACTTAAAAAGTGTCCAATTGAATTTTCTCATATTTGTCGATACCCTGATAATGCATATTTTAAATTCTCTTACACCCTCATGATGCATATTTTAAGCCTTCCTGTTTAGTGTTTTGGAATCTTCTGTAAGACAGAGTATGTTATTGTTCTGTTAAGTCTATTTTAATTGTGTGAATTAAAGAAATAACTCTGAGTACTCAGTTGTCAAAATAATTCATAGAATAATTACTAGCTGACTTATTGTTACTGATTACTAATAATTGATATTTACAGCCCTTATTGAGTAGTATAAGCATAGGACTTCAGTCAGATTGCAGTAGAGTTTTAAGCAGATTTGTCCTTGTCAAGTTGCTCTGTCTCTAAAGGGTGGAAAGACTGGATGTGGAAAGTAAGAAGTAAGAATGACCATGCAGAAGTTTGTTCAGACCGAAAACAAGCAGAACTGCCATTGTCCCTTCTGTTATGTCTCATCCAGTGGGTTAATGCAAATCAACAGTGCATAGTAATTCTCGTATTATTCTTATTATTTCTATTATTGTAATTGATGGGTCAGTCCACATTCCAGCAGGCTGAAGGGCATCCATGCTAATACACTCTAAGATGGTCAGTTGAGTGAACCCAGCAGTCCATGTTGTACACATGTGATAAATATTGTTCGGTTCTTGGTTGATTTTACACTTTCAGTCAGATCTTTCTGTGTATGTGTTATCTGGCAGGAGCTGCTCTGTCTTATGGTTGAATGCTCTTTCAGTTTGTGCTGAAGTTTTGACCTTCAGCCACTTCTGCTCAGATAAGAGCAGGCGCAGGTGTCTCTCCCTCACGTTGTCTGTTTTATGTAGTTTTTTTTTTTTGGCGTATGTATGTATGTGTTCACCTTAGCTGATGTCATGATATGTAAAATCAATCAGTGATCCATCTCTTTGTATGTTATGTATAGAGTACAGTGTAGACTTCACTTCAGTTGAACTTTCTGATATTTGTCGATACCCTGATAATGCATATTTTAAATTCTCCTACACCTGCTGATGCATATTTTAAGGCTTCCTACTTAGTGTTTTGGAATCTTTGTAAGACATAGTATGTTATTGTTCCATTAAGTCTATTTTTATTGTGTGAATTAAAAAAAAAAGCTCTGAATACTCAATTAATTGTCAAAGTAATTAGTAGAATACTTCATTAGTTTAAGCAGATGTATCATTGTCAGAAGGTGGAAAAACTGGAAGTGGAAATCAGCTTGTAAGAATGACCATGCAGAAGTTTGTTCAGACTGAAAACAAAAGCAAAACATCCTATGCTTCTTCTGTTATGTCTCATGCTGTGCCTGGAATGACTGAAACTTATAATGACTGAGTCTTGTGGATTAATGCAAATCAACAGTGCATATTAATTCTGTTATTATTCCTGTTATTAAGTTTTGTAAATGAGAGGTCATTCCACGAGCCAGCAGGCTGAAGGGCATTCATCCTAATACACTCTAAGCTGGTCAGTTGGGTGAACCCAAGAATTCATTTGTACACACGAGATAAATATTGTTCGGTTCTTGTTTGGTTTTACGCTTTCAGTCAGATCTTTCTTTGTGTTGTCTGGCAGGAGCTGCTCTGTCTAATGGTTGAATGCTCTTTCAGTTTGTTCTGTAGTTTTGACCTTCAGCCACTTCTGCTCAGATAAGAGCAGGCACAGGTGTCTCTCCCTCACGTTGTCTGTTTATGTAGTTTTGTTGGCTGTTGGGCAGTGAGGCTTTGTTGTCATCGTACTGTCTCTGCCAAGCTTAACCTTTCTGACCTTCTCTTCTTTTTTCCCCTTTAAAGGAGAAGCATTTCTTCCACAAAGTAAACGAACGCCTTTCAAAGCCCAATATTTTCATCCTGAACAATCGCTGGGATGCATCCGCCTCCGAACCCGAATACATGGAGGACGTGAGTGCCTGTCATGCATTTTGATGTTTCATTAGCCGCTCTTTTGTGTCCTGTAGGTGGAGCTACTTAGCAGCGCTTGTATGCACTCATCAAAATAATTTTCTCTGTGACTGATAAGGTTCTAGCACCACTCTCACAACCCCCAAGGGTCCCGTACAGTGGCTGACAAGACCCTATACACAGTACAATTAAAATCACGTTGCAAACTCATAAACACAAAGAATAAAACACTTATCAAAATGACTACACCTGAACTGCAGTTCTCAAACGCACTGCAAATGCAGAAAACACTTTCAACAACATGACTATATTGGAGCTGCATTACAGACGCACTGCAAATAAAGAAAACGCAGGCAGATTCAGAAACGCTGCAAGGCCATTCACGACACAATGGAAGTGAGCCACAACACAATGGAAATGTTTCTGACTCAAAGGGTATAGAATATCTGTGATGGAAAATCACTGACAGAAGTAGATAAGACCATGGACACTCACATCCCAAGTTCATGGTTAACCTGGCTGGCTAGTTTGCTATCTGACATAGCTTTACTGAGGTAATTCTCTGGTGTTACTAGTTAAACGTGTACAGTTACCCTCCACAGCTAATTCCCGTTATGATACAGTGACAGTAATAATCTGCTCAAATAAAAGTTAACTTACTTTTGCCGGTGAATGTTTGTGCTGCATAGAATTTAAAAGTCTGAATGGCTCCGTCCTCTTTGAGTGTCCTCTGGAAACATCTCTGTTGTGTTGTGACTGGCTTATTAGTGTTTCTGAAGTTGCGTGTGTTTTCTGTGTTTGCAGCGTGTTTGTAGCGCTGGTGTCGTTGTTTTGATGAAAGAGTTTTTTGAGTTTGCGGAGTGTCCATGATTTGGCAGCGCGTTTGTAAAATGCAGTGGCCGTGTTGTCATTTTTTGTGCATTTGCTCGTTTTTTTTTTTATTTGCAGTTTGTTGAGTCTTCTCAGCCACCTTTTTAGTCCCGGCCCCCAGGTTAAGAACTCCTGCTGTAATGCATTACAGTAGTCTAGATGTGAATTATGCCTATTACTAGCAGCCACAATTACGATGCTGATTTTAAGCCCTGCCCACCACATCAGGTGCGGAAGCAGCACATGGACCGCTGTGTGAACTTCCTGGTGGAGGAGTTGAAGGTGGTGGACAAAGAGCAGGCGCCCAACCACATCTTCTTTGTGTCTGCCAAAGAAGTGCTGAACTCCAGGATGCAGCGGGCGCAGGGTATGCCAGAGACTGGTAAGCAAGAGGTCACCGCAGGGTTCACCAGGCACTGGCCGTCCCACTGCCAGCATGCCACAGAGAGCACACGCTGACTCACTCACACGCTTCCCAAGCTTAGAAACAGCCACAAAGCACCTGTGTCACATTTGGCATGTTTCTCTGCCTGCCAATGCAGGAGCTTTGCTAATAACAGGCCTCTGTTGGAAATGCATTGTGATGTGTTGAAGTAATCAAGCCTGGCATTATTGCCTTGTGCACCCTGAACTGACCCAAGTCAGGCATGGCTGTGTTTTATTTTCATATCTCTCTTGTTCTGAAGCTATGCTGCTTGTTTTCAGGAGGAGCTTTAGCAGAAGGCTTCCAGGACCGACTGAAGGAGTTCCAGAGTTTTGAGAGAACATTTGAGGCAAGTGCAAGAGACTACCGGAGTGGTCTTTTAATCGAGGAGTGTTTGTGGGGCTGAAGTGCTTCATGAGTTGAAGTGAATGTATTAGAACAGGGAAACAAGGCTGTAGCTAGCAGTAAGCGCTTAGAACTGGAGCTGAAAATGTCTGATTTAAAGAATCATTGAACTCTAGAAGAAACTAAATGACAGGAGACTTCCAACTGATATGTCTGTGCTAGCTAGCTCTTTTTTAGAAGAGCTGAAGCTGGTGAAATTTTTGTGTACCCTGTCAATCAGTTTTTTATCCCTAACATCCTTGGCTACATAATAAAACTTACAAAAATAATATTATTTGAAACAGGGGTGGGAGATTTGGCAAAAATATATAACGATATTTGAAGACACCTTTTCAGTGCACCATATGCATCACTTAGTTTTTCTGAGGTTTGATAAGTTGTTACAGAAAACAAGCCCCAGCATTTACTACTATCAAAAACTATAAATGCAGTCAATTTTATTTAACACTTCAACTACTATGCTACAGTAAATCTAGTTAAACTGGTCTAATTCTGCAGTCTTTGTGATGAAACATGCAGTTTTCTGTGTACTGGCAATATCCACGATATGAACAAAAGGCATACGGTGAGGTACTTTATCATTGTAACAGTAGAAGGGTTTTTGCCAGCGTTCTGTAAAGCTACACTGTATTGAAAAAAAGTATTTTCAAAGTGCTAATAGTCAATTACTCTTTTAAAAAACGGTAAATGCATGTAAATAAACCGTACATATGCTATATTTTAACATTGCGGTTTTTAAATTCAGTTGTTAGTTAATATAACAGAATTGGCAGTTAGTATTCTCCTCCAAGCCTGTTGAGCTGTCCAATGACGTTGCCTTAGTGATAGTTAAATCCTTGTGTCTCAGAGGAAGCACATGCTAGTCATCACCCCACCAGCTTGGGTGCATCATGTGACTGGGGGAGACCTAGAAAGAGGGTGGCAATTGGCCATGATTAAATTAGGGAAGAAAAACTACATTTAAAAAATCCTAAAAAAAAGGAGAAATGTTTTTTTCTACAAAGTAGAAAAAATAAATTCACCCTCAAAATCCACCTTTGAAGCTAGACATTTAGCAGAAACTACAGGAGATGTTTAAACAAAGATTATCATTGGCTATTTAGATAATCCAAAGAGAAGTTAATGACCTGCCTGAATCCTGAGGTTAAAATACGGTAATAAAGTGATGAGATCACCATCTGCAGAGCTTTCTTAAGCCTTAGGATTATACATTATCAGGTACTGGTGATTCTTAAACATGTCCTGTTTACGCTACAGCACATGTTTACAGTATAACCTGTTTACATTTTCTGAGCTGCCCCAGCTTTCAGGACACTGATAATTTGCGTACTCTAGTTTTAAGCCATTTCGCTGTGTCATTCAGCTAAAATGTATTGCAGTATGTGTGTTTTTTGCTAGTCCAGGGTTGAGGAACTCTGGTCCTGGTGGGTCAGAGCACACTAGTAAGATATTCATCGCTTTTTATCCAGGAACAGCTTTTATGGTGCAGTGCATTTGAGAAATTGACCCGCTGGATATACACTGAGGCCCTTTTGGGTCTCTTTCATGAAACATAGCCTAATCGCTCTCCCAGTCTTCCCCCCCACCAAACCAGATCCAAACAAGCCAGCACCCTCAGCAAGCCGTTCAGTGTGCACTTTACCGTCAATCTGTGTGTTCATTGCTGAAGTCTAGATTTGCTAAGGCGAGGGCACGTGTCTCCTGAGTTCACGTTTACAGTTCTGTTTCACCTTTTTCCTTCAGTGCTTTATACCTTTTGTGTTTATGTTGCTCTAGATTGTATGATTTTTGAGGTTTTATGTTGTTCCTCATTGGTGATATTCAGAAGTACAGTATGTTTCAGTTTTGAAATTATTTATTATTGATTATTGAGATCAGTGATCGTTCAGTGAAACATCTAATTTACTCATTTTTCCTCTTTATTCCTAAGTGTAGTCTTGACTGACTGACTGACTGACTGACTGACTGACATGTTTGGTGTCTGATGTCTTTGTTTTGCATTTTGCTTCATTTGTTTTATTGAGTTATTTTAACAGTTTGACACAATTTGAGGCATGTGTTTAATAATTTAAGGATGCAGTTTGACTAATTTGTGGGTATTAACTTTCATTAGATGTTGGCTACAGGGAAAATCTATAGAAGCGTACTTCATACACCAAACATGTCTTGGTTGATTGACTACATTTGGGGTAAAAAATGAGATTTTATCACTGAACTATTGCTTTAAAACATCCCGATAGCCCATGTCATGTTTATTTCTCTTTTGACTTGATTTGAATGTTTTGCTTTTGTATTTGATTTGCTCACGTATGTTACTGTGAGATGAGGTCTGGGGCTGCTGTGATGATACAGACTTGCTGCTGGCCTTCCTCATCCTCCTCTCCCTCAGTTCTGTTTGAGTTGCAGTAGCAGGCTGGTATCTTCACTTCTTTGAGTGCCTCTCATCTCAGTAACGTGTGTGTGGCCTCGCAGGAGTGTATCTCGCAGTCAGCAGTGAAAACAAAGTTTGAGCAGCACACAATCAGGGCAAAGCAGATTACTGAGAGTGTCAAAGACATCATGGATCAAATCCACATCGCTGCTGCTGAAAAGAGGTGGGTTCACTCTCCAGGTTTGTTTTCTCTGGGTTTTATTAATGCGTAGGGCTGTCATGATACCAGAAATTACTAAGCGTGTTATTTAGAAATGGGACATCGATATCGACTGGAAAAAGAATCAATCTCATCCAATCCTGTAACAAATCTATCCTGAAATAGCCTGCTTTTAGATGATCATTTTATTTAAAGTGCTTCAATGAAAGCAGATAATTTTAAGGTTTTTAGAGGAAAAATTAATAGTATTGGCTGTTAATATATTTTATTATGTTTCCATATGCAATGCTGGAGATGGTAAAATAGTGGTCAATCTAAATTAAAAAAAAAGATTGAATACTATTTTACCTGCATGTACCTCTCTGCTAAGAATTTATTATATATATATTTTTAAATATGTTTTAGGACAACCTAAACACAATGTATTCATGACCATTTCATGTGATAACATTCTATGATGAAGCTCTTTAAGACATTAAACACTTCAGACATCTGGTTCCTATCACCACCACAGTGAAAAATTCAGACTCGGCAAGTTTCTCCAGAACGGAGCATCTCATATCAAACCACTCTTAATGATTAATCTTAATGATTTAATTATGCAGAAAAAATATTTATATATTAGATCAAATGAGTAATTACATCATTGTCATAGTTTTGATCAACTGTTCCGAAGGAAGGAGTAAAGGTGAGATGCAGTAAAGCTTAACAAAATGATTTAAACTTTGTTGATTGTTTTAAGTTCACGTATGTTACTGTTAGATATGTTGCCCATCTGAGTGAAATTACTATACACCTGTAGGCACAGTGCAGCATCAGCTTAGTGTTAGCCTGTTGAAATAAAGAACTGATAGTATCAAAGGTTACAGTATTGCATTGTTTACCGCATCACCTCACTGTTCTCTTGTGTGTGTCCATTGTCAGGGTGGCCTCTCTGGAGGAGAGAGAGTATCTGATGGACCGATTGGAGTTTGTTCGCAATCAGCTCAACCTACTCATTGAGGACATCAAGAAGAAAATTAAGATTGTTACAGAGCAGGTGGAGGAACAGGTACATGACTTTTTGCCTGGTTTACCTGCACAAACAGCAGAATACAGCTTTGGAGGAACTTGACTTAGATCAGTGAGAGGTCAACTTGAATATTGTGATATGGAAGATCTGATAAATTATAATGAAAATAGTGTGTCTTTTACTGTTGTGCAAAAAACCTACAAAATAAAAATAATGACATTAGGGATATAAATGTCAAAACTCAGTCTCAACACAATGTAATATACAGCTGCTGTGTTCTAAAGATGTAGAAAAATAAAAATCGACAAATGAGAGATTTTTTTTTATTTATTTATGTATTTATTTTTGGACAGCGACAGCAATATATAGCCTTACAATAATTAATAATTGTGTGTAACAAATATCTTTATGAGGGTGTGTGTTTGTTGTGACAGTAGCTGCTTCACACATTTAACACACAGTACTGGGAGCGAGAAAACATCATGTATCAAGTCATTTTTAATGGTTTAGTAGTTCAGGATAGAGTATTTTTGAGCTGTATTTTTGTATTTCTGTATTTGTAAATGACTAAATAGCAGAGTGGTTAAGTAACTCACTCTGCACACAAGAGAATAAGCTTCATAGACTTTGGATCCACTGTCGCAGTGCTTACTCATATAATGCCATGTACTTTGTTTGTGTATGTGTTTATACAAGGTGTCTAATGCCATGGCAGAGGAGATCTGTCGACTCTCTGTGCTCATAGATGAGTTTCATACAGACTTCCACCCGTCTCCCCATGTGCTGAAAATGTACAAATCAGTGAGTTGATCTGCTTTCACATGCTTCTAGAAGAACAGGCTTTAAACTTGTGCATTGCATGTTTTGTATTGGTTTTCAGGTTTCATAATGTGATGTGTTTATGAGCTCTTTGTGGTTTTGGCAGCTAATTGCGGCGAATGACTCAACAGAAATAAATGTTTGATTTGATTCTTGAGAATGAATTGCTGAATGTTAGAAATGATACCTCTTTCTCAGGAACTGCTCAATCACGTGGAGAAAGGCATGGGGAAGAATCTGGCCTTCCGCTGCTCTGACGCGGTCAATGCTTCTGTGCAGTCCTCTCAGAAAGATATGATCGGTGTGTACCTGTGCTCATCCAATCGAAAGTCTGGTTAAAAATCTACAGTGAACTGATTTAGCAAGAAGCTGCACTGTGAACGACTGTGGTCACATGACTTTCATTTGTGTAACTAAGTGTGTTATGTTTGCTTTTATGCCTGCATGTTATCAGAGTGCTGCTATAGGCCAACAAATAAGGTCAACATTCTTTAATGATCTTGTCTTGTCCTCTGTCATAACAGAGTGTTTGCAGCCTCTGCTGCCCCCTGCTGTTCAAAGCCAGATCCACATGCTGATCCCCTACAGGAAGTTTGACCTCAGCTATGACCTGAACTGTGCCACACTCTGTGCTGATTTCCAAGAGAACATAGAGTTTCAGTTCTCTTTGGGCTGGACCGCCCTGGTCAGCCGCTTCCTCGGACCAACTAATGCCAAGCGGGCCCTGATGCTGATAGACCAGAACCTGCAGGTAAACTTGCATGGAAGAAATTCCTTTTAGTCTTTTTTCTTTCCAGAGCCAAACTCATATATTTGTGATGTCATTTGTTTCTCTCAGCTCTCAGCCACCACACCAACAGGTGGAGCTGTGGCCCAGGCTGCACCCCCCAGAGCCCCAGTCACTCAGGGCCAGTCCCAGGCTGTGATGACCCAAGAGGAACTCATGATGTCCATGGCTACCAACCTCGCCTCACTCACCTCACGCACCTCCATGAGTGTGGTTATCGTCGGAGGAGTGGTGGGTAGCTATGTTTACATTACAGGGCTGAAGTTGCACAATGTGATTATCTTTTTTGTGCCTAATTGTGACACCGGATCAGATTTTTTTCAGAGCTGTGTTAAAACCAAATTATAATCATATTTGAACACTTTAATGATCTCTTGTGCAAGGGCTTCAATAGAAAAAAATAAAAATAAAATAAGCTAGATTTCTTAATCAGTAGGTTTTGGAAGCCAGAGTTACACAAGTTGTGATTAAATTAGACATGGAAACATGTAAAATACAACTTATTTTAGTGATAAACACAAACTTGTGCAACAGTTACTAGGAAATGTTGTCGCCACGTAAAACATTTTTTATGCCTTTTAATTTGATCAGTTTCAGTTTGTGCAGAAAATATTTGGATAAATGAGTCAATTCAGGCTGGTCATGTACATGATGCATTATTACGTATTATGATGGTCATAAAATAGGAGACCCTTTTGCAGAGCAGTTTTTTAAATTTTATGTTCCTTATTTATCCGCTTTGTTCATGGCATCTTGGGGCCTTGCTTATGGCAGCGTGCATAGAACATGTTCTAAATCTGTGTGCAAGAACCACCAGCACACTGAAAACTGGTATATATCAAATGGCCCACCTTAAAATATATTGAGTAAAGTAATAAATCTTTACAAGTGCTAACGTCACTTGCGTACGTTTTAGTTTCTAATACCAGGAAATCATTGATCGGGTCATCAGCACGTTAAACCAGGTCTTAGATAAAATGCCACTAGAATGTTTTGTAGCTGTCTGTACTGATGACCAGTTATCACTTGTGGATCATAAAGTAGATTTCAGTTTATATCCGGCATACACCTGTTCATGTGCCACTCATAAAGTCTCGTAAAAGAGGAGTGATTTGAATCGTTCTTAACTCTCTGTAGGTTTTGAAAGTCCTCAAACAGCTGAATGGAGCAGAGTGGGTAGCAGACCATTTAGTGAAGGCTGAAGTCTCACTTTACGGTCACCCTCCCTGCGAACAGCACTGGGACTGACAGTTATGATACAACATGCTGCCAAACATGTTCCAAATACATCTGAATTTAAAAAATTCATCACGGTTTTTCGCATTTCATATTTATCGATAAACCAACTTCTCCGCCTTGTCCATGTGTAAAAGCTTCTTTTTCTGTATTTAGGTATTTTTCTTATAATGTCTAGTTTTTCCATCCAGGCATTTTTATGCACATTTTCAAAAGAGTGGTGCCCAGTCCTGCTCCTGGCGATCTACCACCCTACACAGTTTAGCTCCAACCCAAGTTTAGCATACCTGATCCAGGTAATGAAGGCCTTCAGGTGCATCTGGAGGACCTTCAGGTGCATAGGGGTGTTGGATCTGAATTCCCCAGGTGGGTAGATGTCCAGGGCCAGTACTGGGCTCCACTGGTCTGCATCATCAGAGTACATTTTTAGATCCATGTTTGACATAATTTTACTGCACCTTTATTATATGCCTACATTAGCTGTCATCTGTCACCAGTTTGCACCTCATCTGTACACTGTGAATTGTAGAATTGGATAGAAGTTAATTGAAGATGTTTGTGAGATTTGGACTGATGAAAGATATTGATTGTTTTCATCAGAAGTATTAATGTACTTAATGTACTAATGTGGTGTTTCAGGCACAGTATTTATTTGATTTGTTGTTACCGCATAAAGTACATATTTAGGTTAAACTGATAACTTTTTTTTGTTTTTTTCTTTCAGTGTATGAGCACAGCAGTCACCAGTTATGCTGAAATAGCTCATAATTATTGGGAGTTTGTGTATCTCAAAATCTGTTTACTCGCGATTGCAATTTTTACCACTAGGGTAGAAGTTCTAAATCTGCACATGGGAAGAAAATAATAAATGATGGTGTATGGGTCAAAGCGTGCATATGCACAGTTCATGTATGGTTGATAAATGCAACCTCAGAACTTTACAGTGGAATGTCACTGTGTCACTTTCTGGGTGCTTCAGATTGTTTTGAAAGAACAGTTACTTTCTTTTCTGTAAATGTGGTTTCTGTCTGGTCGTTTATGAAAAAGTTCCCTTTTTGTGTCATTTTAAGGGAAGAAAATATAACAAAGTCCAACCAAAACAAGCTGACATGGTGTAAAATGTTCTTTACGCAGGAAGCTTTATTAAACTTTATTAATGTTTACTTAAATCTCATAACGTAATATGTTTAAAATTTCATGATATAAAATTGTATAAATGTGGCCCAGTCCTAATGTCAAGGCATATGGAGTAAAATGGAGCAATAAGCTTTTTAATGTGACTCAAGTCAGACATGCAACATGCTTTTTTTTTTTTCTTTCTTTTTTTGTTGAATACAGCCGTAAAAGTCAAAAGTTTGAGCACCTCGGCCAAATGGTATTTTGCTTAAATGTGTTTTCTGCAGAGGATATCAACTAATTTGACGGGGTGTGTTCAAACATTTCCATACGACTGTACATATAGTGTTACCTTTAAATATTATTGTGATTTAATTTTTTTTTTTTTTCAGCTCAAGACACCAGTGTTCAAATTACCACCTTGTATTTCTATACCTGTAACAGGTGTGGAGGACGATAGGCTGGAGAGTCATCGCTCTGTCTATGAGCCTTTACGGCCTGCTGTACCTGTATGAGAGGCTCACCTGGACCACCAAGGCCAAGGAGAGAGCTCTGAAGAAGCAGTTTGTGGATTATGCCACTGAGAAGCTCCAGATGATAGTCAGTTTCACCAGCTCTAACTGCAGCCACCAGGTCCAGCAGTAAGTGACCTTCAGCCTGTACTTCCACAGCAGCAGCATGGAACAGCTCTTATACAGCTGTAGGGTTTGAAGTAGAGGATGTGTTGAAATCCTGAACGGGCCAGTTGGGATTAATAGAGTGTAATGAAAGCATTGGGGTCTTTGGGGGAATTATGCTTAACCTAAAATAATTAGGCTGCTATAGCATAGCGCTGGATGGGCATTTAACCCATCTCTGCTATTTGAATAACTGCATTATAAATGAATTCTATTTAAATATCCAAACTGGAAACATATTTCATACTATTATGAATAAAAAACTTGAACCTTCATTTATTGCTTGCAGCTGGCATAAGAGGTGATTCGTACATGAGAGTTCGGTGGATTAGGTGAATACTCTTGTGTGGTTTAGGTGTATATGATTTAACACACTACCTTCTAGGCCAGGGTCAGACATGATCTTGTAACGAGAATAACAAGTTATCCCCAGATATGTAAACTTTTGGTGCTGGGGTGTCTGTGTCCATCCTCATCCTGAAGATTCCTGCTCTGCGGTAAAAGGAATGTTTTGGTTGGTTTAGTTTGGTTCAGTCAGTTTAGTTTTGACTTTTTATCTGTGCCTGCAGGGAAATAGCCAGCACCTTCGCCAGGCTGTGCCAACAGGTGGACATCACCCAGCGAGAGCTGGAGAGTGAAATTAGCTGCCTAACCACGAAGATCCAAGAGCTGGAGAAGGTCCAGACCAGCTCCAAAGCCCTCAGGTCAGCACACACACTTTGCAGCTGCTGCTTGTACTTAGAGTTTAAGCAGCAATCAGAACATTTTAAGAAATGACCTGAAATTAACTGCAACCAAGTTACTGGTAGTTTTTAGACCTTAGAAAGTTTGTGGGTGCATTACTTGAACATTACTTTTTCAGTACTGAGCCGTTACCTGCTCTTATTTTCACTGAAATTTGATGTATATGCAGTGCCAAACGTATGTGGACACCCATTCTAATTATTGAGTTCAGGTGTTTTTCAGCCACGCCTATTGCCAACAGTGTATAAAGTCTAACACATGGCCACGCACTCTTCATAGACAAACACTAGCAATAGAACAGGTCGTTCTAAAGACATCATTGACTTTAAACATGGCACTGTCATTGGATGCCAACTGGCCAACTGTGAGTGCTATTATTGTGAAATTGAAGCAACTAGGAGCGATAACAGCTCAGCCATTAAGCGTCAGAACACGCAAACTCACAGAGTGAGGCTGCTGAGCACTGATGCGTGTAGTGTGTAGAAACCACCTGTCCTCTGTGGCGTCGTTCACTACAGAGTTCCAAACTGCTTCTGGAAGGAGGTGGAGGAGGGATAATGGTCTGGGGCTGTTTTTCAGGGTTTGGGCTCCTTAGTTTCAGTGAAGGATAATGTTAATGCTACAGCATACAAAGACAATTAAATGCTTCCAGCTTTGTGGCAACAGTTTGGGGAAGGGCCTGGGGGAGGTCCATAAAGACATAGTTTAATGAGTTTGGTGTGGTGGAACTCCAGTGGCTGGCACAGATCTCTGACCTCAACCCCACTTAACACCTTTGGGATGAGTTGGAATGCTGATTGCAGGCCAGATGGTTTTCGAATGTGATGTCCAAGAAGTTCATATAGGTCAAATGGGCCACATACTTTTTTGCAACATAGTGTATCAGAAAGCAGAAAATAGAACATAATCAACAATAATGTTCACCTGTCCACCCAAATAAATGGTCATTTTGCTTTCACAGTTGGGCGTCAAACTGTAAAATAAGTTAGTAAGCGGGAGATAATCTAATTTTTGTTCTTCCAGGCACAAAGCCACGGAGCTGGAGAAGCAGCTGGAGAACTTCACCAGTCAGTATCTCCAGCCACAGAACTGAGCTGTGATTCCGGTCACACTGGCAGCGCCACCGACCTCAGGAGTGGATTTACGTTGATTACAGCATGGATTGTGAAACTAATAAGCCCACTTTGGCCTGTCCAACAGGTGGACAGCTGTGTCTGCACTTTAACCAGGGTTAGCATTGCAAAAAGGTCATTATACAGTTAAACTGTCAAAGGTTGGTTTCAGAAACAGTTTAGTTGTGGTTTACTGTATTTAAGCTGAATTTATCCTGCAGTGAGATCCGAGTACACTACTGTATAAACTGTGAGATCGGCACATGAAGAAAACACTGTCCATGGCTGCAGAGCGGAAAAGGCGTAGCCTTTCTCGCTGTACAGTCGACTACATGGCAGTTCATGACACACTGTAAAGAAATTCTTACAGAGCGAAACCAGATTACTTCTAATCATATCTGTCTGACTTGAAACAGAGCCTTTTTCCAAGCCTTTCTTTTCTACAAAAGAAAAACTTCAACCAAGTTCAAAACGTAAAAACCAGCCTGAGGAAACTATGTATTTTGTAGATAGCCTTTTGATCACAATGCCTGTTTTTCTATATGTTCCTCAGAAACCTTTCTATGACTCTAACCCATTGTGAACACTTTCTTTATGGACTCTCTCCTTTGTAAAAACAAAAAAAAAGTGTAAATGTTCACCTTGAATAACTGTCTGGAAAAAGCTTATTGCAGCAGAGAATACAAATAAAATATTACCATGTTTTTGATGATTGTTATTACTTGGCATTTATTTGAAGAAAGTGTAGAGGTAAGAGAAAGAAAAAAAAAAAAGAGAACAATTTAATTATCTTTGAAATGTCTTTTAAGTTCCGGTAGTGAATATGGGGGCTGAAATATGGGTCAAGTCCATGTTTACATTAAACTGTTTATAGAGACGTTCAATTCCCGGCCGGGTGACCAGAGACCAGGGTCCTTTCTGTGTGGAGTTTGCATGTTCTCCCCGTGTCTGCGTGGGTTTCCTCCGGGTACTCCGGTGTCCTCCCACAGTCCAGAGACATGCAGGTAAGCTCATTGGACATACTAAATTGCCCCTAGGTGTGAGTGTGTGTGTGTGAGTGTGTATGTCTGTCTGCCTGCCCTGTGATGGACTGGCGACCTGTCCAGGGTGTATCCTGCCTTCTGCCCAGTGACAGCTGGGATAGGCTTCAGCACCCCACCGCAACCCAGAAGGATAAGCGGTTTAGATGATGTATGTATGCATGTCTAAGTTCTGAAACACTTTACATGAACCCTGCTACATAACATTGATATAACATGTCATGACATGTCATGAGATGGATCAGATTATGTCCAGTAATATAACTGTCACTTTGCCATTACCAGTAATTGGCATATCACATCCTAAACGTTGCTAAGTAAATATCTTTGTTGAGATGAGGTTGTGGAACCACTTGTTTTGTGTCAATTAACCAAAAAAAAAAAGCTCCCAGGGTTCAGCTAATAGAGCTGACTCGGTCGCAATCACATAATCTGTCATGACTGAATAAGGTTTTAAATAAAGGGTTAGAATACTTAAGGCTTGAATGAAAATCTAAAGAGAAGCAAGTATTTTTCCCCTCTTTGAAATGTAAAAACCCCTGCTTGTTTGAACTTTTGTAGCACTAATGACAACTTTACAACAAATTGGGTTAAAGTTTTTTTTTCCTTTTATTGAATACAATATCAACTTATGGCAACATACCATTATCACCAAGCCACTGTACAAATACAAAAACCGGTGAGACTATAAAAATCATTTCTTAACAAATGATTAGTCCACATTATGGCACTATAAAATACATCAAGGCATGAGATCCCTGGTTTTACTGGCTCAAAACAACATTTATAAAAAAAACAAAACAGGACCAGGCAATTCCTTTTTCTAGTTTGGGGCTCTGTCCTGCTGCACTTTTGTTTCATAAACAAAAACACACTGTTCTGACCACCGTTCCCGACTCAATACCGCTTAACACCACTGTTTCAGTACTGGAACAGATGCTCTTCCAGTCGCTGCACAATGTGCCATTAGAAACACTGACCATGGAAACAACTTAAATGCTGTTGGGTCTTCATTGATACACTATTTGCTGCAAAATACTCTGTTCTTCCATGCTTAAGGACCAGGGTTGTGTAAGTCACCTAAAAGAAACACTAACAGCATGTCCAGTACACACTTGTTAGGTAATTTAATGTTTGAGAAGAGGCCTCAGACCATGATGCAGTTTAAAATTTGGCTGCAAAAGTTAAATAAGAGTAAACAATAAGGCTTATCAAAAGGGCTGGTTTCCTCTTCAAAATAGTAAACTATGACCATCTCAGAGTGCTGTAGTAACAGACACACTGAAAGGAATGCTTGAAGTAATGGCACTGATGGGCTGCAAGTTATAAGAATTGAACAAGCATGCTAATAACAGTGAATGAAGTTCAGTAGCTAGCACTCATCATTTCAATTGCATTTGTTGTTAATGACATTAGCATTTTTGGCTGAACTATTCCTTTAAAACTGTCAGTTCTGTGGTTCCCTTGGTTGCTTCTGTTCTACCTTCTCCTAAAGGGTGAAGCACAGCGTCCTTTAGGGGAAAACTGACGGGAACACATACATTATTAATAGTGTTTTCTCAAATTACTGTGATCTATATGTAGTTTAACAACTGAAACTCACACTCATGCAGAGAACCTGACCCTTTTGGTTACTTCAAATATAGTTTATTCAGTTTTTACTCTTATGAGTCATAATTACTAGGGACGCACTGTGATATCAGAATCATATCAATACCGGCAGATAATCGCTTAAAAAAAGCAGAATATTTAGGCGACACTTAGATACTTGCGCTAGTTCAGGTGGCCCCATTTTATACATTAAAAAAAAATCTATCAGTATCGGCAAATCTGTAGATACATATCGGATATCAGCATTGACTCGCAAATTCCATATTGGTGCATCCCTCACATTTACCTCTATTTTATTTATGCAATTGATATAATACATTCCGTCGGCCATTCAAAGGGGGAGGTCTAAACCCTGTTTTTCTCCAAGGTTCTCTGAACATACTCCAATCAACTGCTTAGAAATGTTTGAATGTGTTTTTAAGACAGAGCCACTGGTCTCAGATTCTTTTTGGAGCAAAATGTAGCATCAAGCTGTGTCAGATCAAGGCCTCTTACTGATTTACAAGACAAACATGATCTACAGTGCAGCAAAGAACCTAATAAAGTGTTGACCATAATGCAGCAATAATGATTTGCGTCCATGAATAGCCGTTTTGATCTGACCATCAGCATAGGGGAAAAAAAAAAGCTTGATTATACCGTTTTGTTTGTCCATTTCGGGTGGGCAGTACATCCTTTAGTTTGGATGGCAAAAGTATCAAGGTACGCTTTCTTTTAGTAAGCCCTTTCAGACAAGTCTAGTATCACAGTATATGGTCAAGCTAATTTTGTCAGGTAGCCTGCCATAAGTGAAAGCACTGCACTAGAATATATAGGAATGTATAGGATTTTGAACCAAAAATATGCCCTGCCGTAACAGCAGAACACATTTTGACTCATTATTTAGCTGATACTTGCAGCCTAAGAGGCCTCTAGTGCCCTCTAGCTGTCCAATGGCCAACAATCTATGCTTCAAATGTGAAACAGAGATAAATTAAATTAAAGTGCTTTTGGAAAACAATACACAGATTTTTGGGACATTTCTGATGGTTATGCTAGTCTGCCCGTTGAGCTGCCCAGCCCTGCCCAGAGTAGTTTTATTCCCTTATCATCATTGCTGAGGAAATGGACCTTTAAAATGATTTCAAATCAAATTTAAACCACCATCTCAATTGACTGCAGGCACTAATGGACAGTGCTGTAATACCTAACTGAAAAACCATATACTGAAATCACTGTGATAAAAACTTCATCCATTTGTCCAATTCGTAACACCTCAGTTTAAAATGGTCATGATTTTCAAATACACTGTAAATGAGGCATCCTAAAACAAGTAAAGGGTTGGAATCAAACCTACAAAAATATATACATTACCATTGTATAAGCATATATATATATATGGCATATACACACACATTAACTGTACATATATACCATATTTATATTCATATACATATGTATATACATATATATATGTACATATAACACAATGATGCCTCTATTGTTTCTCAACAACCCAGCTGTCTGACCTCTGTCGAGTCAGTCTGGCCTCTTCACAGGAATGTGTCGTAATAAGTGAATACAAAAGGAGCGCTGTGGCAAGGTAGAAACAGAGTGGTGTTCTCACAGCTGTTATCTGTAGTGGGGTTGCAGATGGTCAGTCCTCCGTAAAGTCCAGGACTGTGAGGTCAGTTCCAGATTCGGAGGAAACTATCCCATGAACCTGTGGCCACGGCCATGCCATCATCAGTCACTCCTAAGCAACTGACCCTGTTGTCGTGACCGGCGAGGACACCTAAAGAAGGATAAGGCATCGATGAGTCATCTTACTATTGTAATGTTTTTTTTTTGCCTTCTTTTTAAGCAGCAGAGGAAGTGATACTGTAAATGTGGGTTTACTGCAGTAGGATCGGTCCAGCTTCCTGCATTGGAAAGCACCCATTTGTGCATTTCTTTGTTCATTAAAGGCTTCACCATACCCTAAAATCATGGATGTAGCAATCTAACCCAAACAACTTCAAAACTTCTTAATTAAACCATTTATTGCAGTAAGAATAAGCTTTGAATTTAACTGGGCACACTTCCATCGGTTTTTTCATATTATATATATACACACACACATACATTTGCGAGAGCGAGAGAGAGAGAGAGAGAGAGAGAGAGAGAGAGAGAAAGAAAGAGAGAGAGAGCGAGAGAGAGCGAGAGCGCGAGAGACTCGTATCTCGAAAATGGTAACTTTACTTTTAATGTTTGTCAATCTTCTGAGTTCTTATATATGTACATGATGGAATGCAATACCCATCGTCACATGCCAAATGCATATACAAGATGAATAATGTATTTGACTCTTTGATTTCGGTCATTTCACAGGAAACAGGTTTTTAAAGTCAACAATGTGTTTTAAAGCAATCTGAATTGCCCTTTTTTATCTTTTGTTCGTTCACGTGTCTGGTCATAAACGTGACTTGTCCACCCCTAAAATGTCTTCTGATCATCGTGCACCATTGCGCACAGAATCATATCCCCCTCCTACCATCACCACCTATCATCGATATTAGAGACCCTCGCTGGAAATACGCCACAGCGCGCTGTGTTTTCCAATTCAAGTTCACTGTAAAACCCTTACAGAATAAGAGGATAAAAACTAATCACTTCACCTGCACGCTCGCCTTTTAATGTATCCCAGACGTTGCAGTTGAAGTCATCGTAGCCCGCTAGCAGGAGGCGGCCACTCTTGGAGAAGGCCACAGAGGTGATGCCGCAAATTATGCTGTCATGAGAGTACATCATGAGCTCCTGGTCAGCACGCAGGTCAAACAGCCTGCAGGTGGCATCGTCCGAGCCGGTAGTGAAGGCATTCCCATTAGGGAAAAACTGCAAGACCACAGGAACCGGGTTCACTCAACATGCCCCTATGCGTGAATAAGGAACTCTCATACAGTGCGTAAGCAGGATACTCACACAGACAGCGTTGATATCGGAGACGTGGCCAGTAAAGGTCTGCCTGCACATGCCATCTCTAATGTCCCACAGTTTGGAGGACGCATCACAGGCTCCAGACACAAACGTCTTGGTGTCAGGACTAAGCGATAGACTCATCACATCACCAGAGTGGCCTGTGAAGGTGGTGGCCTGCTGGCCCGTCTCAATGTCCCAGAGTGCACTAGAGAGCAAGAGTAGTCAATGTGTACTTAAAGGGGACAGGTAAATAGGGTAAAAGGCAGTGTTCGCACTTTTCTTTAAAAATCTGGGCCTGTGGGGAGTAACACACAATAAAAAGGGCTTATAATAATTCAATTTTTGAGATGTAAACAAAATCATTCAGAGTGGTTTATGTAAATGGTTCACTATAGAGAAACTTAACAACTTGGACAGCCATTTTATTTACATTCCAAAATGAACAGTGAACCAACAAGTGTTTCACAGAATGTTGATAATAGTAAAATAGTGGTAAATCTGAGAAAATGTTTAGTTCAGATACTAGTTTACTGTTTTATGTTTTGGCTTGAAGCTTTAGCTCAAAATTATAGTAAAACAATGTCACAGGCATCAGACCGTGTATTCTTAACCATTTCATGTAATAACTTTGTGATTTAGCTTTTAGAGGCTTTGAAGGGATTAAGATTAGATTATACACACACCAACATAGGATAATTTAAGAAAACAATTACTTAAGACCAGCCTGAAGCGAATCAGATGTCTGAAGAGTTTTATGCCTCTAAAAACTACATTACAGAAAGTTATTACACGAAATGGTTAGAGACACTGTTTTATGATAGTTTTGATATGGCCTAAAATCTTTATTTTAAAGCATATTAAATGTCAGAGAGGTATGTGCAGAGCATCATGAGGGAAAAAAAGAAAGTATACGTTTTTCAGATTGACCACCATTGTACCACCTTGTGGTTTGAATAGTAAATAAAACGGCTATATTTGTGATGCAGACATTGTAACCCCTGGTTCCCATCACTACCACTGTAAAGAAATCAGTCAGCAAATTTGCTACAATGAACCATTTGACATCAAACCATTCTGAATAATTTTAATAATGATGAAAGCATACAGAATCTATGAAAAATCAGTGGAATCCCCCTCTAACTCATAAAGACATGTACCTGTGCTGCAATATATGGTGCCGATTAGAACACACAGGATGCAAAACACAAATTCGGCTTACCATGTGGTGTCTCCAGAGCTGGTGACAATCTGGTTGTCATTGAGAAAGCGACAGCAAGACAAATAGCCTGTAAACAAGAGCAGGAAAAATTAAGGCCCATAAAAATCTTGTTTACATCCTGCATCTTTCTCTGCATTTTACTGTCACACTACTGGTCACAGGAATAATAAACGTATGACTTCATCAGTAAAGAAACTGGAGAGATCGTCTGTTGGGAGTTCAACAGAATTTTTTTTATTATAACAAGAGGTGGGTAGTAACTATTTACATTTACTCAATTATATATACTAAAATAAAACACAAATGGATTTGCACTCTCCTGAGTATTTTCAAATCAATACTTCTTGCTGGTGACTGTAAAACTGTACTGCTCTGAGATTGGTCACACCTCTTTGGAGCTACACTGTTAGAAATAAAGGTTCTGTGCAGGTACATTTCTTGTTCATCAAGGTACAAACAATGTAAATGTTCCCTCAAAGGTACTACAGTGGTTTTAAGGTCCACTTGTGAACCTTAAAAGTTTTTCCCAAGTGAAAAGTTTGTATTTGTACCTTTTCATAACCGAATGTTTTTAAACAGAGCAGTAAAATAAAACGCCTGGAGACGAGACGGAGTGTGTGGAGTCAATACAACTTAGAAAACATAATTTCAACTGTAATTTGTAAATATACAGAATCTGTATATTTACAATTTACAAGAATTCCGTATATTTATGGTACAGTTATGTTCCCTGACTAAAGGTACTGAGATGTACCCTTGAGGGTCCCACCCCAGTGACAAGAGGGGCACTGCCCCAGTGACAGTTCCATACAATTATTTCTGAGAGTGTACAGCACTTTATTTCAGGCCAAAAGAGTCCAAAATAGAGAATAACAGAGCTTCTATGCTGATAGATGCTGGATTAACTTAAGAAGTACCACTGCAGTTCTATAAGTTACTCAGTATGTAAGTAGTTTTGTGACCCAATATTTGTGCACTTCTACTCAAGTTGTCTTTTGGGAAGGTACTTTTACTTTTACATGAGTCATTATTTTACTCAAGTGTTAATACTTTAACTTGGATATGAGTTTAGGCTAATTTACCCACCTCTGAGTATAACTTATAACAGAAAATTCCTTATAATTGCTTGCATCAATCCACATATACTTACATTACAGCATTTTAAGGGGAGTCAGCTGGTTAGAAATAGCTGGTGTTCCTGACCTTGTGCCAGTAAAGGTGCATACACCTTTGTCTTTACCTGTGTGCCCAGGCAGTTCTCTGGTGACCCTGACGTTTCCCTCGCGGGTCTTCAAACTGTAGATGGAGCAGATGTTGTCCAGGCCTCCGCAAGCTACATAGCTGCCTGAGGGCGCATACGCACAGGTCATCACCCAGGATGAGCGCAGGGGGATCGCATGGACCTAAGAAACAAAACATACAAAAACTATAAAGCAGGGGTGCTTTATTTTACCTTAACCCTTTAGCTATGTTAAGACAGGCAACTCAAATCCGATTTTTCAGCATGTCTGATTTAAGTCTGAATGCCAAAAAGCTACATGAAATCTGACTTTTTCTAATCAGATTCAATCCACATTTACAGGTGGTTTCAAATCTGATTCAAATTGAATTTCTGGATGTGACTCAGTTTGACTAGTCAGATCGGATTTTGTGTGTGTGTGTGTTTTTTTTGAGCACAGATCATGACATCAGAATATGTGACAAGACAGCCAGTGGTGCATATTTACACATTACAGTTTAAACACGGACAGTAGAAGTGTTTAACAAACACTTAGGTAACATATTTTTTCCCTTTGTATGTTGTATTTTACAGTGACTACTTCATTAAAAGATCTGGAACTTAAAACCCGTCTGAATATCACTACTACAACCTATAGCTTGCTGGCAGTCTGGCTGACCAGCTAAACCTACACTAAAGTCATGTTCTGTTCATGCTGTAGTTAATAAAGAGTGAAACACTGCTGTGAAATATAGCATAAGTTTTGCCCCTACTCAGTCAGTGCATGCATGTGTGCGTTGTTACCATGGCAACCAATGTTGGTATGCGAGCGAATGTGACTACAGTCTGACCATACGAATCAGATTTGGTCACTTGTACCTTGAAATCTGAAAGGTCAGTCTGAATACTCAGATACAAGAAACAAATCCAATTTGCCCTGCAGTGCTAACAAAGCCTTAGAAGTCACAGCCATTATTAAAGCATGTTGTAATTTGAAATTCTGCTAGAACTGTGATTCTGAACTTCAAAAGAATTTGTCTTTGTAAGTGGAGGAGGAGATATTTTATAACAATCTGATTTTGGAAATGTATTGGTGTGTGTACAGTCTTGTTTAGCAGGTAGAAATATATTTTATATCATTGCTATGTTTTTGTCATTCCTCGGCTGCAGACAGCCGATACAGAAAACGCATAACTCACTGTAATTAAACACGTAATTCCACAATTACAACTGGAGAGCACAGTACATGAATAACTATCAACTTCTAAGGGATAAATGGCAAAAAAAGGAGGTTAAAAGATTCACCAAGATGGAAGCAAGTGAAGCCTTGGCATTATGTTACATTACCTTGTTTGTCGTGTAGCTGTCCCATATGATTAATTTGCCATCTTGGGAGGCACTGACAAGCAACCTAAACACAAAAGCATAAGAGAATGACGGCCTGAAAAGAACTGATAGTGTATTCAATTTGTATTTAATATAACTGTGAATAATTTAACACTGGGTGCTTTAATATTGTGATGCTAAATGCTAAACTCAGTAATCATCTCTTTCTCCACAATGCTTACTGAGTTTAGCTCCAGCGCTATTTATATAATAATAAATCACTCTTAGTTGGGTTGTAGAATTGGGCAGAATACTTTAAAAAGTAGTGATGACTGAATATCGAACACACTGTTCTAAACATATTTAGTAACGTATTCCATTACAATACATAAAAAGTAACATGTTCAGAAAACATTTATAAAACATTTACAACACATATTGATAAGAAACATGGGAAAAACTTTGTTGCTGTATTTTTTCTTTAATCCACACCGTTTCTTGCTGTTATTCATCGGCAGTTTTCAAAATGTCATTCTTCTGGTTCTGGTTGCAGAACAATTCACTTATTTAAATGAAGATATAAAATTCTCAACATTATTTTGACGTCACATTCTTCCGTCCACAATCCACAATGTGCTGTTTCCACAATCTCACTGCCGTCTCAGGAATTTAGCAAACAATTTGCAATATCCCAACAACAAAATCTTGCAAATTTGACCATAAAGTGGGCAGTTAATGTAATTTTCAGCAAATTACATGTATGTAACATGTAACTTCCCCTGAAATGCATTGTGAGGTCGAGTACAACACCGATGCTAAGCTTATTACTCAGGAACATGTTCACTACACTGTTCAGTTCCATCATTCTTCAAAAGAGCTCAGTAACACTGAGATTAATAACTGGCACTCATCAAATTAATTTATCTGTCTACTCAGGCTTTAGTAAAAATCAGTAAAGCTGAGATTAATAACTGGCTCATCACATTGATTTATCAGTCTACTCAGACTTCAGCAGGAACTTCAGTGTTTGCAAAGAAGCCATTTAGTGGGTTTAGGGTTTTGAGTATTTAATACTTTACACTCTGTGTGATTTTAAAATAGTTAATATACAAGCATTGTGTTTCTTTAAAAGATCAAAAGATTTTTTGGGGGGTACGTATTCTAAAAGTATTCTTCTAAAAATGTGAAAGGTAACTGTACTCTGCATACTACCTTTACAAAATGTAACCTGAACTGAACACAGATAGTTATTTGCTGTATTCTGACTACATATTCCAAATACTTATATTCTGTTACATCCCAACCCTGCTCTTAGTTATCTAAAAGGCTTCCCAGTCCAGACAGACAAGGTAAGATGCATTCCCCACACAAACACACATGCCCTTCTCACTGTTTCTGTACGAAATAGAGATCCATTTCAGTAGAAAACAGGGTGGTGCCCATTTGAGCTACAGTACAATAATGCATAATAGAAGAGTGGTGACACTAATATGTCTGTGGTTGAAAAAATAAAAAAACTAAACTAACAGGCTCCTCCTAAGAGCAAATCAGGATACAAACACATACCTCGAGTCGCTGCCCCAATGCATGGCGTAGATTTTGGCTAGATGACCCCTTAGCGTGCGCCTTGTCCTCATCTGTATCCGTCCTGCTGAGTCCAGACCAGCTGTGATCTGGCAGACAAGCACAATGACAGGACGTATTACTACACTGACAAACACTGCTCAGCACAGTCAACAGACGTTAAGTCGGGGTGACAATAACATGGACCAGTTAGTCTAAGCCAGTGGTTCCCAAACTGTGATAAGCATAGCCAAATGGATACATCAAATGACATTGGGGTACACCAAAAATTCTGACATTAATCTTCATTTAATTTAAGTATATATAACAGGATTAAAAGGGTACAGTAAGCAAAAACAATAATTTTCACAAAACGTAATGGAAAAACAAGAACAAAAATGAGCAAAAACTTTGTAAAAAATGTATAAAAAACTTTTTTTCCATAGAAACAAAATGTTTTTCATTCCAACAGAAACCTTTTCTGTTCTCCAGTTGGTAGCAGGTAAAAGCCTGCTTATTAACTTTCTTCTAACAGTGTGCATATTCTAATATAGTTTGCTATTTAAATAACACCAATTCAGTGAGTGTTGCATGTATTCAATAAAATTTTAACCAGAATTAACTATCATCTGCAAGAATTAGCAATGCTGCCCCTAGAACTCTTGATACATGGATTCACAGAATATCTAAAGTCAGATCCCTTGTGCTTGCTTAACTATATGCAGTGTCTAAGTTGTGAATGACGTAACTCAATTTTCATGTGTCCTATGTTGCAGCTATGACTTTTTTTTTGGTTTGCAGGTCCCATGTGTGTGTGGTTCTTTAAATGGGAAGTAATAAAAAATTAATCACAAAAAATAATTAACCAGAATTAAATAATAAGATTATTAATTTAACAGCATCTTAAAATATTTCTTTCTATTTTGCTACACTGTTACAGAACTATTTTACATTCTATTTAAAAACAAATTGTACCCTGTTCATCATTTCTAACCCCTGATTTATGGTGTGTCAGTTTTTAAGTTAGCCTCAGTTACTCATAACGGTAAACTTGGACAACCCCCCTGCTCTAAGGTGAACTGTGGTTCTAGAGGGCCGGTGTCAGGCACAATTTAGTGATTTTCTTTTAACACACCAACTAAACTTGGTAATAAACTTCTAAGTTGTGTCAGGTGTGTTTGAGTAGAAACATCACTAAACTGTGCTGGATTCCAGCCCTCCAAGACTGGATTTTGCCACCTTTGCTTTAGAAGAAGCCAAAATAAGAACACAGGCACCTGACAATGCAATGTTGACATATCACCATATTCAATGTTGAAATCATAACGATTTCACTTACACAATTTCTCGCCATCTTGGCAACTGGGACCAAGAATCAATTCCAGCTAATTCTACCATTCACGCTAATACATAATTCTACTTGTGAAATGTGTTCCCACCTACCTGTGAAAGAGTCGAGTCACTACAAGCCTTTCTGGCATCCTGTTCAGATAAAATATACAAGAAATCACATTAAATTAGTAATAATTGAGGAATTTCACTGCAGGAGCAAAACTCTGACCTTATAATGATTTGAATTAGATTTTTAGGAAATGATTAAATGCACTGTGAACTGTCAAATTTTACCACAATTGCACTTGATTTTATTATTTTTGTATGATACATGATTTACACTGTAGCAGAATAGAAAACATTATACAACAGTTAGTTCCGGCCACGCGAGCTGATTGGTTGAGAAGTGTTCTAACCGTGCTGTTATTTTCATAACATCACGTTTTTTCACAAACACTGTATCACTCGACTGAGGCGCCATTGCTAAACGAATTTGACAGCTGTAGCAGACGCTCAAGCCATCGGAATGTTTTTACTTCTTACTTTGCCACAACCAGAAAATGGATACTTTTAAGATCACATTTGACCGACAGCCCATTTGGTCAGACTCTAAAGAAGAGACTACACTAAATTCCCAAACTGTCATCACCACTGAGCAGCTTTTCAGTCAGCAGCTGTGACAGAAGAACACCTAAACAACCTGGAATTAGCCAGAAATTAACCGAATACCATTCACCAAACAAAATAGGCTGTAAGATGCTTTACAGACTGGCTGAAACCAAACAACATTAATATCGATCTAGCAAAAATTGACAAAACTGAGCTAAACTTGATATTGTGGCAGTTTTATGGCTCAGTCTGATTTGGTCAGACTCTGAAGTTGAGACTACACGTTTGGCGAATGGTATTAATTTCATTTCTGGCCAATTCCAGGTTGTTTAGGTGTTCTTCTGTCACAGCTGCCAACTGAAAAGCTGCTCAGTGGTGATGGCAGTTTCGGAATTTAGTGTATGGAGCTGGAGAACAAACTGCCGGCTGTGCAGCGAGTGAGCGGAGTTCGTTACTCTGACGTAGCAACAAGCTGCTTGTTAAGGAACTATAATTTGGCGGAAGGAATTTGCTAACGTTAAAACATACTAAATGCCGCGTTCACAGCTCAATTTATTTATTTCTTACTTTATTTATTTAACTGTTGTATAAAAGCAATAGAACACTCGAGGGCGTGTGTTATCGCGAATAACATCACAGCTGTGATGACTGGCTGGAACAAATCACAGTTCCCTCTCGTGTTCTATTGCTTAAATATACAACAGTTGTTCTGACCCCACAGTCTGAAGGGTTCCGCTTGTGTTGTTACATCTGACAATAGCAAGTTTTTCACCACACCTGTATATTTCTGCTCACCAGCAGTTGCTAGGTAACAATGGTCACTTTACTTTAAAAAGCTGCTGGAACTAGTTTTTGGTGAAAAAACAGCCAAAATTAAACATGTATATTAGTGAAACAAGTGTCAAGACTTCTTTACTTTATTTTTTTCTTTACTTTGGAAATTTGTGGCACAAAAGCAATGCAACAACATCATGTCTGGGATAATCTACATCTAATCTCTACATGCATTTATGCTTATGCAATTTTTACTTCAGCCAAAATATGAGTTAATATTTTACTTGATTACTTGAGCATGTACTTTTACTTGTTATAATTGGTTATAATTGCCTTAAAAAAATCAAAGCAGCTGATGCATTACAATCTTTTCATCCCTAGTCTGAACTCTTTAGCTCTCTCTTACCCGGATTTGATTGCGTAGCTGCTCGGCTTCCTGCCGTAACTGTTCCAGTTCACTCATCGTCCCTGTGTGACACACGACTCACCCGCGGAGGAGAAGACCAGCTGAGACCTGCATAACAGACAGACAGCCTTAAGACAGCCACTCCTATAAACAGTGGGGGCTTCAGAGGACAACTTAGCAACCCCTAATGACCCATAAATGGGCCAAAGAAACCAAATAAGCAATTCTATTTGAGATGATTTAACAACTCAGCATGGTTTGAGACAGGTGTGCAATGATTTAGGCAAGCAATTTCACAATGCTAATTGGTGTACATCAGCAGGCCACCCTTCATTTATGTAATTTCCAGTCAAAACAGCCATTAAGTTCTTAAGTGCTACGTCAGGCAACTAAATGTGAATTATCTTAAATCTAATCTCCTGAAAATTAAATATCTTTTAATTAATGGCTGTTCGGAAATTTCATAAATGAAAAGTGGTCTCTGACTTTTGCACAGTACTGTATATTAGCCTCATAGCTCCAGTGCAAAACTGGAGAAGCTAATTACTCCATATCACGATTTTGTGTGAAAATTGTGTCTTTAAGTCACATTAAGAATTTGAATTCTTGGAAAGCAGACACACGATGGTGCTCGGTCAAGAGGAAGACACTCAGACAGGACGAACAAAAGGGTTGCTCAGCACTGGCAGCCCTTTGTCCTTTGTGTGTTGGCACGACTTGGCACCGGCTCACTGAGGAAAGTCTTAACATACCGATTCAGCTCACTTAAAGACGACGGTACAACTCATAGCTTCACTTTGACATGCAGTAATTTGCATGACTGAGTTACAGAAATATAGTGTGTGTATATATATAAGTATAGTTAAAAGTATGGTTATAAGTATAGTTACATTAAAGGAGAATCCCTCCCATTTTTCAAAATTTCTGCATAATTCAGTTCAGATGTAATCGTCATTCAGAGCATTCTAATGTGAAACAGTTAATTACACAGAAACGTATCGACTGGATTTTCTTTACAATGGTGGGGGGGTCAATGTCTACAACACAGCTATTGCCATTTTATTTACTATCCAAAATCACCAGCGAACCTACACATGTCCTCTGAATTGCATATGTACTATTGAAAATGGCAAAATAGTGGTGAATAAAACCCAAAACTATTGGAAAACAATGCTTTATGAATCATACAATGCATTCGTTACTATTAATTATGCAGAAAGTTTGAAAAATCAGTGGCCTTTGCCTTAAAGCTGTTTGAGATTTATGATAAGACCACTGACTTTTTCACACAGTCCGTGCCAGTGTTTTTGTGACACTGTGCTACTTTTTCATTTGGTTTGGTTGGTTTCGCATTGCAATGGCTAAAGTGCACCAAATTAAATATGTAGGTGTTGGGTGATTGGTCAAGAATTTGTCAGGACCATTGTGCTGACCATTTATTTACAGTCCCAGGGAACACAGAATAAAATATAAGATATATATGATAAAACACAGCTTAAAAATGAAACCGTTCTCTGTGGCAGGGCAGGAGACGTCAGCCTTGTGATTGGTAAGGGGAATGTTTCTGGAAGCTTTACCCAAGATTAGAACCGCTCAGTTGCCATCGCGAGGAGAGAAATATGGTAAGATATTATATTGGTCATTTATTGTTCACTTGAACACTATTCAAAGGCTATACTTAGTACATGTTTACTGCTTGCCAGCAAAAACAAGATTAACCTAATTAGAAACAAATTTAGGTTTGTTGGGTCCCTCACAAAACTTTCACTAACCCTCATGAATATTCTTTATATAAATTATTTGTTCTATGCAAAATGCTACTTTAAAATAAAGCCACTATACAATTAATTGACTGGTTTCACTAGCAGCGAACTGAACCATGGTTTAATAGAAGTGAATCGAGACCTGTGATTTTTAGATGGACCACAAGTCAGTTGTATAGTGCACACCCAAGTACTGGTAGTGTTCACACCCGTCAATGCAGAGCAAATTAAAGAAAAAGATAAACTGCTCCACACAAAACACAGCAAGTGTGAAAAAGCTCTTAATATCTGTTAAGTCTGATCACTAATGTCTGAGAAATCTGATAACAGCAGTAAAACTGTCTAGGCCTGTGTAAACAGTACAATTATTAAATACATTTATCCCTAATACCTCCTTTCTATAAAGGTTTCAGGACCCGTTTAACAAAGAAACAACCATACCTTAAACAGTCTCACAAGAACTGATAAGCCAACCTTAAGAATGTTGCAGGTTTGAAAAGAAGTAACCAAAAAAGGTTTAACGACAAAGACTTCAGATGAACTCCTCTGTTCGTTCACTTTGAAGTGAAAGTAAAAGTGTTTGCTATATGGTAAAGTTACCAGCTTATAGGCCCAACCTGTTCCTCCTGACTTTCAGAAATGTGTTCATGGATGTGCCCTTTGTTAAAGCATAGAAAACTTCAATATCAAATAACACAGCTTGCAAAAGTAGGATGCACATGCAATTGTTTGTCTTTTTAAAAAAATCTAAAGAATTCCATTTCTGAGATGTAAACAAAGCCATTTAAAGTGGTCTGTTGTGAAACGCATTGTAAAGAAACATACCGATTTACAGTGGTGGTGATAGGAACCAGTGGTTGTGAGGTATACAACACAAATATTGCCATTACTATTAGTTAAACTACCACATCTTCTGAGTTTTCATTTATAATAGTGGTAAATCTGGAAAAAATAGGTTGAAAAAAGTTTTCTCTGGGAACTATTTCCTTCACAGCATCCTGCAGGTACTCCTCCTCTGTTAATGGGTTTAAAAAATACATTCATGACAAAAACTTTCTCAAAATCATCTATAAACACAATGTCTCAGACATCAGCCATCTTATTCATAACCATTTTAATGTAATAACTTTCTGTGAGATAGCTTTTACAGACATTAAACGCCTCAGACGTCTGGTTCCTATCACTACTGTTGTGAACAATCCTGACTCGTCAAGTTTCTATAGAATGAAGCATTTCACGTCAAACCACTCTGGCTGACTTAGATTACAGCTTAGCCATTTAATTAAGCCGAAATTTTGAAAATTGACCGAATCCCCGTTTAAAGATAAAGCATTTATCGACCCTGCTGACATCAACCTTTGTTATGAAGTTATGAATTTCTGTCGTTCTTGCCGTGGAACCACTTACTAATGACTCAAACTTCCTTCACGGATTTTGACATCTCAGAAAAACCCCGAGAACTCGTCCAACAAAGCTGCTCACCAAGTTACCAAAGAAAAGATAGCGTTACGTGTGGCGAAAATAACGAGGCAGCCGGTTTACTGTCTATTATTGTTTCTTATCAGGCTGCGTAGCTACTAACAAATTAGCTGTACATTAACACAAACCAGTCTACAGTAAAAGAGACAGTAGATGAATTAGCTATTACTATGAGGCTAAAGTTGGCTTCTTATTCGCCAGCTTCTTGTTCGAATTTTCTCGTTCCACCTTAAATGGTGCAGCAGTTACATTCTCGGCGCCATTTAAGGTGGAACGGGAAAATTCGAACAAGAAGCTGGCGAATAAGAAGACTTCAGCTTCGTCTGTTAGTGGAGATTTCAGCATTTATATCACAGAGCTCAGAAAGGATATACAGCATTTAATAAATCCCAGGCTACAACCTGTTGCTTTCGCCCAAACAACAAACACGACCAGCTAAAAGGGACAGAAATCAGAAACAGACCGCGACTAATTTTAACGCCTTTAACGTTAAAGTTACCTGATACAAGCTCTTCTGGGCACGTCGTACCGGCGTGAAACGTATTTCAAAACCGACACATAGCGCTGAAGGTAAAATAAATGACAATATAAAGACTTAATTTGAGTAATTTGGAGCTATTTAAAGGGCCACACACCCTCCGCTCGCCTTCCACCGAGCTGCTTCTTCACCACACCCATAGAGAAAACGGGAACATGGCAACAGCAGCGCCAGAGGGGGAGACCGCATAGTATTTACTTCTGGCGAACTAACATTACGCTCTGCGATTATAAAAAAGCAACATGTCGTTTATTTCTGTTATATATATATGTTCAAAATCGATGTAAAAACAGTGGTCTCTCTTTAGGGGCGACTGTGTAATCATCTCATGGCAGTCTTACGGCCCCTCCGAAGTGATGGTATCTTCCGTCGTCTGCCTCAACAAAACGAGAGTATGAGAAACAGGAAATGGCTCAGTCACGTGTTAATGTTGCTGCTTGGACGCTTCTCGTTGAAACAGTTGTATTTCACTGTTGTCGCGGTGTTAATGACGTCCTTCAGCTTTTAAAATCATATTTTAAGGGTTTGTTTTGTAGTCAGTCATAACAAAGAGCATCTGTCGAATATGGTATCGTTTAATTGAGGCTAATTTCCGTGTTGCATGTGTGACAGAAACTGTAGTGTGAGCCGGTGGCCTATCAGTAAAATCAAGAAATCAGCTCATAGGAGATGTTTATAATCATAAATGCAATAACATTCATATTAGAAATCTTTTACCCATAGTCTAGTACACCCCCAGGGCAGAAGTTTTGGAGAATCTCTTATCTTGACATCTCTTTGAAAAAGATTTGGACATATTCTGATTTTTTTGTTCATAATATCAAAGAAGTACACTTGAAAGTTTTATATAGGCCCAGGTTTTATCCAGGTAATGTATTACTGAACAAATTTTTAATGGTCCCGTTAACATCTCCTTCTGCTTACATCAACACAAGTCTTTGTAACACTTATTCTTAAATGTGGTTGTGTTTCATGTTTGTGGAGAAAAATTACACGTATTATTTTTTTCAATTTACAACAAGCTTGTTGATATGACTTTATGGTATTGCATTTATTTTGTAATACAGGTTGTAAACATATGGATGATGCTATGTGATGCAAAGTAAACCCCAGAAAGCAGATTTTTTTGTATATCTTGTATGTATGGATAAGTATCTGGTAAAATTTGAAACTTCTAGAATTCTGAATACCATCTTATCTGCTAATAAACTGATTTGAAATGTTCCTCCTGTTTTGTTTTGTTTTTTGTTTCTTATTTTATTCCTTGATTATTGGATTGGTAATTCTGTGATCCTTACATACATACAACTGATATATTGCGAAGAAAAATCAAAAAATCATATTTCTTCTAGGCCACCTCAAAATCAAGGTCAGGCCTGAGCACGCAACTGAAATATTCAAAACTTGTCTAAATTGCTTAAACAGAAGTCACTTGTTGGCAGCTTTAAGTGATCATTTCTTTAGAAAGACGTCTGGCATGTTCATAGTGGTGATGATAGGAACCAGACAACTGGAGAGTTTAGTGATTCTAAAAACTACATCAGATTACCTTTTCCTAGTTTTCAGTCAAGGTTTTAGCTTAAAACTAATTTAAATACATTCATGGTGGAGAGATACATGCAGGGCCTTGTAAGGCAAAATAATCCCCAAAGAAAATTAATTATTTTAAACTATTTTACTAATATCAGCATTACATATAACAGCTCAGTCTCGTGTAGGCTCACTGGTCATTTTGAATATTACAAAAAAAATGTTTTTACTGTAGCTATCATGACACCTGGTTCCTATCACCACCACTGTAAAGAAATCAGAGTCTGTAAGCTTCTCTACAATAAACCATTTCACGTCAAACCACTCTGAATGACTTTGCATCTGAACTGATTTATGCAGAATCTTTAAAAAACTCTTTAACATATATAAATGCAAATATGCCAAGTGTACGCTATGCTTACTTTTTTCAATGGCACTCACTGGGAAAATGAACATTCTTTATGAAGTATCAGTCATCATTAATGTAAAGGTTTTAGATTTATTCCTCTGAGATGTTTTTCCTCAGTTGTGCCCACAAAGGGCTATGAGATGATATAATGTAAAGGCATGGAGTTAGAATGTGTCACATATAATCCATAACAGGAACAAGACACTTCATTTGAAAGGACATAAATGTATTTATTTTACAACCCCATTTCCAAAAATGTTGGGACGCTGTGAAACATGTAAATAAAAACAAAATGCAATGATGTGCAGATCATTTACACCATATATTTAATTGAAAATGCTTCAAAGACAACATATCAAAGGCTGAAACTGAGAAATTCTATTGTTTTTTGAAAAATATATGCGCATTTTGAATAACAACACATTCCAAAAAAAGTTGGGACAGGGGCAGTAAAAGGCTGGTAAAGTTGTGTAATGCTTAAAAAACAAATGGTGGTTTGTTGGCAACAGGTCAGTAACATGATGGGTATAAAAAGAGCATCTCAGAGAGTCTTTCAGAAGTAAAGATGGGGAGGAGTTCACCACTCTTGTAAGACTGCACATCATCTACAGTACATAATATCATTTAAAAGATTCAGAGAATCTGGAGAAATCTCTGTATGCAAGGTACAAGGCCAAAAACCAGTACTTGCTGGCCATGATCTTTGGGCCCTCAGGCGGCACTGCATTAAAAACAGACATGATTCTGTGGTAGAAATCACTGCATGGGCTCAGTAAAACCTCTGAAAAACAATGTCTATGAAAACAGTCCAGCACCGCATCCATAAATGCTAATTAAAACACTGCAATGCAAAAAGAAACCATATATAAACCAGATCCAGAAATGCTGCCGCCTTCTCTGGGCCAAAGCTCATTTAAAATGGACTGAGGGCAAGTGGAAAAGTCTCCTGTGGTCTGACGAATCAACATTCGAAATTCTTTTTGGAAATCATGGACACTGTGTCCTCCGGGGTAAAAACAACTCAGCTTGTTATCAGTGCACAGTTCAAAAACCAGTGTTCATGATGGTATAGGGGGGCATTAGTGCACGTGGCATGGGTGACCTGCACATCTGTGAAGGCATCATAAATGCTGAATGATATATATTGGTTTTGGCAACATATGCTGCCATCCAGACAACGTCTTTTTCAGGGAAGGCATAATATAAAGGTTTAACAAATGGGTAAAATAGTGCAGTTGTCATGTATAAAACTGGGTAAACAAATTACATGGAGTTACTCTATTCTCATGATGTCTAATGCATTCTATGTCAACAATTAAACACAAAAACAAGCAATATGATATGTGGTGATAGATAATAGTTAATGAGATAGTAAAACAATTATAAGATTAATAAGTAATGTTGATATCAATAAAAGGTAATGAAGGTTGCTGTGAGGCTACCTGCTCCATTAAGTGCTGCTGCACCCCAACAGACTCCTTGTGTCACAGCTCATTGTGTTTTCACCAACACCGTCCTCTCTGTTTTAACTTGTATGACAATGCAATATTGCTGAGGAGGGAGATTTAATTGAAAAAATTATTAGTAATATAGGCTGCAAACTTTTTAAAAAAACATCCTGCTGTCCCACAAAAATGATCTTGTGTAACTTTAAAAAGTTACACCCCCCATTTTTTCACATCAGTCCTTCAAAAGTCAGATATTATTGGTAATGAAAAAAGATGGAAGCTTGACTATTATCTGATATTGCTGATACTGTGATGTATTTGGAAAATATTATCATATTCAGTTAATATTGAACGAACACTAATTTGACTGAATTGTTTCAGTTGAGTGCAGCTGGTCCTGCAGCAACCATTTAGAAGAAATAGCACACATACCACATACCATAAAGAAAAAAACATGTGCAAAAATATTAGCTAACAATCTTATTGTACACATTCACTTCACATCAATTTAAGTGTTAATTTGTGACATGATGAACGCAAAGCAGCCATATAATGATGAAATTCAGCAAACGAGACGAAGACTGGACAGTTATCACTCCATTTACATTTGTGGTTTAAAATTTGGACATGAGAATAACAGTGTTAGTAAAGAGATTAATACTAAGGTCACTAGAGTGATCAATAAAAACACTTGTCTTTGTACTGGAATGCAGGAAGATTGGAATAAATGATGGAAAGCCATTTTTCAGTCTCAGTCCAAAAGGTTCTTACATAAATATACAAAAATAAAATGTTCAGTGGTTTCACTCTGTCAATGACAAAAAATGAGTATTTTCAAAAGCAAATCTACCAACATCCAAACTCCTGACACACTTCATATATAATCGGACTGAACACTTGAACATCCATACCGTTGTTTAAACCATTGAACATTCATTTGCCTCTTTTGCCTGCAGATCACTAAAAATAAAGGAATAGAAAAGAAAAAAGAACAGGAGGGACATATCAAATGAACTCATAAGCAGATATGATGGTAATTAGAGTTCTAGAGGGAGAAACTATTTTCACCTCTGAATAAAATAATAATGAACTCAGTGACGCAGTAACGCGTTTTACCAGCAGGTGGCGGTGCTGAGCGCGCAACAGGTCACTGAGCTTAAAGCGCCTCTGCTGGTGGAGCAGTTCAGCTCCGCTGTGGATGGACGGAGAACTTCGCGACAAGTGTCTGCTGCGAAAACGTCCTCACTCGCTGTATCTACAGCCTTAAAGTCTGTTTGTGGAATCATATTCGGCAGATTTTGACTTAGTTAGGCTCTCCTGTGCTTTGCGGTCCGCTTTGGCTCGGTTCATTTATGGACTTCCCCTGAACTGTCAGAGCGAACAAGCTGGGATTACGGTAAGGATTTCAGGTTTGTCGGGATATTTTTCCCACTGGATTCCCATATCGCCATATTTATGCCCGAGAAGGGTTTTTTCTGGACCATTTTGAATTCATTACGACGTTGAAACCCAAAACTTGTGGCGTGAAGATGATGATGCAGGTGTTAATGTAGGAGTTTGGCTTGAGTGAGATGAAGAAAAACGCTTAATGTTTTGTTATATTTCTAAAAGCTGCCTTGCTGACCGATACAACAACACACAAGACTCACAACAGCAGCAACCTGTTATATAAAGACCCTCAGTGCCATTTTATTGGCACAGTCCTTCTGATCTGCTGGGACCACTTTTAGTGGGACAACAC